GTGAGACCTGGAAGAATTGTCAAGATTCTGCTCATCAGTTTTTTCACATACGAGACGGTTACTTGTTCTTCCATAACTGCCTTTGTGTACCTAGATGTTCTCTCAGGACTGTTCTGATCTCTGAATGTCACGATGGCGGATTGGCCGGCCATTTTGGGCGTGACAAGACTTTGTTCCTGCTCAAGGAAAAGTTCTATTGGCCTGCTATGGCCAAAGATGTAGGTAAATATGTGCAGGGTTGTAGAATTTGCCAGCAAGCAAAAACAATCGGAACAAATGCCGGATTATATTTGCCTTTATCTGTGCCTCAGGGACCCTGGGAGGATGTCGCCATGGATTTCGTGTTGGGATTGCCCCGGACACAAAGAAATAAAGATTCTATTATGGTGGTCGTAGACCGCTTCTCCAAGATGGTGCATTTTGTTGCTTGCAACAAGACGCTTGATGCCACCCACGTTGGCGATCTCTACTTTAGAGAGATAGTTCGGCTTCATGGAATTCCCAAAACCATAACCTCCGATCGGGACGTCAAGTTTTTAAGTCATTTCTGGAAGACTTTATGGGGAAAAATGGGAACTCGCCTACAATTTAGCTCCGTCGCACATTCTCAGACGGACGGCCAGATGGAAACTGTTAATCGGAGTTTGGGAAATCTCCTGCGCTGCTTTGTGGGAAAGAATCTTAAGCAATGGGATTTAATTCTAGCTCAAATTGAATTTGCATTCAACCGATCCCCAAACAATACTACTAGGCACAGTCCTTTTGAAATTGTGTATGGAAGCAATCCTTTGACCCCGCTGGATTTAGTTCCTATCCTCTCCCCTTCTTGTTATAGCTCTGAAGGTGAGCAAAGAAGTTTGGAAATAAAGAAATTGCATCAGCAAGTGCAGGCTGAGATTCACAAACAGAATTACAAATACCAAGCAAAAGCTAACAAGCATCGGAAGCTCGTCCAGTTCCAAGAAGGTGATCTCGTCTGGATTAGATTAAGGAAATAAAGATTTCCTCCAGGACCATTTGGGAAGTTGAAGCCAAAGGCCGACGGACCTTTTAGAGTCATTAAGAAGATAAATGACAATGCCTATCAAATTGATTTACCGGGTGATTAGAACATTTCAGCTGTGTTCAATGTGGCGGACTTAACCCCTCATATTGAACTTGAGTCCTCTCCCACCCCGGAAGAATGACGCCGGAGCGTCTACTTGCGGCATTTAGAAATGCCTGTGTAGCTCTGTTTGTGTGCCGGCAATATAGCCTGGCCATTAGTTATGTTTTTTGTTTTCTCTTATGTGTATAAATAGTTTCTCCTTATAAGAGTGGAGGGAGTTTTTTTGGATTTTTGATTCGTGAAGGGAAATTCTCCTTCCGTAATAAGAGCTCTGTTCTTTTTCTATTTCTCTGTTTTCTCTCTGTATCATGACGAGACTGTGCAGGTGGTGAAGAACAAGAGATCTAGCATTGACGTGAGCGTGAACCTTCAAAGCAAAGAGGTGGTGGCTGGAACTAACGCCTCCTCCCGAAGTTCTTTTCTCCAGTGTGTGTTCTTGTTTAGTGGCGACGCCGGTCTCAAAATGTCCCCAAATACCCGCATGAGCCCGGGCAAACATGTTATTGGTACACACGTGACGCCTAGGGATGCTGCGCGGGTTGACAAGTGAATTCAAGTTCGAACCTAATCCTTCTATACAGATCAATAGAAGTCGACAAGGCTCGAACCTTCAAACGAATACATGGTTGTGGGGACCGATGTATTTGTTTCAATACATTCATATTAGGCCTTCAAGGCCTACAATCAAGAAAATTCACAAATAAAGGCATAAAGCCTACAAAACCCAATCCTCTGTTGACAGCCAGACAGAGTCGACAAGGTTCAATCTAGAAAATGGAAATGACCCCTAACACCCCGATGATGGCTGTGTTGAATGTTTATCTCAACCGGAGGGGTCCATTCAGAATGTTTATCTCAACCGGGGGGGTGTCCATTCAAATCCCAAAACTCCAAAAATGCTCTCCAAGTTCCACCCAAAAATCCAAAACTCCACAAATCCCAAATTACAAGATATTTAAATCTGAAATAAATCCATCAATCACTCAACGCAAAACCCATCCACCCTCCGCAACAGTTTGCCGATGTGGAAAAATTCAAAATATACTTCTGCTCACAAAGAGTCAAATACCTAGTCGAAAATATCACCAGGATCCATTCTCAAACAGTCTCCTTCCAGTAAGGACGTGGTACGTGTCCTCTGACCGGTGGTTAGCCACCAAATGGCACCGCAGGATAAACGGTTATGACGACCCGGGGCCCTTTGAACCGAGTGGTTTTGCCGCCAAATGGCACCACAGATAGTGGTTATGGCCAGAGCCAATACGCTCCTTAGTGGCATCAAATCCTTGAGATATGAATCAATATGATATAATTGAACTAGGTAGCACAAGAGCCTTTCTGTCAGCTAAGGTTTGGATTCATAATTTTTGTCCTCTTAGACAAACATTCACTCTCATAGGTCTACAAGGTCCTTGGACGAAGCACGCCATGGCTGCGACAGGATCGCTTCTATCAGAGTTGGGGTCGACTATCTCCTCTGACTAATAGACAGCGGACGACGATGGCCCGGTGACGACGGAGACCAATGAATCTTGATTCGGGTCTTCATTCATTCCCCACCACCGCTTTAACGTGCAAGTGGTGCAATTTCCATTTTCGATATCCAACTATCCAATCCAAACATTTGCTTAGTACTATAGCAGATACACGTTATTTAATAGCGTATCTGATTGACCTGACTAGCTTAATCGAAAGTTCTCTCTCATGATTGAGAGGGGTAATTAACTATAGGGGCTTGCGTTCTATAGGAAACCAAACTCGATCATAAAGTCCTCCACAAATGACGGGGCGAATCTTTCGTGGGTAATGTTTATCACAAACCACATGCCTTCCAAAATTTTACCTCCGAAACGTTATGCAGTTAAAACTCCCCCTCGCGAAGACGAAAGAGAAGCGCTAGCGGGGAGGCGGGGCCGAATTTGAGACCCACAGTAATATATATTATATATATTATATAATATTATATAGTATATATATATATATATATATATATATATATATATATGTTAGCCAAACATAGAGATTAAAGTAGTAAGGATTTAGTTCAAGTGAAGTATATTAAGGGTGAAGATCAAAACGTGCTTTTATTAGAAGAGGACATTCAACAAAAGTGGATGAGTTATTTTTATAAACTCTTCAATGAAGATTATGACAATGCGATTAACTTTAGTGATCTTAGCACTCTAAATGAAAATAAAGATTTTTGTTTTTATCTGTGTATTAGCAAAATCGAAGTTAGAAAAACTTTAGAAAAAATGAAGTGTGGAAAAGCTGTTGGACCTAATGATTTTCCAATAGAGGTGTGGAAATTATTAGGAGATGAAGTAATTTTCTAGCTTATTAAACTTTTTTATGTTATTTTAAAGACTAAAAAGATACCATATGAGTGGAGATTGAGTGTGTTAATTCCTATTTTTAAGAATAAAGGTGATGCACAAGATTGTGCGAATTATAAAGGAATTAAGTTAATATGTCATACTTTAAAACTACAGGAGAGAATTATGTAGCATAGGTTACGGCGTGAAACTAATGTTTCTTAAAATCAATTTGGATTCATGCCGAGTAGGTTTACTTTGGAAGCTATACATTTATTGAAAGGTTTGATGGAGAAGTATTTAGAGAATAAGGAGGATCTACATATTATATTTATTGATTTAGAGAAAGCATATGATAAAGTTCCAAGAGAAGTGCCTATGGAGGGTTTTAGAAAAGAAAGGGGTTAATAATGCTTATATTCAAGTCATTAAGGATATGTATGCAAGAGCTGTTACTTGTGTTCAGGCACAACGTGGTTTGACCAAGTATTTTTCTATTTTAGTTGGATTACATCAAAGATAAGTTTTAAGCCCATATTTTTTTGCTTTAGTCATGGTTGTTCTCACTAGACATTTGCAAGAAGTTGTACCTTGGTGTATGCTTTTTGCTGATGATATTCTTCTCGTTGATAAAATTAGAGAGGGAGTTGAAGGTAAACATGAATTATGGAGGTCAACCTTAGAGTCTAAAGATTTTTGTTTGAGTATATCTAAAATTGAATATATAGAGTATAATTTTAGTAATAATAGTTCTTATGGGGGGATTGTGACTTTGGGTGATCAAGTCATTAATAAGAGTACACGTTTTAGATATCTTAGGTCTATTGTTTAGAGTGGTGGTGAAATAGATGGGGATATTATTAATATAATTTAAGTTGGATGGTTGAAGTGGAGGAATGCATCGGGCTTGTTGTATGATAGGAAAGCCCCCCTCAAACTTAAGGTAAAATTTTATAGGATGGTAGTTAGACTTGCAATGCTTTATGGTGCAGAATGTTGGCCATTAAAAGAGAAGCATAATGTTAAGTGTTGCAGAGATGAGGATACTTAGGTGAATGAGTGGTTGTACTCTTAGAGACATGATACGAAATGAGCATATACGTGAAAAGTTTGGAGTAGCTCCAGTGGAAGATAAGATTAGAGAGAGTCGCCTTAGATGGTTCGGTTGCATAAGACGGCGGCCTTTCAATGGCCCTGTTAGATAAGTAGATGTTTAAGATTTGACTTATGGTTATAAAATATTAGAAATAATATTTCTTTATTAGATTTAAATGAGAATTTAACTTTTGACCGGGCACAACGGAGAAAAAGGATTCATGTAGCCAACCCCACATAGTGGGATAAAGGCTTAACGTTGTTGTTGTTGTTGTTGTATTCCTTTTTCAACAAAACAAACCGCTTCTTAATCAACGATGAAGCCGGAATATAGTTGAGTGGAGTCGTTATACACTATAAACGCCTAAGTTTATATCTAATAATTAAATAATAAACCTTTCCTGCCTCTATCAGCAATTGAATTTCTATATCATGGAATCAGATTTTGCAGAGATGTGATAGTCAATTGATTATTTTGTCAGGAAAAGATTCCTCAGAATCAAAAGTTGAGTTCATGTTGAAAACTTGTGAATTAATCTGCCCAAACGAAATGAAAAATGATGCAAATTTTTCCACTGAAGCTCAATGCCAATCACAGACAGTCGGCAGAAAGAAATTGTGCGAGGCAGTTCTTCGTTTACAAAGTCCTTGTCAGGCAAGTATATGGTCAAAACATATCAAATTTCTATATTACAGTTTTTTACATGCAATGAAATTTTTAAGTCCAAGCTTCCCATGAATTAGGAGCACATAAAACAAAGCTACAAATGACAATTATTTTATTATTGAATCCAAATCTATTATATTCTTAGCATTTTGATACATTAAGCATTAATTGCATCCACTTCATCTTTGCAAGAATCACTTAGTTATTGAAGACTGCTCAATACTACTTATTCCTTTGGTGTTTCAAATATTTAGAGGACATGGCTAGTGCACAAGGCACCTAATTGAAGGTATGTTGTAAGAAGTCTTACCCCTATTTTAATAGAAAGGTTATTTCTATAATTTGAATTTCAGATCTCCAAATCATAAGTTAAATTGATTCATGAGGCTCTAGTAGCAATAAAAAACCATGCATGCATATGTCTTATAAACGAACCCCCTATTATCTTCTCAAGGAATTGATTTATCCATGTTGTCACTTATATTGACTTTTTTTTTTAAATGGGCTGAAGTGGTTTCCTAAAGGAAGTTAAGGTAGGCAATGTTTTGAAGATATTTCGAGATCACATTATCTGTCAATTTAGAGTTCTGCATTGAATCATGTCTAACAATGATACGAACTTTAAAAGTGTTAAAATATATCAATTTATTCAACTTACAACTATATTGGTTGGGGAGGAATGCCTCTGGTAAACCAAGGCCAGTCTAAGGACTGGTCTAACAATACTCCCCATCCAAATATCCATCTTGTCCTCAAGGTGTAAGGATGGAAACTTATGCTTCACTCTCTCATATGGCTCCCATGTGGCATCATAGTCAGGTAGGTTCTTCCACTTTATCAGCACTTCCTTAAGCCCACCTATTAGACCAGTCTAGCCGGTCCACATGGGACTAGCTTTGGCGGAAAGAGGCGGAAGTGTCCGCCTCTCCTGTACAAGTTGCACAAGCCGCAAGGGTTAGAGAGCTGTTTTGGAAGGATTTTTGAGGGATTTGGGAGGAAAATTTGAATGTAGGGATGTTTAGATATTTCCTTTTGAATTGTATGCATTAAATAAGTTATTTTTCTAGGGTTGTGGCATCTTGAATTTGGCTGAAATTTGAGATCTCATTTAGGTTTATTTTGGGCTCTAGCTGTGTCTAGAGATTTGGGAGAGAAAGATCTTCCTCTCGAATAGAGGTTCAATTGTATCTTGTTATTTTCTTCCATTTTATTTGATTCTTGTAATAAAATTATTATTTTTTTCCTTTGGAGTTTGGAAGAGTTTCTCATTGTTTTTTCCGAAATTGATTGGATTTAATTGAAATTTTCAAGTGTTTCCTATCAAATTGGTATCAGAGCAATTTCCTGGGCTGAATTTGAAGTCTTCCTCGCTGAATTTTGCTATTTTTCGTATCCAATTGTGTTGTTTTTGTTGATTGGAGGCCAGAATTTGCGTCAAGTTTGCGGCTCTTGCTATTGGAGCCTAAATCCAAGTTCTCATGACAGGAAGAAAGATAGAAGTGTTGGAAGGGGAGATCGGACAATTGAAACTGAAATTTCAGATCTTCACTCTCAACTTTCAGATGTTAATAGTCAATTTCAGCCATCCACGAGGAGATGGATGAAAATTTTTCCACCCTAGGGGAGATGTTGAAGAAGTTTCTCGTGGACCAATCCAAAACAATGTCGTCAGAGGTGAGGGAAGCCTCGACAAACCAGGAAGTGGAGAAAACTCTAATCCAATAAGGAAAAGAGGAGGTCAGGAGGTGGAGATTCAAAAGGGAAAATAGAGAATACCTCCTCTAGAGCCTGTTCCTATGGAGGAGTCGAGTAGAGGGTATTTGGAGAAGCGTGAGGAGGTGGAGCATGAGCCAAGGGGTGCCGAATTTGAGAGGAGAGGGGCAAAATTTGAAAGAGAAAGGGGTGATTATAACCGAAGGGGGGGGGGGTGGAATTGACAAGAGAGGGCCTTGTTATGATCCAAGGGGTGCTGAATTTGAAAGAAGACCATGTGAATTTGATGAAAGGCTTGGATATGAGTGTAAAAGGGATGATTGAGACGTTTGGGGGGAACCACCCACTTGGGGAAGGGGAGATTATGGAGGGAACATAATCAACAGAGGCGATCTGAGTGTGAGGAAATTGAAGATGTCAATCTTGAGGGGGAGGATGTGCATGGGTGAATCTATAAGATAGAAAGATATTTCACCATCAATAGGTTGACAGAGGAGGAGAGAATGACGTCAACAGGCCTATGTTTGGAAGGAAAGGCATTGTCTTGGTACGAGTGAAGGACATGTGATGACTTCGTGAGAGTTTAAGGATTGTTTGATAAAACATTTTCGAACTAGTAGGGAAGGAGACTTCTACGAGCAGTTCTTCTCCTTGACACAAGATGGTTCAGTGATGGAGTACTGAGAGAGATTCGAGTACCTTGCTAGCCGATTGGACCGCCTTCCTGAGACAGTGCTAGAGGGAAATTTCATGAAGGGACTGACACCAGAAATTCAGGCAGCGTTAGAATAATGAGGCCTTGTAACTTGGGAGAGGTTATGAAGCTAGCTCAATTGGTGGAGGATCAGAGGCACTTGGAGAGAGAGATGAGAGGCAGCAGTTTAGGAGGTTCGAACAGGAGGACCACCACCTTTCTGGCACCCGAGTCGACATCGGGTACTTTTCGGGAGACCCGAAGGAGAAGACTATAGAAGTAAGACCTAAGAACAATTTCAAGAAGCTCACATAAACGAAATTACAAGAGAAAATGACGAAGGAGCTCTGTTTCAGATATGACAAGAGGTATACGCTGAGGCACATGTGTAAGGACCGGACTTTTCAGGTTCTTACTGTTGATAAAGAGGAATAGAGGAGGGTATCGTCTTTCCATCTGGCAGATAAGGTGGGTCTTTGGGAGGGGGGGGGTGTATTGTTAGACCGGTCCATCCAGTCCACATGGGACCAGCTTTGGCGGAAAGAGGCGAAAGTGTCTGCCTCTCCTGTTTGAGCTGCAAGGGTTAGAGAGCTGTTTTGGAAGGATTTTTGAGGGATTTGGGAGGGAAATTTGAATGTAGGAACTATTTAGAGATTTGTTTTTGAATTGTATGCATTGAATAGTTTGTTTTCCTAGGGTTAGGGCATCTTGAATTTGGTTGAAATTTGAGATCTCATTTAGGTTTCTTTTGGGCTCTAGCAGCGTCTAGAGATTTGGGAGAGAGATCCTCCTCTCGAATAGAGGATCAATTGTATCTTGTTATTTTCTTTCGTTCTATTTGATTCTTGGAATAAAAGTACTATTTTTTTTCTTTGATGTTTTTAAGAGTTTCTCTCTGTTTTTTCAAAATTGATAGTATTTACTTGAAATCTTCAAGTGCTTCCTATCACCACTCTCTCCTTGTCATACCTCTTTCAGTTCCAGCGATTGCAACATCACCTCCAGATCTTCTGTCAGTGTCCCTAGTAACTTTGAACTAGTTGCATGATTCCCAATAGCTCTCCTCATTTGTGATACGTGGAACATCCGGTGTGTAGTAGCGGTCAGGGGTAACCTTAATCGATAAGCTACTGCTCCAATCCTCTCTATTATCTCATAAGGGCCAAAGTACTTCGTGGTCAGCTTTTCATTCCTCCTGTGAGCTACCGTCTTTTTTCTATAGGGGCATTGCTTCAAGTATACCCTATCTCCTATCTCAAATTGGATGTCCTTCCTACGCCATCTGTCTGCTTCTTCATAATATGCTGAGCCCTTAACAATTGCCTTTTCAACTCATCTAACACCTGGTCCCTCTCCTCCAAGTATTGCTCTATTGAGAAAACTGTTATGTTATTCTACCCAAAGTGTACCAAGTGAGGTGGTTCTCTTTTGTACAACACTTTAAAAGGGGTCATTTAGAAAGTTGAATGATACAAAGTGTTGTACCAGTATTTTGTCATGCCAGCCACTTGGCCCATTACCTAGGTGTCTCAGGAGCAAAAACATCTTATGTATGTCTCCAAGCTTTTGTTCACCTCTTCTGTTTGTCTGTTTTTCTATGAGTGGTAGGTGGTGCTCCTCTTCAGCTCCCTTCAAAAATGAATGAGGAACACCTTATCTCTATCATATACTATAGACTTTGGTATCCCATATAATATGACCACCTCTCTGATGAATGTTTTCGCTACTGTCACTGTCATGTAAGGGCATCGTAGGGGAATGAAATAAGTGTACTTGCTCAATTTGTCAACAACCACCAAAATCATTAAATCCCTCAGATCGGGGTAAAGCCATGTATAAAGTCCATGGTGACCTCCTCCCACACCCCGCTTAGTAGAGCTAGGGGTTGAAGTAACCACCCAAGAGCCATGACCATATATTTGTTCTTTTGGACCTCATATCTAGCCACCATATCTTCCACATCCTTGTGCATCCCCTTCCAATACAACTCTACTATCAATCTCCTGTATGTCTTATGTACACCATAATGACCCCCCAACTGCGCTCCCAAGGAACTCCTGTAGCAGTTATGGGATATGGAAAGAGGTCCGAGGCATCACAAACCTTGCCTGATACAGCAATCTCTCCTCTAGAGAATAGTAAGGGAGACTATTCTCATCTCTAAGTAGCTTTGCCTTCTCATCTCTTCATCCCGCACACTCTCCTCTTTAATAACCCCTCAATCCAACATTAGTGGTAACGACATAGTTAACTCATGGAGCTTTCCCATTATCTGGACAAGGCATCAATCGCCCTGTTCTCCAATCTTGGCTATAGTGGATTTCAAAGTCATAGCTTAACAGCTTTGACTACCACCTCTGATGTTCCTGAGCATTAATATGGTTGCTGGGCCCCACCCCTAAAGGGGGCGTCATTGGTTGTTCCACCTTTGGTAAATAAAGGCTGGTCCAGGATGGACCGATTGGACTGGTCTAACACAAAGCAAAAAGGAAGAGAAGATCTACAAGAAGAACAAGGAAAATCTTAAGAACCTTTCATAAGTTGTAGAGAAGGATTCAAAGGTTGGCAAGTCTACTTCTTATTTTTAGTTTTTGTTGGCTACTATTAGTTATTGAGGGTGAGTCTAGAGCTATGATTAAGTTGTTTCTAATATAATATGGATGCCCATACTCCTAGGTTTGATTTATAGAAGTAGACTCTGCAAATATTAGAGCAAGATTGTATACATTAACCATTTTCATACCCTACATTATCAAGAGCTTCATGCACTAAATATATCATACTTTCAGTTATCATATCTCTTGTAAGAACCGGCTGGTACAGTTCAACCGAACTAGACCTTACGTTGAAGCAGGTGAGCGGAACTGAGAAGCAGCGGATCGAGTGGGTGAAGTCTAGCAAGCGAAGCGAGCGAGCCGAACGGGTGTGGGAGCTACAGACGAGATCAGATTGTGTAGATAAGTGAAGAAATGCATGCGGGAGTGAAAAATAGCGACTCATGCAAGATAATTTAGTTTCGCTTCATTCAATTTGACAAATGAACGAAAGAAACTGAGAAGGCAGCATTCAAGAGGAAGGAGAAGGAAATAGAGAAAAATAGGAAGGGAGATTGAGAGAATGACAACACAAGCAAGGAAAAAGGATTGGACGAGCAACGAGCAACGGGTTGCTTAGAAAGGTAAGAAATTTTATTTTAATATTTATAAAATTAAATTGTAAATTAAAAGAATTAATTTAGAAAGAAAAATAATACTAACAATAATAAAATCTTAATTAATAAATTATTTATTTGAAGTTATTGAATTATTAATTTTTAGATATTATTAAGGAAGTTTAATCTAAAATTTATATTTTGATATAATTTAGAAAATATTAAAATTGAAAATTTTATTAGTTAATTATAATGTATATATATGAGAGAGAGAGAGAGAGAGTGAATATTTAAAAATTTAATTCTAATTAGTGAATTAACTAATTAATTAGAGAGTAAGAGCAATTATTAATTCAAATTTTAACGGCAAGATATTTATATAGGTGTTAACCTAGCAACAAATTAAGGTGGATTGTCCGGGCATCAGATTTTGAGATGAGTGCTCAATGCTCATGCTCCTATATTATAATAATAATGTTGATTTCATTGAATTAATTGATATTGGTTAGTCGAATGATTATTGTAAGATGTTAACATTTCTTCTTTGTGAATGGTCATATTGAATTGATTAATAGTTAGCATGATTATTCATCATGTGCACAATAAAAAGTTTTGAATGATAAATGAATGAAATGAATATATAGAAATGATTGTATGTGCATGTTGAATGATGAAGCACACCCTCTTATGATATTGGCTGAGGATATAATATACCCATGAATGTAAAGGAAAAAGATTATGAAAAAGAAAAACGAATTGAAAAATGAGTACCTTCATTTGTATTATTTTTAGACAGTGGCTCATGCGACAATTATATTATTTATAAAAAGAGGATAAAGATATAAATAAAATATGATATATACATAACTTTAAAAGTTTTAAAGTGAAATGATTAAATAGAATTACTTTATGTATTGAAATGATCATGCATATTATTCCAAATGTCTTGGGTTATTGTAATTTAAAAGCATGATTTATTGATTTAGTTTTTTATGACTCACTCCTAAATTGATAAATGGACATGTATTATTTGAAGCTTAAAATGAGTACAAGAGAAGATAATGTCTATCGTAGGCGCGACGCACTAGAAGAAAGATATTTATAATATTTAACTTTGTTTTAATTTTTGAGGATTTAGTGGCTCTTTTAATTTATTAGTGATAGATTTAACAAAATCAACCGTTCGACAGTCTGTTACCGTCTCGTTAATTCAATCATTCGAACCAGGTCGTGATATCTCTAAGTGCACACAACTCCCCTCTCATATTTGTTATTATCCGTCTTTAACACACTATAGCCTTACACCCTTGGTTGAGCCTTTACAAGTATATTTATCTTTGATTATTTGCATGCAGGGGTACATAAGTTATATTATAAACACCTCAAAAGAGAATTACTCGATGATAACTTTGTTGTTCCAATATTCAAGACTAGATTCATAATTTTTTATGTTGGAGTAATAAAAATGCTTCCCCATTCTAAATTTAGTCGAGATTTTCCAAAAAAAGATCTTATCATGAATATGTGTTTTAACATGGTCAGAGCAGGTATACATTTTGTTTAAATTTTAAATTGGGTTAATGACAGCCATGTTAGTTGTGTTAGTGAACCATGTTTCCTTATATTGTCATATAGTTTGTTCATAGATTTCATTTAATGAATGAAGGATGAGTTATATTTCTATAAATGGTTGTTCAATTTTTGAGCTATTCATACATGGAGTTGACTGAAAATAAAGGACGCTCAGGAGTATGCATATAAAGTTTAGTTCAACCGTTCAGCCACCCTAACCATGTAGTTGGGAGCTTTAATTCTTGCCACTAAGGTTGTATGTTCGAGACTTGCATATATGAGTGAATGCATGAGTTTATGATTAAATTCGATCCAAGTTAAAAAAGGAAAAAAAAAAAAACTAAAATGTCTTACACAAATGCATACCCTTTCTATAATAAATATTTCTTGTCAAACAGTTGTCTAGTTTGGACATTAAATATAGACACAAAAAAATTTAATTTTATAGCTATTTTTTATCATCACTTTTTTTTCTTCTCGTTTTCTGTTTTATTAAGCAAAAATTAAGAAATAACTGAATTTCTGCAATACTGCCCTTTTGAAGGACTCATGGTTTCTTATCCTCTCAGGTTGTCTCGGTGTCTCCCAACAGTCCCTTTCATCTTCGCCATCAAATTGCGAATATGTGTAACATCATGAGTATTTCGTGGGGGAGCCTTTACGTCCTACTCTTAGTTACTTTTAGTCATCATATCTCCTATGCGCACACAACTCTCGCCTATCCTAGTTTTCATTATCTCCTTTAAATACACTACACCCGTTATGGATCCTGCCTGAGTCTAATACAAGTACATTTCTCTTTGATAATTTGCTTGCAAGGGTCCATCAGGTACGTCATAGCTCATGAGCTCCACATAAGAGACCTTCTGGACAATAGTCAAGCCTATATCATAATTTTTTATGTTAGTTAGAGCAATCAAAATGCTTTCATTCTAAATTAGTGGAGGTCTCAAAAGAAATGAAAAGAAAAGAAAAAAAAACTCGTTATAGTTTGGGATAATGAATATATGCGCTTTATAATGGAAAGATCAAGTATCTATTTTGTTTAAATTTTAGACTGCATTGGTGACAGGTTTGCTTAATTATATTGCCTTATAGTTTCTTTATTCTAATGAATTAAGTCTGATCTATACCTCCGTTAATGGTTCTTCTATGCTAGAGTTATTCATAGAATCCGAAGTTGACCCAAACTAAGGAAGCTCAAGGGCATTTATCTAAAATTTAGTTCGGTCATGCAGCCCACCTCAGCCATGTAGTTGAGAGCTTGGCTTATCACCAAGAGATTGCGGGTTTGAGGTTTATATATATGAGTGTATGCATGAGTTTGTAATTAAATTAAGTCAAAATTATTGGAAAAAAACTTCATTTTCTGCATCATAGATTTATCTGATTTGACTGTTAAATATATGCATGTAAAAAAACTGTAATTTACTATATACTTGTTTAGCATGTTTATTTTAACTTTATTTTCTAATTTCATTCAGAAAAAAAAAAAAAAAACTTTCTGAACTGTTCTCTTTATTGTACAGGAACTTGATGAGATATTTTGCACGAATAACTGGATATTACCAAAATATTGCGTGCTTCCCTCATCTGATGGTAAACTCATTTATTCCATCTGTTTTTTTTTTGGTTAGCTGTAATCCATATTCATGCATCTCTATTTTGTGGTAACATAAAGAGGTCATGCATGGAAAATCTAGCAATGTTTGGGATGATATTATTATTGTTTAGTAAAGATACTTTTTAGTATAAAATTTTTTTGAAAGCAGGAAACAAAGTAGTCTGAAGCTATCTCAAACGAAGCTTAAATCTAGCCTTGTTTCTTTGTTGCTATTATACAAGATTAATATCATAAAACTACATTAGCCATTCTGTGACAAATATCCAGGAAAATTCCAAGCTCTTGTGACAGTGCGAGGAATGGACTTTGAATGTGAGAGCCATAGTGACTGGAAGACGAGCCCTAAAAAAGCTCGTGAATCAGCAGCAACCAATATGTTGAACAAACTAAGGAGCATGGCAGCCCAAGCAAATTGATCATTGATGAAATTAAACGCTTTTGAATGCATTCTGTTTTGTGCATATTCGTAAATTTAGAACTGTGATATTCTGTAACTATAATAGACAGGCATTATGGCTGTTTATAAGAATTCAATAGCAATTTAATATGCCAAATGCGTCTAGTTTTTAGCCTTAGAGCTGACCAAGAGCCATTAACTGTATGTTGAATCTGTGCCATCTGAACACGAAGCAAGGTTTGCTAATTTGGTTTTGGCTCTACTATGGAAGTTTCAGTATTGATAGTTTTGATTATTTTGATTTTTCAGTAGCTTCGATTAAGGTTTAAGCTAGTTTGATTTTTACATTTTTAATGTTTTACAATATTATGTTCAAACTTTTTTGTTCTTTTTTTAAATTATAACATTAGGTGATATTGATTTAAAGATATTTTACATAATTTAATTGAGAATAGGTATATCCATGTCTATGACAAGATTAATGATTTGCTTGGTTTAAAATTATTATAAAATTGTTGTAAAGAAAATAAAATTTTTAAAAGCTCTTGTTGAGATTAAATTTTTTTTTTTTAACTAATCATATATTAGCAATTCTTGATATAAAAAATAAATTTTCATCATAAATTTTTTTAGAAAGTAATAAGAAAATAATAGCCAGATTATGGCTAAATATATAAAATAATAATAAACTTATTGTCCTAAATACATCATAAGTTGATTTTAATGTAGTCCTTTAAAATATTGATATGTATCTAAGTAGCCACCATGGTCCAAAAGCAGTCGATGCCAATCAATCTTGAGCGCAGCATTTAATGCTGTCGACATAACCACATTGAAATTTTGTCTCCAAACTTCTACCTGAGGTGGTCAACAAACTCTCTTTTTTCTCTCTCTCTCTCTGTTAGGAACTAAGCATACGAAAATTGCATCAATGTTTCCGTCCGTGATTAAAGTTCAATCAAGCTGATGTGCAAAGCCGCACAAAGATTGAATTATTGAAGAACCTTCTTTGCATATTAGGAGATAAAGTAAAGATTTGTCAATTTTAAGATGAGATTTGAGAAAGAAATACAAACCTCCTTTCTTTCTGCTGCAAATCAAGAATAAGGCATTCAACCATTTGCTGACACCAATGAGAATACAAGTTTCCCTCTGTTATTCCTGTCTTGAGGACTCCAATAGCTGCCTCAGATAATTTTTCTCTCATCTTTCCTTGAGGCAACTTTTCTTATCGGAGCCTCTCCCTTCTTCTGCTTCACCTGAACTACCTCTCTCTCTCCCCCATAAATATTTTCTTCTCTCTATCGTGCAAGCTCGCTGGATGCATTTGAGAGGCCACCAAGGGCTGTCATTATGAAACACCTCTTTGCTTCCTATTCTTTACTGGAAGGCCATCCCCATATAGCAGACTAGACAGAAAACCCTTGTAATTCTCCTTCACGGCAGCGCCACTTAACTTGCTTATAAGTGACCAATGAGTCTCAAAATTAGGGGAATATCCTGCTTTCTGCATTTCCTGCACAAGTTCTGAAGCCTTCTCCATATTGTTTTCAGCATAATAAGCTCTAATAACAGAATTGTACATTCTGCAAGCTGGAACTAGACCAAATTGAAGCATTAAACCTAATATCCTTCTACCATCATCACTTCGGCCACACTCAGTCAAGTAACATATCAGTGTAGCACTGAAAGCCTCACTTGGCACAAGGCCCTTCTGAAACATTTCTTCATAAAAATCAAGTGCCTCATCATAGGCTTTGTGGATACAGAATCCATGGATTACCGAAATGTAACTGGTTTGACTTGGAAGGCTACCCTTCTTCAACATTATATTCAACAGATGGGCTGCCTTCTTTACTTTCCCTCCAGCACTCAATTCTTTAATTAGAAGGTCATAGCAGACACGTTCAGCTATCAACTCTTGTTCCTCTATTCGGTCCAAAAGGATTAGTGCTTCAGAAAGCTGGCCAGAAGAAATCAGACTCATGGCTAGGCAATTTTGAATACAAGAACCAATCTTCCAGCCATTGTTTACCATCATATTACTCAGTTCTAGTGCTTTGTTAAGCTCCCCATGCCTGCAAAAATGGCAAATTATGATTCTAAAACTACGATTATTCGGTCTCATTCCATGGCCCATCATATCATAGAAGACCTCAACTGCTTTGGACACAATTCCAAACTTATAGTATCCATAAACAAGGAAATTACAAGTGTTAGTATCCCGAAGTAAATGTTTCTCCCGCATGTTATCTAACAAGGCATCAACAAGTGAATAATTTTTTGTCTGAAAGAGAGAAAAAATCAGAATGTTTTGAAATACTAAAGTTGAATTTGGGCCATTTTCAACTAGAAATAGTTTTTGAAGATTTAACGCACCATTTAACACTGAGTGAACACACAATCCACGAACAAGGCAGCGATAGCTAGAAATTGAAAGGTTAGCATGAGTTCTTAACATGATAGCCAAAATCTCAAGTGCCTTCTTCAGATTATTCTGCCGGCAGAATCCATGAACAAAGGCGTTTAAAATTTTATCATCAGGAAACATTCTATTTGCTAACATTTCTTGCAACTGAGAAGTTGCTTCCCTTAGATTTCCCTTCATGCAAAATTCATTCAGCATTACACCATAAACACAATTAGCATGACCTCCCCTTCTGCTCAGGGCCTGTTGCTTCAAAAATAGAGTTTCTTCAGTTCTACCAGAACTTATCAAAAAATGCAATAAGAATTGATATGATTTTTGGCATATAGTTTCTGTCAGATTCATAAGGAATGATTGGCCCAAAACTTCAATCCTCTTAAAAACTTCCTCGAGAAACACAGTTCCAATAACCGAAATTCCTCTAGAACTAAACTCTTTCAGAATTGCAGTGACAAATGATGGTACCAGATCATGAAATTTCTCTGTCACGCTATCAAAAAGCATGAACATATCTTCAACCATTCCTGAATTGCATAAACAACTCACAAGGATGTTGATGTCGTTGGAGCATGGTGAGTAGTTTATTCCCTTGAGTAATTCCAAATATTCCCGAAGTCGTCGAAGATTCTTCTCATTGTAGAAACCCAATATCACAGCATTGTAACTAGCATTATCGACCGGTAACTCTATTTTCAGCATCCTGTCCAGAACTGACCTTGCCCTGAGTGTCATGCCATTCTTGCTTAAAGACTGCACAACTAGATTAAGAGTATCGCCATCGAGCCGATCCCATAATTCTGGCTCCTCATCAAGAAAACTGATGGCTTCTTTCAAATGAGAAGAGGATTTACACATCACTTTCAAGAACTGAGAACAAGTCTCAGGAAAAAGATCATGCCCCCATTGAACAACTTCATTTTTCACCCTAAGTGCTTTTTCTAGATTTCCCTGTTGGCATTCCTCATATAATATAGAACCAAAATCTGGACTCATGGCATCCTCTAGAATCTTATCAAGAATCTTTTCAAATTCACAATTCTCAGTTTCTAAATAAAGCCCATTGCCAAGGATATCAAAGTATTCAGCTTTTGGAACTCTAGCATCATTATCCCTCTTAACCTTCAAACCTAGATAATCAATGCCCAGAATCTTAAAGGCCTTAGAAAGATGATCCTCCTCCCCTTGAGGTAAGGAAATAACACCAGAATTTTCCACCTCAGTGAGTAAATTCTTTATCTCAATAAACTTTCTATACTTGCAATACCCAGCCAGCAAGATTTTCAAAGTAGATAGATCCAGCAAGATCTCTCTCTCAACCATCTCCTCAAAAATATCTTTTGCAGCCTTACACATTCCCTCCTTCAAAACCCCACCAATAATTGCATTATAAGTGTACACATTCAATTTTATCCTATGAGAAAAACTTTCAGATAAGTAAATGAAAGCATCTCTCAGCTTTCTTTCTTTACAGCTCCGAACAATAAGAATTCCAAAGGTAATATGGTCTATCTGAGCACGTAAAGCCTTCAACTCTTGAGTAAAGAACCAAGCATAATCACTACCAAGCTTTCTGCAGATAGAAGAAATTACTTTGTTAACTACAGAAGATGAAGGTATGTGTGCCCATTCTTTCATAAAATTTAAGACATCTTCATAGTCCTTTTTACAGCAGTATCCTAGAACAACTGCATCAAGTGTACCAGGGTTTGCTTTAAAACCAGCAGTCCTTGCTTGCCTTAGGATTTTTACAGCTTCAAAAGTCTTCCCATCCTTGCATAAAGATCCCACAACATAATCAAGCAGCCGGCCTTCAGCCCATAACCCAAATTCAGACTCCATCATGTCCATATAGACTCTTATTGCCAATTCAGAATTATCCTCCTCAACTAATAGATTCAATAGAGCTTGGTAACATGAACATGAGAGTTCCAACCCTTGATTCACTGCCTTATTATACAAAGCAACAGCATTTTGTAATAGGAAATTCTCAGCATAACCTTGGATAATATTACTAAACATCTCACTTGTATTGGAAAAGATGCCACTGGGGTTTGAAGATAAAACCAAAGACTCGGCATCGGCAAACATCTGAGATCGGATAAGCATGGAGATCATTATCTCATACGACCTTGGCAGATGATGAAAGTTCCTGCTTTGTCTAGGAGCCCAATTGAACAACGTCCATAGGAATTCCACCATAAAAATCGAATCTTTGCCTGCTTCGAAGCTCATTGACAACTCCAGGAAATCTCCAGGACTCAATGTGGAAACACGCCAGAAACGACGGATGATCTCGGGGCAAAGGTTTCCATATTTCTTCAGTATTTCAGGCAAAGAAGAATAATTATCCAACCAGGCATCTGCTTTGTTCTTCGAAAAGAGGGAGCATCTGGAAATAACAGCTCTCCCAATACCAAAACCTCTTCCGGGTAGAAAATTTGCCTGGTTAGTGGAAAAGGGTCTTCTATTCAGGAAGAGATGAAGCTTGCACGTTGCAATTCCGGATGTGGAGAATGTGTTTGACGAAACTACTGGACGGAGAATGGGAGAGGAACTGACCAGCAGCAGCTCTAAGACAGCGCCCAAGCAGCCAAATTTGGGACCAAGAGAAGCAGCAGGGGTTTCTAAAGACGGATAGGAAAGAGGAAATAGCTTCTTGCTCATAGCCTTATCTCATGTGTGCTATGCTACCATGGAAGCTCAGACGGAGAAAACTCGCAGGTTGTGGAAAATGTGGATATTGATGCGAGGGAAATTAGAACATTTTAGGGCCCGGTAAGGTAAAATTGTGTTATATATTCTGAATTTGATAATACTTTGGGGACAGGGGTGTCAATTTTGGGTCGATGGGTCGGATTCGGGTCAAATCTTAGTTGATCTGGATCTAAACAGGTCAACTTGAACTCAACCCATTTTAGCAAAAGGGTCAGATATTTCAACCCGGACCCAACCCGTGCGGGTTATCGGGTTGATCTGACCCGATCCGCGAACCCATTTGGATTAGAAACGGGCGTGACTGGTTGAGTCGTGAGGGCTGTCACATTGCATGTACGTCCGAATGTGGCGAGACACGGAGGCAGGCGAGCACTCGGCAACAAGAGGAGGCGAGCAAGGTAGCGAAGAGCAGACTACGGTCTGCGGGTGGGGCTTACATCTGGCACTAGGAAGCGGATGCCTGGCTTGACCTTGAAGGCTCAACATGACGGCTGACAAGATCCTAACATGATGACTGGCATTCAGTTTGAGTCGATGCGAACAGCTAGCCTAAGTGACTGCAAACTCTCATCATCAATTTTTAATATTAGATGATTTAATTAACCATAAGTAAAAGAAGCTAAGCTCTTAAATATTGAGGTGCCTTTTGGTGTGATGGTTGAAATTTCATTAAAAAATTTTGCAATTAAGCGTGCTCATCCCGGAAAAATTTCATGATGAATGACATACTTGGAAGTTACACCAACAGAACAAAATTGTGAGGCTCTTAGGCTAAAGCGGACAATATCTCGATAGTTAAGAATTTGGGCTGTTACATGTATAATATTATATAGCATTGAAAGATAGATTATGTGGTTCTCATGCATTGATAATTGGTTTATTTTTTGAACTTTTGAAAATCTATAGCTATTATAATTACTTGTTGATTAGCAATTATGCTAACACCCTATTAAGCTGTAAGTTCAGATGAAGAAATATAGATATAAGAATATATTTTTATATTGAATTATTAAATGAAATTATATGAGTAAGCTTGCTGTTGTAGAATATGAGTGTTTGAAAACATTATATATTAAACAAATATTCAATGGCATATTCAATACATGATGATGAAATATTTTCTCTATAATACCGCCATCAAATTGTTGTTTGTGTGGAGAACACCAAATTTTCATGAGAAAAGAACTAAAATAGAATTAATTGAGTAAATCAAATGGCTTCATGATCAAATATGGTTAATTGGAAGGTGGATCTAGTAGCTATTGTTAGGAAATTTTCATATCGCATTTGTAGAGGAATGATATATGACAATAGTTGTTATGTTATGGTGCAAGTACATTGAAATAAAATAATTTAACCATTATCTCGTAGTAACGTAGTCTTATAATTTATGTAGAATATGTGAGCGACAACGAGTCATCAAACACTATCTATCGCCGTAAAACTGATAAAACTTCTTTAAAAATTATTTTGAAATTAATACAATGGGTTGGATAGATTTGAAATTTCAATCAAATAAGATTCTCATAAATATTTGATAGAAATGTAGACATTTCTAAAAGAAAAAGGTTTTGCACGTGAAAGTTCTAGTACCTAACACCGTTTAGGTGATGACCTCTCCATTCACTATGGCCAATCAAAAAGCACAACCCAAAATTCTCATTGACCAAAATATCATAACGTCATACTATGCAAGCAGCAATTGTACTACAGGAAAACTACTTATTTCTGACGGATGTTTCGGCGGATCTTCATATGTCGCTTAAAGTGGCGGTTGAACCGGTGGATATTTCGTCAGAATATTTCTGGCGTAATTATCAGTGTATATTACGGTGGTACATTTTCGTCGTATATGACGCGAGTTAATTTGTTGGTGATTTTGTTATACCGGCGAATAATTCGTTGAAATTACCGGCGATTTAGCCACTGACTTATTTAAACATAACAGCTCATTGCCGGCATATAGTTCACCGAAAACCTGACCGGCATATTATCCGTCTGTAATTTCGATGAAATGAGCCCTATTTCCCAGCTTCGGTCCATTCCTTCTCATTTTCTCTCGTTTGGTTCTCTGCTCGCTGTCCAGCTGCGACCGACACCTCGCCGACCTCAGTCAGCCATTCACCGCTGTTCTTGGCCACCGCCGCCATTCTTGGCCTCCGCCGCCGTTAATGTGAGCCGATCTTCATTCGCCCGTACTGGTTCTCGTGACCCTGTCCGTCTCTTACGGTAATACTCTATCACGACCCGACCCGATCCGGGACGGATCCCGCTCGCACCGGGCCGCGACAAAACCTTTTATCCAGGATCTGGCTTTGGAGTTTGGTTCCTGAACTGAATCTTCCAAATATTTAACTCAAAACAACACACAAACACAGAACAACAGAGCTACTATAAGTCACCAAATGCAGCGGAACAAAACATCTATATTTTTCTTTCTTTTCCTCAAAACAATCATCTACAAATACAGTACATGGCTTTTGAACAGAAAGAATAGTAGTAGAATTCAAGTTGGATGGTTGAACTGAAGGAATTCATCGGGCTAGCTTGTTGTTTGATAGAAAAGTCCCTCTTAAACTTACAAAAAAATTCTATAATATGGTGGTTAGACCTGCAATGCTTTATGGTGAAGAATGTTGGCCATTAAAAGAAAATCATAATATTAAGTTTGGCCATTAAAAGAGAATGTTGGCCATTAATGTTCAGCCAAATCAATTATAGGGGTTTTGATAGATAATATTTGATGATTTTCAACACTTGTTGGGCACTTTGAAATGATTTTGCACGAACACTTGCTCGCCACCTATCATTTTCCTAGTGTTTGATAAGAGTTGAGTTTTGGAGTAAATTCGAAGATCAATATTTCAATAGGAAATATTTTGATCACTACACAACTATTAATATTATTGTTGTTATAAATGTTATTATTAAATCACTATATTTTTATACAGTTTTATCTTAGATGGATATCATAAATCAAAGAAGTTGCATGTATAATCGATTGTCACAACGACGATAGACATTAATATATGAGTTTATTAAATGCGTGAACTATTGACATTAATATCGGCGGCGTTTACGTCAGTATATTCGTAAAATCGATATTTGATGATAATTCTGACATATGTTCCGCTGCTTTTCCGACGTACTTTTTCATCAGAAATGGTGGCGGAACATACGCCAAAAAATGACATCTAAAAATAGACAGATATGTCTTACATTTCCACCTGTATTTCACCGGAAGTATCGCTGAAATGTTTACGTCGGTATTTTATTTGCGACGCACGAATTACCGTCACATGGTTTTCGTCGGAAATTCGCCTAAAAATCATAATTTCCAGCATTTTTTCTTGTTACCGGTGGATATTGTTCGCCGGTAATCACCTATTTTCATGTAGTGTTCGAGCAGTATGTATATTGGAATTTTTGTAATAGTAATGTGAGGAAAGAGCAATGGTCAAACTTAGTTGTTGTGCTGAATAGAAGTGTTGGAGCAAATTACACAGTATCTTCCATAATTATAAGATTTAAGAACATGAAAGTTGACTTCAAAACACTATATCAACTAAAAAATCATAGCAGTTGAGGTTGGGATGACGAATTACACATGCCAGTAGTGATTAACTAGTTGTGGGAGGAGATTAGTTAGGTATTTATCTTGCTATTAACTAGCTCTCACAAATTACAAATTCAAATTATTAACTCAGGTAAACTTTCAATTTATAGAATCGTTATCATAATCATAAGGGTTTTACTTTGCAGAACTTAATGGCTACAATTTCAGTTGATTGGCAATTTGTGTATGTCTCCTCTGGGTGGGAGGGCTTTGCTGCGGATATGCATGTGCTTAGATGGGCTGTTTAGTATGGTCGATTTGGAGTGCCCCGCAATCGTTATTGCTTGGTTGATTATGGATACGCAAATACTGATAAGTTGATTGTATCATTTCAAAAATATCGATATCACTTAGGTGATTATTGTTGAAGTACATCTACAAGGTATATGTAGTTTAGTAAGAGTTATTTAATCACCGACATGCCCAATTGCACAATGTGGTAGAGAGAACTTTTGGAATTTGGAAGGAATGATTTTAAATTTCGAGGCACATGAGACAGTTTCCTCTATGTGCTCAAGCTGATTTGGTTATTGCATGTGTAGTTTTGCACAACTTTATAGGTCAATACCATAAACAATATATGTATTTCAATATATCGTAGATGGAAATGCATCATGATAATCAACATGGCGAAGTTGAATTATGTGATGAGGATTCTAACTTACATGCGACAATAGGAGAAAGAATTCATGGAGAAGTGATACACCATGACATTGCAACAGACTTGTGGAATGCTCAGGTAAGCATTTTTCTTTGCATAAAAAGTAATTTCATGATTTTCTGGTTTCAAGTATATTGCCAAAGAAATTGATCGTCATGATGGAATTACTCTCCCATGCAAGATATATCAAATTCTCTATCATATTGAGGTGAACTATCAAATAGTAATGTATGAGTGTCTAGACCACAATTACTCTATTATAGTGTCATGAACTCTTTTTGCATGTTGTAGTTTCTATTGTACGTGCTCATTTTGAATTTATTATGTGGTATGGAGTTATCTTAAATCTATTATAAGCTTTTTTATGTAATTCAGAATTATTTCTTCATATTTAAATATCTAACTATCATAAATCCTAAAATATATTGCTAAACAATTTCTCTGGATTTAACATTTGTCATATCAAACCATTTTTAGAATTTAACAGCCTTAAGATTTACTAAATCCGGATTTATATGATTTACTAAGTTCTGCTTCCAATCTAATACCAAACAACCCATATCTCTACTTTGAGAGAAGTAGAAGATATAATAATTTTATTATAATTAAAATTGAAATAATTTCTTTTCACCTTATTTTTTCCAACTTGTTAATATTTATCAAATTCTAATCTTCAATGGCACCATAAATTCATAATTTCAATTCCAACAGAGGTAAAAAGTAATAATGTTTTACTCTAAATTTAATATTTATTTAATTACTAATCAAATCTCTTATCAATATACATTTTATATTTTTAATTAAATTATATTATGATATATATATCACTTAAAATTATTCTATTTCTATGTCTAACATTCAAATCTTAGTATTTACTTCTCTAAAAGCTCTTTTATATATTCACAAATATAGCACTTGTGCTTCCATCTATCAATCATTCATGCTACCCTCTCCTATTAATTGTAAAAATATTCAGCATATGACTGCCATGCTCTCTAATATCAATTGTGTGATTTGAGAATTATCTCTATTACTAATTTACATGGAGAAATTAAATTATTAAAACGTCAAATCTTTAACTAATATAATAGAATTTAAGCATCTCAATTATCAAATCTTCATATCTATGATCATTCATATTACCAACAAGTTAGATTAAGAAGTGCACTCTCTTTTAGTTTTAGGTGGCCAATCCATACTACATCAACTATACCCATCCCAATATATTGCCTTCTTCATCTTGCTAAATAAGTTGAATTTCCTAAGATTTTGCAACCTCAAAGCCTCAATGTAGTCGAGCATCTTTTGTAATTGTTTCATGAGGTCTAGCAAATAACCAAATTTGGCCTCAATGGATAGATTCTTGGGCATATTACATCGTAACTCTTATGTTCTCAATCTCAACATTCTCATTCATTTGTTCAAATTTGAGTAGTTGTACATTTTTGTTTTTCACACAGCCTTATAACAATCAATGGATGCTGCTCATAGGAGGGAAGAAGCATAGTGTCGTGAGAGGTAGGAAGGTGGTGCTTGAGGAGGTTTACATGGACAAGGCACATACCTCATAGTCGCAATCAATTGTCTACCAGAGCAACATAGATTAAACTAAATTTAACCCACTTATCTTAGATCCAAAGGTAAAACATTTAGAGGGCTATGACCTTTCCACTCTTATGAGGAGTAAACTTCATCTAAAATATAATTATAATATTGATTATTCATTGAGAATAATAATGAATTAATAATTAATTAAATTTAATTGCATAGAGATTAATTTGCATTTTATTTATTTAAATAAAACATATCTAGATCATTCCAATGACATTGACAACTTATATATATTGAAATTTTGTGATAGGTTAGGGGATTTAATAATTTAGACAAAATTCTAACTCAAAATTTATAATAAAAACTTGAGTATCTTTATCATGAGAAGCAGCACACACTAAGCACAGCTCACCTTCTATTTCGGCAAGGTTTCTCCGGCGAGACCGAAGGGGCCGGAGATCTCCAGCGAGCACCCGGGTCATGGAAGCGGCCAGCGTAAGTCTAGATTTGTTCTCACGTTTTCACAAGGTTCTGTTATTGATTAAGGTAAGACGATATTTTTTTTTTTAGTTTGCCCTGGAACTCTTAATCTCGTAAATTTTGAAAGCACTGTTAGTTAAGATGCTTATAGTTCAATCTCCGCTTTTAAGATGACTTTTATTGGTGCAAGAAGTCTAATTTCGTTGCTGAGCTTAATACTTTTGCTATGAAGGGAATCATGGTTTGGTAAATTCTGTGACTTTTTTTTTTCTTAGCTGATTCTGTACATTCTTCTTCTGTTAAGGCTTTGTTTGCATTGAAGGAAATTGGAGGAGTGTAATGAAATCCTAACAAATTTTTGATTGATTGTGAATCAACAACGGTTGATTTAAGTTTTTTAACCCTTTTCTCATTCCATTCCCTTTTTACTCAAATTCCATGCATTCAAACACAGCCTTGCTCGACGCCCTAACCCAGGTTGTTTGTTACTTTTTTAGATATCAGGATCGACTAGTCTCCGTGATAGACCTAAACATGTGGCTCGAATTAAGTTTGTAAAGCGGAAACAATGGCGTTGGCCTTTATCGAGTTAAGCACATGTACGTGTTCGTAGCTACCCAATAGAGCTTTCTCTTTGCCCGATAATTATTGAACATGACTTTTATTGGGTTTTGTGTTCATTCCACCGAGCCTAGTAGTTATTGGGTGGATTGGTGGCTCAAGAAGTAGAGGATAGAAGGACCAAGTGGTTGCGTGCCGACCAGTTTAGTTGGTAAATACCTTAGAAGCTGTTGTTAAAGTCTTAGATTGAATCTCACCTACATAAAATTTGTGCTTTGGCACTTAATATAAAAAAGAAAAACTTTTTATGCATGCTGGTTAGCTTACTTGTTAAAGATCCTGGAAATTTTTGTTAAGTTCCTGACATTGAATCTCTCTTACATCATATTTGTGCTTCGACACAGATTTTCCCATAAAAAGGGCTGAGTATAGGTAGGGTGGTAGAGCGCTTGATAATTACTTATGAATAAGAATGAGCGAGATGGAAAGCTATTTGCATGTTGCTTTCCCTATGCATTCTCAACACAACCCAATTACATCATCTATTTTTTTTATCCCATCTTCCCCTCATCTAACTAATTTAATTCTAAATGTGAATTTCTAACCCAAACATATTTATAAACCAACATTTTGGTGCTTTCAGTGAGAGGAGAGGTGGAAGGAAAATGATGATTCGATATATGTGAAAGATATTCTGCCTTTGTCGCTTTGTCAAGATTTATTATTGTGTGCAATGGGAGTTGTCCAAACTTATGCAATCGAGGAGCATCTCCTCTAGATGTAACTTGTAAGTGAAGCTATCACACCTCATGCAACTGATTATAGCCTAATTTCGCATGCTAAGAGGAGCATGTGAGGGCGATCAAGATTGCCCCAACCAAATTGCTAGCCTAGGGATCATCAATTTGTAAATAATATGTTATGGAAGATAAAGGTTGATCCTTTGTAGATGCTCTTGATCAAGTTGGTGGATCAAATTTAATCCACATCCACCCTTTGCTCGATCAAATTTAGTCCTCATCCACCCATTGCTTTTGTGGTTGTGATCTTGAATGAACCCCTTTCCTAAAATTTAAGATTCCTTGCTTGATAACTATAAAGTGGACTATTAACCTTGCTAAACATCTGGTGAGATTTGAGACCATGATGTCTTACCAGTTGCTAGATGATGTGACTAAATGTTGTATGATACGATTAAATGCCTAGTGTTGTTAATTACTTTGGAGGATGCTACTATCACGTGGTTTTCAAACTTGGTTTCAAAAAAGCATCGACTCGCCTAACTTGAGGTAAGTATGGATAAGAGTCTTGTTGTTATATTTGATGTTTCTCTAGAGACATTGGAGAAATGTGATCTTTATTCTAAGGTGGCATTTGTGAACGGGTTTCAGGAAGTCTTTAAATTTGTTGTCGCAAGAGATTCATCAGTAATGGTGTCAGATCTAATGATTAAGTCCAATACATAAAAGCTAAGTTCACATGGGGCTTATGTAGCCATTCCTTTACGTCACCATTCAAGTGCTTAATTTACCTTGACTTTAGATAAACTCGGAAGAAAACTATAGATTGGGTCATAATCAAGGAAATATCATGAGGAAAGTATGAAGAAGCTAGAAGAGATATTTCAATAGGATCGAGATCCTTAGAAACTAACTTGATCCTTATAATGTTGACAAAATTTTAACTCCTCAAATGATAGGTTTTCATGGTGATGACAACTAGGGGTGTAAACAAGTCGAGTCGAGCTCGAGTCATAGAAAACTCAAGCTCGACTCGTCACTCAAATAAACAGCTCAAGCTTGAGTAGAGCCTAGAGAACGAGCTCAAACTCGGCTCGAGTATTCGTTCTCAGACTCAAGAGCTCGACTATATATACAATTGCTGCAGGATTTCTGCTTCGCCGAACGAAGTCACGAACCGTGGTGTTGTACAGTTATACAATTGGATATCAGGAAGAAGATGCTTGTTTAGCTTTTTTTCCTAAAAAGCTGTCAAAGTACAAACTCATTATTTTTTTTGGGAAACATAACCATTAATTAATGGCGAAAGAACTTTCTTTTAAAAGCTGATGTGTTATATAGTTTTAATTGCTATTATTAAATATTTTTGTGAGTAAGATTTTAGATCTTAAGTTTTTGTCTGTGCATGAGGATGCTAATGTTATGTGGGAAAAAGTGGCTAGTGATATTAAGAATATTGCAAAAGATGTGCTTGGAGTATCTAGGGGTTGTTGTTGTTGCTATTATTAAATATGTAAAATTTGAATAATTATTTTTCATTTGAATTTTTTTTTAATAATTGATTTATTTAAACCGGCTCACGAGCCTATGTACCAACCTTAATCAAACTCGTACTCGAGCTCATTTAATATTTGAGCTTGAGTTTGAGCTCGAGCTTAAGCTTGTGGCTTGATAAGCTCAACTTGTGAGCTCATTAGCGAGTCGAGCTCGAGCTCGTTCAAGAGAGCTAGCTCAGCTCATTTATACCCCTAATGACAACCATCTAACACAAAAATACTTAAAGTATCTGTTGAAGATACAAGTCCACTTTAATAAGCACAAATAGAATAAGTTTCACTCATATTTATTGACCTTGATGCTTGCTCCATTAACCACTTAACTAATGTGAAGCAGTCATTCTGGATTCAACAACACCAAGCTTCTTCCTCGCATAAGAAAGAGCCGAGATTTTGTTCACGAGAGTTCTTGATTATTATTTTTTGGTGATAGCATAAAGAGAACCAAAGCAAGTTCCACGAGATGAATGTTGGGCCGTGATACTTGGATCATGTATCCAAGAATCACTTTCAAAAGGTCCTGTGGATGGATAAGCAAATATGGAGGCCAAAGCTCATGGAAAAAAATTATTGGAGAAAGAAAAATATGACATATGGTGTGAGCTCCATTAAGGTCTCGATGGAAGAACAATCGTTTGTAAAGGGTGCCAAATTTAAGAATAATCTCAGCTCACAAATATTCAATTTATTGTCAAGCATATCGCTATGATTCATTCTTAAATGATCTCTCTGCATTAAAGACGTGACACTGTCCTCCAACCAATAGTTTTTTCTCCAAATGACATCACAGGTAGATGGTTATGACTAAAGCCTTCTTTCCAGGTGGTTTCATCGCAAAATGATACCATTAAATTACAATCACATTCAGAGTTTGCAAGTTCTTCAATAGCTAAAAGTTTTTTTTAGTAATTAGTAATATAGTGCACTTGGTATGGCACAAAAACTCTCTGTTTACTAACGTCAACTTAAATTTCTCTCTTTAGATAAACATACATCTTAGGTTTACAAGGTTTCGTTGAATGAAATAACCCATAGCTATTGATAAGGACCCTTATGTCAGGTTCGGTCGATTACCTTTGCTGAACTATGCAATCTTAATCGAGTTCATCATCATAATTTTCCCACCATCTGTTTTAAGTTTGAAGTTGTAATTTTTCAACTCTATGCTCAATTTTTTGCTATTATATTATGTGCATTCAGCTTATGAAGTTAGCTTTAATTGAAATTTCTCACTTGTTATTGGGAGGGGTAATTAATCATAGGAGCCTATGCTTATGAGAAACCTAGAACCAGATCATAAAAGTCCGCACAAAATGAGAACAAAATATCGTGATAGTGTCTTATCTTCAATTTAATCTACCTTCTGCAAATTTGTCCCCGAAAATACTCTAAACTCTCTCAATTGAACTGGGGTGCAATTTTTTGGAGGCAACAAAGGTTTAGCAATTTGCCTACATCCATGGGCGACACCAAACTCATCATAAATTTTTAGAAATAGTACTTGGGACTTTTTTCAGGATCCTCACACATATAGAGAAGCTATTACAAGCTCAAGGAGTTGTTTGTGGTATGATTTATAAGTGAGGTACGGATTATATGAGTTTATATTAGAGAATAGTTCATTTTCTAATATTAATGATCAAATTCTATCAAAGACTTAATTATCTAGCAGTCTCCTTTTCGAGTTTATAGTTGCCTCTATTTATACTTTGTGGTAGCTCCTCCTTAAAAAAAAGAGTCTGAATAATGTATCTATGTTTCCTTTTATGTGAAAGAAAGAAAAAAAATCCTATTTTGTAAAAATAAGAAACTACAAAGAATGAAAAGATTGAGGCTGAAGGAGTAAAATTAAACTAGCTTAACTCCACAAAATGGAGATTACATACCATATATTGAACATAGTGGCAAAGTCTAAAATAAATATTAGAGAATCCCCTGAGATTTCAATGTTGATTTATTGATGTATCTTTCACTCATGCAACAACACAGGCACGGACTCCCCTTCATAAAATGAATTGCCCTGCGAGGCATATGACGCTGAAGCACTGCGTCAATTCACTCTTGTTTATGATGAAGTTTTTTGGCAAGTATTGGTTGTAATTTTTTTTTATTAACTTTGTTATCAAAGCAGACTTGTTGTTGGAAAGCTTTATAGTATTGCTCGGAGATCAAACACTTTGCAGAAGAGAACCGTTTGCCCTGGCCCCTCTATGGGGAAATCAAGCAACTTTATGGAGCCTGCTTCACTGGATACTAGAAGACCCAAAGGAAAAGTTGTTTCTCCCAGAGAAGCTGGAATAGGTATGACTCTACTTCATGTATGCAAAAAACAAATTTGTAGCAACTTGAGGAACAAAAATGCTGGAGGAGCATTATAGTAATTTTCTAATATAATTCGTTTAAGTCCAAGGGATTGTCGGATCAGATAAAAGAACTGCAACTTCTGTAAAGTCAGATGCTTCTAAGATGCGTGAGGCCACTAAGGAAAGTAGAGGCGGTGAAGGGCTACAGTTTCGTAACCAAATTCAGTTTGGTGTTTGTGAGTGCATGCACAATATTAAGGTTTGTTTTCATTGATTACCAATTCTTATTTTCCTTTGATATGTTAACTAACTATCCTCTGCATTATTTAGTTGCTTTTAGATTATTTTATGAATATTACACGTAATTTTGCACTTTTTTGATAGGCTTGTGATGCTAGTGCAAACTCTGTCCATAGATGCAAATCGAATATTGAAAGAGAAGGTTTTGGCTTTTCTGTTTCTGAGCATGGTGGCATCCATCTAAAATCATCAGTTGCTGTTGATAGTCACGCTTCAAAAGTCCTTCAACATGGTTCCTGCTGCCATGAGGAGACTTCTAATAAAGAATCCTGGAAATCCCCAACTGTAAGAAACCATGGCCAGAATTTATGTATTGATGTTGTTTCAAACAGTGATACTCATCTTATTCCATCTGGAAAACCAAAAAGTTCCCACTGTTCAACAAAAGTTGGGTTTTTGTCTTCCTCTGCAAATTCTTCAAAAGAAAATCCTTCATTTGAATTCTTTGTGGTATCTGAAGAGGGTATTAACCTTTATGTTGATTTGAACTCAATTCCATCAGAATGGATCACAAGTTTGAAAGATGAAGTATGCATCGATCAGAGATTGCAACATCAAAGCTTAGGGTATCTCTCCAACCCTGGATGCTTTCCAGATGCTGGTCAGCATATGAAACCTTCGCCATCTGAAAATAGTGAGCTAAACCTACAGAGTAATGGGGTTGAAACAAACACGGGATGCACCAACTCTTCCTTGTGTTCCGTGGTTAGTGAGAATTGCCAATCTGAGGTCTATCCACTAGATGCAGCAGTTGCGTCTTCCGGATCTTTTATTATAACTGCAAGCAACAATCCGGTTGAAACACCAGGGCATTTTGAAATAACTAGAGGGCTTTCCTCTAATTGTATTGATTATTCCAATTTTAGAAACTCCAAGATAGTTGATGATATATTTTCCTCCCAGGAACAAACGTTAATACATCATGACTCTATAGATGATTCTTTCAGAACAGTACAGATCAATCCTTCTGTGCGTGATGTATCAACAAAATCTAATGCAGATGAAATTCCACGTGCTGGTGTGACAACAGCAAATATTGAGACTACGGAGTGCCATAGCCTTAACTTTCAAAAAACCGATGACAATCTGGAAGTTACAACTGAAAACAATTCAGCTCTAAGTGTTTGTGAGAAAAATAATCCAACCGAAGTTGATGAGATATTAGATAATTCAAAAATTACTGACATTGGTATTGTTGAGAATCAGATTACTGTGGAACATTTCAAGTTGGAAAGAGAGTCAAGATCCAGCAACATTGAAAGTTCATGTCACCATGGTAAACCATCGGATTTCAGTCAAACTGGAAATTCTTTGCCTGAGGGTCCAGCCTCAAGATATGAGAATTCGGTACTCCTCTTTACAAGTTTATTTTTAGTTATAGTTAGAAAGTTTAATCAAGCAACATTAAAATAACAAACAGCTTGACCAGGAACTTCTCTTTTCAACTTAATTTTGGAGCTAAAATAATGCCCGTTGGCATTTCTAAAACAAATTCTAGAGTTCATTTTAGCACCTGATAATTTGCTATTTACAAAAAAAAAAATTTTGACCTATGCTCATCAGTTTGTTCTTGATTCTTTTGTGAAAAATCAGTATGTGACGGTGATATATATATATATATATATATATATATATATATATAGAAAGAGAGAGAGAGAGAGAGAGAGAGAGAGAGAGAGAGAAAGAGAGAGAGAGATCTTCTTAGGAGTTGACTCATGAATCAAACTGTGTAACCATTCAGATATCTAAGCTTAAAATTTTGATTAGATATGAATGATTATGATCATAAAGATAAAGTTCCAAAAAATATGTTGGATTTGTTCCAACTACTAAACTAAAAATTCCATAAAACTTTGGCATGGCTCTAGCTAGAGAGCTTAAAATTCAAAGGGCTTCTTAAGAGTTATGATCTAAAGGCTCAACCATTACACAAACTTCTTCTGGAGTACGTTTATGATCATATGTAGGGGTTGAGTCATTCGTCGGGGTTCTTCCTAGAAGGGAAACATGAAAATCATAGCCTAAGAGAAGAACATACCAAAATAGATTGAAAGCATGGTCACTTCTATTATAAAGAATAATTTGCATCTAAGAAAACTCATTATGGGAAAAAAAAATCTTTGTTGGTCTCTTAGTTAATTCTTACTTGATGAAAAGCTAACTTATAAGTCAAATGGAAGTCACCGACTTATTCAAAGTAAAGCTTAACAAATTGAGCCTATATAAATGTTCATTTAGTTATACAAATTCTAGAAAAACTGAGGATTGCCTATGTAAGTCTTGATTAGTGTGACCAATCAATGTTAGAATATATAATACATAGTTGAACCTTATAGTTATAAAGTCAAGCAATTGTGTTTCTCTGAATTGAGTAACACATTAATGGATTACATCATTGCACCTCCAAAAAGGAAACAAAGGGAACAAAATTATAATGGGAAACACCCTCAAGCAAATCTCTGAAATGCATTGAGTTTAAAATAGCCGGCTTAACAAGCTCCTTTTTCTATCCTTTTCATTAAGAATTCAAAACTCAATATGCCAAGGCACCGTGCTTTTTTTGTGATTTTTAAACTTGTAAGTTACAAGTCAAACAAATTCTTTTTAACGGGCTCACTTTGAAGCTCAACTTCTAGAGATTGAGCTCTCACTTCAAACTCACTTACTCTACATGTTTAAAATTATTATCGATCATGTCAGAAATAAAAAAAAATTTAACCAATCCTTCCTTCAATTTTGTCTCAAGTAGCCTTCCTCAACTTATCTTTATTATTTTATCGTAATTTAATCAATCCTCGTATCTTAAAGAAAAAACATAACTACCTAGCTAGTTACTAATGACAAGAGAAACATGCCAAAATTGACCAACATTCAAAGTCTAGTCTGCATAGTTCTAGTCAGCTAAGAGTGTATGACTATGATGATCTTTACAACCATCTATCTAGAACTATGCTTGCAAAAATAACATTGTGGTAACTCTTGATAGTTGACTCGGTTTGCTTGGTATCAGACTATTGTCAACTTAATGATAGGAATCAAAGGATTGACTTTTTTTGAACTTTGGGAAGGATTGAGTGAGGTGTTGAATTTTAAAAACTTACCCTGTTTCTCAATCTTTTGACTTATCTTGAGAGTGGTAGAGTTTCTGTGCTAGACAGTCATTGACCAAACCAAGCCACTCTTTTTTGTAGGCTTCACAAGGGAGTCGATGTAGAGTGACAAAGTTGATCTAGTCTTGTTATACTTTATTTCTAGGGAAGACTCCTTTTTTAGCTTGGAATAATATTGTATGGGTTTGAAGAACAATCCTAGTAAATAAAAATGTCATACTTGAACCCTATATATATACATATATATATATATATATAGAAGTAGAAGTAGAATTTACCATCTCACTGGTTGAGTAGATTAGCACATTTGGATTTGATTTGACTCATAAACTTCAACTTTCTTGAGATTTTTGACTTCAAGTTGGGAAAAATTCAAAGGCTATCAATATGTTGCTCAATAAGGCCAAGATTGGATGATTCCCAAAAAAAAAAAGAAGAATACTATTTTCCATCCGTTTAATAGAGTTTGAAATGTTAGAAACATTCACTTCATTATTGTGAAATGATTGTGGAGGGACAATGATGTAGGACTAAGTATGCTTTAGATGAATGTGATAAGAAATTGCTCGTCTTAAATAAGAGCAAATAATAATTAAAACTAACGACGATAGAAAATGAATGACGGGTAGCTACGCTTATGCCAAATCACAAGCTAGGAACTTGAATCACCAAATTAATTTAGAAATTCAACAACATGCAAATCAAGTAGCTATTCAATAAAATCCCTAATCTAACATTGAGATAAGCAACATAGAAAGCAAACTCAAATCCTACGTTTATTAAGCGTAGGCAGAGAGCGAAGCACAAAGCCTTGCAATTAAATCACCACCTACAAGGTTAGCGGATTAAGAAGATAAATGAGTAGGGGAAGAAGTTTACCTTTGCCGAGGTCCAGAAACAATTTGCCACTGAACGTTGGCAAGTTGTTCTTCGATTGTCTTGGATAGTATGAAGATTATGCGGTCCAAGTATTCTTCGACGGAGTGGTCGACTTCCGGGTTGACGTCGGAGAAGGTTGACAGGAGAATTTCGACGTCGCCTTGCTCGTTGTAAATGAATCCGGAATCAAGTTCGGGATCGGCCATTCATTGATTCCGAAGGGTTGAAATGTTTAAAGGCGTTCGTCATGGCTTCCCTCAAAGGCTCAATTAGAGAGAAATAAGTTTCTCTCAAGAGTTGTAGTGGAGAAGAGGAGGGAGGTGGCCGGCCTAGTGGTAGAGTATTGGGGCTTGGAAATTCAGAAATTTTGGTGGAGTTAGAGTTGGATTTAAGAGGGGATTTTGGAGGGAAAAGCTGGAATTAATTTCCAAATCAAAGTCTCTTGAATTTGGAAAGAAGTTTAAAGGAGGTTTGAAACATGGAGGGGGGCGGGTGGAGTAGAGGGGCTTGGGATTTAATTCCAAAAGAAAAGAGGTGAGTTTGGAAAGAAATAAGGAAGTGGGGACCTTGGGGATTTTCGGCCGAGAGAGAGAGGGTGACTTGAATTTTTCCAAGAGAGTAACTTTAGTTTTAGAAACAATTCCAATGAGGAATTGAAGGCGGCATAGGGAGACTAGGGAGGGGTTTATGGAAGCATTTAATGCTTCCTTGAGTTAAGGGATTAAATTTGGGAAGAGGGATTTCATCCCAATTTAATTTAAAATTTAAATAGGAAGGGATTTGAAAAATTTCCTAAAATAGGATTCATATTTTAGGTAATAATTTCAAATTCAAATAGAATTGAATTTGCTAATTATTTGAGCTACCTAAAATACAACGAGTTAATTTAGGAAAGGTTTAATGGCAATGATGATGGATGGAAAAGCAAGGAAAGGGGCCGGCGGTATGGGCTTGTCTGTGGATGGTGGTGGAGGGAGATGGGATCAGGTGGAAGATGGGGTTGGGGGGCTAGTCGACGGTGAGGGTGGATGGCTAGGGTGGCCGGCGGCTTAGGGAGTGGAGAGGACCTAGGCCGACGACAAGTAGGGGAAGGGAAGAGGGGAAAGAAAGAGAAGAAAGAACTACAAACCCAGACACTTCCAAGGTTGGTGGGTGATCCGATTCCCTCTCCAAGGGATCTCTCTCCAATCTCTCTCAAGCTCTCACATGAATTCAAAAAACGGGGAAAATTTTATCATTCATTTATTAACCATGAAAATAGAACATAAGGGCTATATATAGTCTCATACAATGGACTCAAAAATAAAAGATGACGATGCCCTTTGGGCTTATACATGATCACCCTTAAGTAAAGGTTAAAACGGGAAAATAACTAAAAGCAAATACAAACATAAATAAATAAAAGCAAATACATATGACGACTTAAAACTATATTGGTGCGATTGTGTCCGTAGATCGGTGACCGCCCCTCTGATAGACTTTCCAAGCTCCGGTGTCCCCATCAAACAAAGTGCCCATTTCTTCCTTAAATGAAATAAGTTATTGATGCATGACTAAATATGTTTTACAAGAATGCAATAAGAACTTGCGCATTTTTTAATAAGAGCAAATAATAATTACGACTATTAGCCACTAAACAATGATAGAAAATAAAAAAGGGGTAGCGACGCTTAGACCAAATCACATGCTAAGAATTTGAATCATCAACATAACTTAGAATTTCAACAAGATGTAAATTAAGTAGCTATTCCATAAAATCCCAAAGTTAACATTGAGATTAGAAACATAGAAAGTAAGAACTCAAATCCTATGTTTACTAAGCGAGGACAGAGAGCGAGGCACGACTCCTTGCGATTGAATCACCACCTACAAGATTAGTGGGTTAAGAAGATAAATGAAAGGGGGAAGAAGTACACCCTTGATGACGACCGGAAACAATTTGTCACTGAGTGTTGGCAAGTTGTTCTTCGATGGCTTCGGATAGTGTGAAGATAATGCGATCCAAGTATTCTTCGACGGAGTTGTCGACTTCCAGGTTGATGTCGAAGAATGTTGACCGGAGGATGTCGACGTTCCCTTGCTCGTTATAGACGAATCTGAAATCAAGTTCAGGATCGGCCATTCATGTGTGGAAAGAGATGTAGACGGACGGCTTATGATTTTCCTAGTCTTGAGAGAGAGCGAGCTCAAGAGACTTGAAGATGATTTGAGAGAGAGGGTAGGCAAGCGGTTCGGCCAAGGAATAGGACTAAACGTTGCTATGAGGGTTTATGTCTAAGAGAGAAAGAAATTTAAAATCTGAAGTTAATTCTCAGATTTTAAAATTGTAGGGATTTGGGAAGTGGAATTTCAATTTAATTCCAAGAAAAGGAAAGAGGAATTAATGGAGAGAGAGAGAGAGAGAGAGAGAGAGAGAGAGAGAGGGTTTGAATTGTTTCCAAGAGGGGGGCCAGCGGCACAGTGAGGGGATTGGAGGGATTAAATAAGGTTTAATGCTTTCCTCATTGGGATTCACTCTAATTAGGATATAGGATTTAATGTCTAATCCAAATCAAATTAATTTTGAATTTGATTTTAGAAACTTTCCTAAAATAGGATTTTATTTTAGGAAATGATTCAAATTTGAATTAATTGATTGAAAGTAAATAACTTTTCCAAGAGGAGCTAAACAAGAAAGGAAAGTATTCAAGTGGAAATTGGAAGATCGGATGCAAGGGGGAGAGGGGGAACCGGCGGCTAGGCTAGGGTTTGGTGGAGGTGGAGGGGTCGGATGGGTCACCCAATCAAGGAAACCATCTTGGGGGCCGGCGGTTAGGGGTGGGGGGGAGAAGATGGTCTAAGCCGGTGGTGGGGTGGGGATATGGCTGGCAGTGGAAACTTGGAGGAGTAAGAAGGGAGGGAGGGTAGAAAGAAAGAACCGATAAAACAAGCTACAAACCCGGACTCTTCCAAGGTTTGTGGGTGATCCGCTTCCCTCTCCAAGGAGTTTCTCTCCCAAACACTATCAAGCTCTCATAAGAACTTACAATGCAGAAAATTTTATTATTCATTCATTAATCATCAAAAGAGAACATAAAGGCTATATATAGCCTCATACAATGGACTTAAAAATAAAAGACGACGTCACCCTTTGGGCTTACACATGATCACCCTTAACTAAGGGGTAAAAGGGGAAAATAACTAAAGCAAATACAAACATAAATAAATAAAATATAAATACATATGACAACTTAAAAATACATCAGCACGATCGTGGCCGTAGATCGGCAGTCACATCTCTGATAAACTTTCCAAGCTCCGATGTCCCCATCAGTTATGTGACCAAACAGTATCATTTAGCTCTAGGGATTGAGCTATTGCAATAATGATAGCAATTGAATGTAGAGTTATTTGAGCTGACTAGTGTGATAACCAATTCATGATGTTGACAGGAGGAGAAAGAGGAAAGGATAAGCCACTTTTAAAATGGCACGCAAAGAAGCAGATTTCCCACTGGGGGAAATAAATTTGAGCACTCGAATAAACTCCTCCAAAATTTACATAAATTACTGAAACAGTAAAGATGAGCCTTAACAAGAACACCTTAATGCATTTTGACTGACCCAAAGAGGGTAGTGAAATTCACAATGATCTCCATCATGACCGGGAAATAGATCAAAGACAAAGCTTAAGAAAAACTTAGTCAATGAATAAGAACCTCAAACCTCAAACCTCCACTATCTCAATACTACAACAACAACAACCACATCACGCCTTATCCCACTATCTCAATAAATAAAACAAAATGGCCTTTTGAATGCTATAAATTGCTTCGCTCCTTTGAATTGACCGTGGATATTCATGTTCCCAGGTAGAATCAAATCAAAATTGACACGTGGAAAAATCAATGATATCACAATTATGTTACGAGTACTTCAATCAACTTCAAAATAAACAAATGACTTGTTCAATGATCCATTAAAACCAAGCTATCAAATGGTACAATTTCAAACCGAGGTAGTATGAAGAAAAACCAACATATTCATACTACAATTCAGCCTTGAAAAGAATGAAAGGACAAGTTGGTATAGATTGAGGCTTAGCAATGCAAAAAGCAAAAGAGAGAGAAAGATTACATTGCCACCTATCCAATCCTAGAATTGTATACTCTACCACTCAAATTAATGTAACTTTCACGATTCCTTGGATCCCTTGCACCACTACAAAAGCTCTTATTTGTCAATCTGAGTTGGGAAAATAGGCATATTCCAATAAAGATAGCCACAATAAGTAGAGAAGTAATTGGCTTCTTCCATCCTATATTAACTAGCATTCAAATCTTCAGTTGGTCAGTTCATCTTATATTGAGTTTCCATGGTTGGCTTAATCTCATGCTTTTTAGGCTTGGAACTACAACTTTTGGCTTGAACCTTATTAGCCTTTGGGTGTTGTTGAAGTTTTGTATCTTTTCAAGATGCTCTCTCAGCTTGTTTAAATCCTTCACTTTCTTTAGTCATGTCTCCGTATGTTAAAATTATTAAAAGTGGCTTCATTATTGGACTCTCGCATATCTTTCTTTAGTTTCTAAGTTGTGCGGTAAAATAAAAAACTTTGGTTCTCGAGGCCAGGATCCTCCACTTAGATAAAGGCATCTCCTTCTTTGCCTCGCCAAAGGGAGCCTTTCCTTGTTCAACAACTATCTTGTCTATTGTTTGTGCATCTTCATTGCCATCATACTAAGTGTCAAAAACATGTTCTTCATATTGCTATCATGATGCCTATGATCACTATATATCATTCAGAACCTCATGCAAGCGAATCTCCAATACTTTATTTCTAAATTAGGGTTATTATTTCCATTTATATCTTGATTATGTAAAGAATAATACATTCATATTACCATTACAACAGCTCGCATCATGGTGTTCAATCCATGGTACAGACATGGAACATGCATACAACATGTCAAACACTAAAGAGAACTTCATGAAGATAAAATTGTAGTTTAGATGCTTGTTTTCTTCATTATAATCCAACTATTTAACAAGAAAATGACATGTTTTTTTTCTTCTGTTATTTCTTTCTACCACTATTCAAGTTTGAATAAGACTTTTTTCCAGAAATTTTAGTTTGTGAGTTGAAGGACTAACTCAAATACAAATTGAACTTTGCAGAGGAAAAGCAATCTGCTGAAGAGGAAATCAAAGTCGGTATTCAAACATTACATTTTTATTTTTTTAATAAAATTATAATATTCACATTTTACATTTTTGTCCTAATCCAGCAAAATTTTAAATTTGTCCATGCAGATGTTCTCCAACATTTCCGAATGCCTCAGACAACAAATTCTCCAAAAGATCTCGTTCCTCAGAATTTAATGAAGTGAATCAGAAGAAGAGGGATGACAATGTTGGTGACAACAAGAATGAAACTTCTTCACCGCTAAATACAAATTCTTCAGTTCAGGAAAATGTAAGTGATTTGGCTGTTCTTCGCAGGCGATCTTCGCGGCTTCTTTCAAAGGTTTAGTAAAATATTTATGAGATGATATTCCCATCATTAATTTCAAAATCTTTGAATATACTTAAAAATGATTGTAATATATAGATAATTAATATTGCATATTTCCAAAAAAAATATTAAAGATTTTTAGATTCATTTTTTTTATTAGAATATTATGATATAAAAAAAATTGTATTTATTTAGGACATTTTTTATTATTTATTTTATGTAGTACAAGGTTGTATGACCATGTTCAAATTTTGAGATTTGTGAAATACTTTGAACCTTAATGTGCTTTATGGCTTAATGTATAGAGTTTGGTTTCCAAATGAAATTATATAAAAAAAAACAGGCAATAAAGAGCATAACAACTTGAAAAATTGATAAAAATTGTGTTGTTCAAGTGAATATCCTTTTTTCTTACACGGAAAAGAAATAGTATTTTTAGCTGTTTAGTTGCTATTAAAATGATTTTCTACAAATAAAATATAATGCCTGATTTGGCATCTTTTTTTTTAAAGTAGATAAAAATATGTTTGTTTTCTTAATTTTTTTTATTTTAAAAATGAATTAATATTATTAAAAAATATTTAAGTCTATTTTTTAATATTTAAAATATATATTTGTAAAAGGCATAAGAATTGATAAACTCTTGGGATGTCCATATAGCATAAAGATTTTATGCAACATTAATGGAGCATGTTGGGTTTTAGTCCATCTGCTAAAATTTCATATCTTTCTCAAATGTAGCTGTGCTTTGGGATCATTTGGTGATGTTCTAAGGTGAAATTGAAGTAGCTATGTATTTATTCTTTTAAAAAATTTAAAACTTATATTTGATTTCTTCATTCATTTCAACAATTCTAAAAATTGATGCATTTGCTTCGGATATTCGTAAATTTTATTTGCAAGCTATAAGTATTTAAAAACAATGAAGTCAATATTATAGAAATATTATGATTTTTAGCTTTTATATGTTCTTTTGGTAAATGGCTCAATATAAATATAATAAAAAACAATTTGTGATTCGGAATTCTCTCGTAATATGATTATTGTGTGTTGAAATATTTGTGGGGGTAGAAATATGTAGAGCTTAAAGTTTTGAATTTGCATGAATATCTGTCACATACATAGATAAGAAATGAGTGAAAGAATTGTAAATGTTACAAAAAAATTTATGTGGAAAACTCATAAAAGGGAAAAATTATATGGCTTGATCTAGCTAAAGTGGTTCAACTATTTTTTGTTATTGATTATAAATGATACCAGTTTTTGAGGAAGGACTTTAATATATAACATATTACTTGGTTGAAGTTGAAAGAGCCCAATGGTATGTGAGCTATCATTAGAAGATTGTTCAACCATTTTTGGTTGTATTCAAAAAAATCAATATAAATCATATTGCTCATTTTGAGAGTCAGAGTTGATGTTAACGACATGCACTAATCTTATTAATGACAATATGCATTGGCATTATTGATGATTATAGGCGATGAAGTTATTAGGCGGTGGAGTAGCTAGGAGACGGTGGCCCAAATGACCGTAGTCAAGCCGTGAAGACTGGAAGGACCATAGTCTAATGATGATGGTTAGAGGATCATAGTTGGGCGGTCGTAGTCCAAGAACCGTAGTGGTCAACCTGTGAAGGCCTGATGGCAACGGTCAGGCGGTGTCCTGACAGTGGTGCTCGGCTGGTGCTTCGAGACCTTTAGAGCCACATAATTCTCTTGAATATCAAGAGAGAGTTCTAGCTCTAGCTTCCAACTCTCTTATTATCCCTCTTATTCATGTAGAGAGTGGGTGTGTGGGCTCCAAAAATTTGGCCCCGGCCTTCGCCCGCATTTGCTTTTCTTTTTCGGGGTAGTTTTAACGGAATTAAGTTCTGGGGTAAATTTTGGAAGGCATGTGAGTTTGTAGATAAGACACTACCCAGAGATTTTACCCTCATTTTTTGAGGACTTTATGATCTGAGTTCTGGTTTCATATAGGCACAAGCCCCTATAGTTAATTACCCTTCCCGATCACGAGAGCGAACTTTCGATTAAGGCTAGTCGTTAATTAGAAACGTAGAGATACATGCATCTGGCATATAGTAGCAGCATGAATATGAAATTTGAAAATTTGATATTTAACATAGAAATTTCACCATCTTGCTCTTAAAGCGGATGGTGGGGGAATGGATGATTGACTTGATCAAGATGCCATGGTTCCGTAGTCCTGGGCCATCATGATCCCTGGTCTACTTAGTCAGAGGAGGTAGTTAAGCCAACTTGACAGAAGGATCCTTATCGGCAGTCATGGGTTGCTTCGTCCAAGGGTACCTTATAGATCTGGGGTGAATGTTTGTCTAAGGGGGAAAATTTGAATCCACCTTAGCTAACAGAGGCCTTTGTGCCCTATCGATCATATCTTATTGATTCACATCTCAATGATTTGATGCCACTAAGAAACGTATTAGCTCTGGCCATAACCGGTATTTCATGGTGCCATTTGGCGACAAAACCACTCGGTTCAGAGGGCCCCGGGTCATAATCGTTTATCCTGCGGTGCTAATTGGTGGCAAAATTGTCGGTTAGAGGACACGTACCACGTCTTTTCAAGTATGGAATTATTTGAGAATGAATTAAAGTGATATTTTCGACCATGAATTTGCTCTATGTGAGCTGAAGTGAATTTTAATTTTGTCCACCTCAGCAAACTATTACGGATGATGGATGGATTTTACTTTAAGTATTTCAGATAGTTGATTTCAAATTTAAATATTCCTGATCTTGGGATTTTTTGAGATTTTGGACTTTGAACTTTGTAGAGTTTTTTATTTTAATAGACATTTGGGTAGCATTTGAAAATATTTGTGAACCCCCCGGTTGAGATAAACATTCAACACAGCCCTCATCGAGGTGTTTGGGGTCATTTTTATTTGTTGATTGAACCGTGTCGACCCTATCAATTTGTCGATGGGGGATCAGGTTCGTCATAAACTTTATGCCTTTATTAGCGAATTCTCTTGATTATAGGTCTTGAAGGCCTAATATAAATGTATTAAAATAAATATATTGGTTCATTCAACTGTATATTTGTTTGCTGGTTCGAACCTTGTCAACTCCTATTGATTCATATAGGAGGATCGGGTTCGAACTTGAATTCACTTATTGACCCGCGAAGCATCCCTGGACGTCACATGTGCTCCAATAACACGCTCGTCGGGGCCCTTGCGGGTTCTTGATTATATACCCTCTTTTAGTGTACCTATGTGTATACAGGCTATAGTGCATGTGCGATGGTACTTTAAGCATTTGATGGCTCTTCTTTCTGCTACAACAACTTGTAAAGATTCATGTTTTTGTTTGTTACATATCATCTGCTTCCACCTGCAAATGATTGATGTGTTTAACTTCCATTGGATGGAGTTTATTGCAAGGGTATAGTCATGTTCTTTACTACAATTTGTGGGTGCTTTACATTTATTGCAGTTCTCTTGCATTTTGTTTGTAGGTAGATATTTAACATGTAACGGATCTCCTACAACAACTCGTAGGAGCTTGTGTTTGGCGCAGTCCTTTATACATTTCTTCTTATATATGACATGAAGTGTGCATGGTGGACTTTTATAATTGATGTTTTCTTGCAATAAACTATATATACCTATCCAATTTTCATCTCTTTGATTTTCATTTGTTTGTTTGTGTACGGATGTTGATTGTAGAAGTGTTGTAAGGAAGCTGCTTCATCCGCTGAATATCCTTCATACCTTGCTCAAGAACATGTTGTATCATTTGTGGCATAACATTGTATGTTTGTAGGGATGTTGTGTTAAATGTTGACCTTTCAATGTCACCAGTGAACATTCACATTCAACGTAGTAGCTTTGCATTTTGCTTGTGGACAACATATTGGATCGAATACATGTGCTATATTTGTTGTGCCCTTTTTCACATCATGCTTATGAACATATCACGATGTACATTGCATTTATCTTTTTCTTTGATGTATCTTCCTGGAGTAGGAACCATTGTATAAGTTAGGAGTTGTATGATGAATTCCATTGATGATAATTACATTCCAATTGGAGTGACAAATCCACTGAAAATCTCATATTATTAATCATGATCATGTTGCTAAATGTCCATTTGTACCCTGTTGATGATTGCTTGCAAGTTCTTTTTGAAGTTTTAATCATTACAAGAGTCATGTTCATTCATCGATATTCATTTGAATACCTTGGGAATTGATCTGCCATGAGTCCTTGCTTGCTTTCAAATAGACCCCACTTGCAACTTCTTTATCTTCAATAATGATTTACAATATATGAGATGAGCTTGATGTTATACTCCTCCATATTTTCCTTATTTCAATTGCGTTAAATTAATCATCATTTTCCAAAAGTTCCATGTTAAAGCTTGCAATCAAATTATACACAGCTCTTTATTTGCAAAGAAGTAGTGTTGGTAAATCTCTTTTCCATCACTAATCTTATACATGCTCTCTTGCTATTGAGTTGGGGTTCATTATTTTGCAAGCTATGATTTCATTTTTAAGGCCATGTCATCCTTCATATGGTTCAACTTGTATGTTCAAATGCATAAAATTGCTCAAAACTATACTCCTTATGGTCCAATCGGTAATTTCAATTTGTTGTCATTTGGATTTGAGTTCAAATACAAGTCCTTGTAGTCCACAATTGATTCAATCCTTTCATGGTTTATTATTTAAGCTCATATTTATTTAGATTTGAATTTATTTAAGTCAATTGTATCAAGTCCACAAATCTCAAATTATCCTTTGGGTTCAACCAAGTCCAAGATTTCTTTAATCAAGTTCAAGATGAGTTTAGGTTCAGTCATCATTTTGAGCTCAAAACACAAGTTCAAGTCCAAAGCATGTTCAAATAAAGTTCAGGCTCAATATGAGCCTCTTTCGTTCATCGAGTCCCCTATTGTCCTTGCAAGTTCAATTTCATATCCAAATTGTTCAAGTCATGATTGCTTGAGTTCTGAGTTCTTTTGCATATGATTTAGCTCATTCGTTTTAGTTCATTCAAGATCAATTCAAGTTCAAGTAATCTTTTTTGTCCAAGTCCTTGAATATTCGGTCTGAATTTCGGCAGCCTCCCGGCGTCTCCCCCATTTAGGGGAAAAACTAAGAGGCAACCTTCCCCTCGTCACTACTTGAGCGCTTCAACTAGGTGTCAAATGACACCGCAGTTGTGTTTATTTATTTTAATCCACGCTCGCTACATGAGCGTTTAAGGGTTTCGAGCACTTAAAAAAAAAAAAAAAAAAAAAACCACACACACACACACACAATTTTCTTTCCCCCATCTGCACTACATGAGTGTTTAGATGTACTTATATTTTATCCCCCTCGTGCTACATGAGCACTTATGTAGAGGGTTTTCGGGTCATTTTAGGATTATTTTTGGGTTGCCGAGTCAACAGAACCCGACCCGTTTTTTGAAATGGGTCAGTTTGTTGAACCTGAACTCGACCCGTTTCACAAACGAGTCGACCCTAACCCGGATATTTTCGGGTTGGGTCTGAGTCAGGCTTCAGGTCGTGTCAAAAATTGACACCCCTACACCCTGATTTGATTTTCTTTTCCCAACCTCTAACAACATTTATTCTTTCCCCGTATTCTTCATGGGCCTGGATCCTTATTTGGTCATCCATTGAGATAGGACAATGATACTTCTAATGGTACAAGGCCCTCGGTTGCTCGCATTATTAATTGTGAAGTTAGATGTTACCAAGTGATGCCCCAATCAATTTTGGCTTGGTTTGGAAACTATGGGTTATATTCAGATGGTGGAAATGGAAGAATTACCCTCTTATTGTGTTTATTGTAAAGTTTTGAGTCATTCAAAATCTGAATGTCATATTTTACATCCTCATTTAGCTGATATTCCTTCAATTATTGTGAATGTGGGAAGTTTGGTTGAGCTTCCTAAGCATGAAGTTGCTGCTAATGTGGAACCTATTCTTGTTAGTGAGAAAATAACTATTGAGAATGAAAATAATGCCCATATTGGGGATGGGGGTTGTTGGCTAAGCATGTGATCCCATGCTCAAATGTGGTTGTTCCTGATTAGGTGAATCCTCTTGTGGATATTAAGGGCATTAATGGTGGTTCTCGTTTAGTGGATTTGGATTGCTTAGATGTTATGGGTGGGTGTGTTAATGATTTGATTCAATAACCTAGGGGTGTGATAGCTCCTCTGATTGTTGAATGCTCGATGGAGGTGGATAGGGGAATTTATGATGTTAATAAGGAAGCAGAGAATGAACTAGCTAGTGGTTCGATTCCTTATGTCGAATCTCCTATGGTTTCTAATGATTTGTTCTTGTCGTCGCTTGTGGGGTAGGTTAGAATTGAGTCTATTGTTGGTGTCCCAATTATTATCATTTTGTCCAAAGATTTAAAAGCTCAATTGATTGCCAATTTGGGAGAAACTTCTTTGAAACTAGCAATTATAAAGAAATTAAAACTACAACATATATTATAATATTTAATTACTTCAAAATTTATCAATTAAAATAATTATATCATTATGTTATAATAAATTAAAATATTTATATTATGTATATTTATCAATTTCAAAATTAAATATTAATCAAGTTTTTATCGAACTTATTCACAAGTTTTGAATTGAACATGAATTGAGCTTTTATTGAGCTTAATGTCGAGTATGTTCACGAGCTTCAAATAATGTTGTTCGTGAACATAAATGAACCAAAAACATCAATGTTCAAGCTTGTTTATTTAGGGATCGAGTATTAAAAATATTGTTCAAATTTGTTTGTTTTGTTAGTTAAATGATCACAAACGAGCATTAATCAAATCGAGCAATGAATAGCTCGCTGAACGTTTGGTTCACTTGAAGCCCTACGGCTCTTTGTGGTTGTTGGTTTTTTGAGTTTTCATGTGGTGGGGCTCTATTGTGGCAACATCGTAGATTGGTGGGGCTTCTTGTATAGCCTAATTTTAGTATCTGTATCTATTTGTCTCTTTTTACAGGTTGTTTCAGAGTTTTTGGTTGTTGTTGTGCTCTTTCTGTTTCATTCTCTTGGATGATCTTCCTTGAATCCTGTTGGCATTTCCTTAAATATCTTAGTTGATAAAGACTTTGAAAATCTTTATTAATATCCTTAGAATCAAATTTATACTTTAGCCCTTAATTTTTTAGAAACGGTTAGACAAAATATTGGAGAAAGACTCACCCATTGGTTCTGAGTTGTCAATTTGAACGTGCGCCGTTCCTTTTTCCACATTTCAGGTAAAAATCCAAAGCACACAGAATCTGACCGAGATTAGGAGTCAATTGACCTGTCATCCAGCCGAGACACCCTTCTTCCCCTATAAAGCAAGCCAATTCTCGACCAAATCCCGGGCAATCGGCATCATCTCTCTCTCTCTCTCCCTCTTTCTCTCTCTATCTCTCGCTCTGTCTCTCTCTCTCTACAGCAGCGGCGATGGCAGTGGGATGCGGCGGTGGCGGAGACGAAGGGAGTCTCGTGGTTAGTTTCGGAGAGATGCTGATAGACTTCGTTCCGACGGTTTCTGGGGTCTCGCTGGCAGAGGCGCCGGGATTCATCAAGGCCCCCGGCGGCGCTCCGGCGAACGTTTCCATCGCCGTTTCCCGACTCGGCGGCCGCGCCGCCTTCATGGGAAAGCTCGGAGACGATGAGTTCGGCCGCATGCTCGCCGCGATCCTCCGCGAGAATGGGGTATCAGATGCAGGCGTCACATTCGACGCGGGAGCACGCACTGCCCTCGCTTTCGTCACCCTCCGGTCTGACGGCGAGCGGGAGTTTATGTTTTACCGAAACCCTAGCGCTGACATGCTGCTCACCCCCGCCGAACTCGATCTCGAACTCATTCGCAGGGTTCGTCAGATCTTTCTGTTCTCACTTCCCCATGTCGCTTCTGGATTTGTTTCCGCCATTTGCATGTTCCAATACCAATTTTTTTTTTTTTCTTTGTTAAATTCCGAGAACGTCTTTCGTCATAATTTTCCTAGTATCTTTGCTTCCCCAATTACCTTGATCCTCCTAGTTCATTTTCTTTTTTCGTAGAACTTATCTTTTTGTTCAAAGTTTTTTTTTTTTTTTTTAATGGTTAGTTATTTTTTGACAGTTGCATGGTTAGTTATTTTTTGACAGTTGCTCTGATTTTGCAGTTACCGAAACTTTTCATAAAATTTTTAAGGTTGAAAATATTTGCGTCATGACGCCTTAAGGGCATCTCCAACCGAAAACTTCATTTTTCACGGCAAAGTTACGCAAAACTCCAAAATGGCGCGGTGATGCTCCAATCGAACGCCATTTTAGGTGTTTTTGAGAAGGTAAAGATCACCCTCCCTTTCGCGCGTTTTTCCGGTTGAGAGCAAAAAATGGCGTGAGTGAACAGTGCGACGCCAATATTGCAAAGTTTTTTTTTTTTTTTTAATGGTTAGTTATTTTTTGACAGTTGCTCTGATTTTGCAGTTGCATGGTTAGTTATTTTTTGACAGTTGCTCTGATTTTGCAGTTGCCGAAACTTTTCATAAAATTTTTAAGGTTAAAAATATTTGCGTCATGACGCCTTAAGTTTTAATATTTGAGATTTACGGTGTTTTACGGGTTATTTGGCTACATTTAGGATTTAATTTAAATGGGATTTAGTAAATCTTGGCATTATAAATGTTAAATTTGGTTAATTACTAACCAATTGTTATTTTGATATTTTCAAATTTTAACTTTTAACTGAACGAAAAGAAGAGGCGCGATGACGAAAAGCGGCGTACATATCTTAAATCAAACTTCCTTCAGGAAGTACTGCAGTCGGTATGCTGCCTAAAACATGAGGCACATAAGATTTAAGAAGGTAGGAGTTATGTGGCTTAAAATTCTCGTCGGCAACATGTAGCTTAAATCTTGACTATATATTGGCTAAGGATTATGAGTTAGGTAGGTTTCTAGAGGGAAAAACCATGTCTTGGTTGGATGTTTGAGAGTACATTTGTGTGAATCTATCATTGCAGGAAGATATTGTGAAGATGCTTTTTTTTTTTTTTTTCACTTTTTAATTGGCCTTATGGTGAAGGGATTAGCTTTTTGGGTGGAAGGATCATGTAGTTCCTATTCAAATTATTTGTCTGCAATTGGATGGACATCTTTAAAATCAATGGAGTGGCGCTTGTAATGTGTCATTGTTTTGCATCTCGGCTATTAAAGGTTTTATTTCTTGAACTTATTGGTAGAATGATGAGGATTGTTTTGTGTATTATTGTAGCTCTCTCATAGCATATTAAAGATTTGGAATTTAACTTTTTTAGCTGTCACTGTTTTGTTTAGACTTGGATGTTGGGTTTAAGATGTTTTTACCTCTACATCTCTTAAAGGAAGTTGAAATTTGGAAGTGATATTTTAAGGGAAAGTGAATTGTATTCTAAAGTTTACGGTAGGATAAGCTTATTGTACTGTTGATGAGATAATGCATCTCTATTGAACCTATCATAATGTTTTGAGTTGGCTATGAGGACAATTGGCATGGATGGCCAACTATATCTTTAACTCATATAAACCTTTTTATGAATCATAACTAGAATAATATTATTTTGGCCTTTTTGTCATACCGGATATATCCCAATTATTACTAAATGGGGAATGAAGCCCAAAATGTGATATTTAGTTTCAACGAAGCAAAATAATTCATCTAAATTGTGTTACATTGTAGAAGCACAACTAGTGACCTTATTGGCACACGTTTTTAAATAAACCTTGTATATTTGTTGATTCAAGTATAGCATGTTAGTTATTTTTGTTTGGCCATGATTTGACCATCATACTCACATGGTCCAAAAATCACATGTTATGAACTACCTCATAGCAAATTGAGTAGAGTTAAATGCAGGAGTCCTTGCTTCTTTGAGACAAGGGTTACAAGGATGAAAAATAACCCTGCAAATTTAAAAGCTCAAATTTTGAGAGAAGCTTTTAGAATCTTATAGAAAATGCTTAAGGACATGCGATAGGAAGCTTGAATATATGAGACAAGCCAAAATTTTGAGGGAAGCTTTATGAATCTTCTAGAAAAATATTTTCAAACTTTTCCCAAGTCCCCACGAACCTTTTAGGACACGCCAGAAGAACCATGAACAAACAAGGCAAACCTAAAGTAAGAAATAATCCTTAAGAATCTTCTAAAAAATGTTTTTTCAAAATTTCCTGAAGTCCTCGAGAAGCATTTAGGATTTGCAAGAGGAGCCTTCCAAAAACTTCTAGGTCTTTTGATAAGAACATTCTAGATCGAAAAAAAAACCTTCTAGAAGGATCCGAAAACTTTCTAAGAGGATGGGAGAATATTTTAAGAAATGGGGGAAATACAATTCGAAACTCAAATCCAAGCATGAATGGGTTGGCCACCTTTGAAGGACTAAAGAAAACCAAGTCAAAATTAGTGGAAAGTAAAGGAGATTCTTGAGGAAGGAATTAAGGAGTTTATTCCACCTAAATAATCTAAAACTCCAAGACATTAGCCTGCCTTGATATAAAAATCATATGCTGTATAAGTGCATTTTAGAAGAGACTTTTTTCTCCTTGAGAATCCTAGCCGCCTTGGAGAGATTTGTGAGTGAAAAGAGCTCTAATGCTCTATTTGTGACGGGGGAAGGTAGGATAAATAAAATGAGCTTCAGGCTCTAAAGCTATATCCTAAATCTACCCTACTCCAAGTTTCTACTCAGCCAAATTTCTTTTACAACTTCTAGATGAAGTCGCATCAAGTCAACCATACGCTCAGATGACATCACAAGAAGTCAACCACTTCTTTTTTCTTTCTGGTATTTTCCTTATACTCACATATAGATTAGAGAGTACCTAAGGGGTCTAATCTTTTATTGTTTCAGTTTTCGACTGTAGAATCCTCTGCTTTACTGTAATATGATATTTTTAAATATATTTTACATTTATTTTCTTTTCAGCAAAATAGCAAATGCAGAGGAAATACGTGGCTAATATTATTAGTTTCTGTGTTTTTGTTAAGGATTTGATTGGGTTCGCAAGGAAGTTGATATGTGTATTGAAAACTAAAGTAAAACTGAAAGTATTAATAACATCAAGGTTTTGTTTTGCCCTGCAATTTATTGGCTATTTACCTGTTCTTTTAAATCGAACTAATAAAGAGATTTTTTTATTCAATTTCTTCTCAATCAAATAAGCGAGTTAAAGCTAAAAGGGACAGAATATTTTATTTCTCGAGTATGAGACCATGAAGAGGTATTTGTGGGATAAGAGGACTCGAGTATTAATATATTCTTTATTAAAAGGTGTCACATCAACTGCCACAGTGACATCTATAATAAAAATTATTATTTTGATATTTCTGTCATGTTATTGTTAATAATTTCACTATGTGCTACTCCCCAGGCAAAAGTCTTCCACTATGGATCGATAAGCTTGATCACAGAACCATGTAGGTCAGCACATTTAAAAGCCCTGGAGGTTGCTAAGGAAGCTGGATTGTTACTCTCTTATGACCCAAACCTTAGGCTTCCATTGTGGCCATCTGCAGCTGATGCTAAGGAGCAAATCTTGAGCATCTGGGACCAGGCCGATATCATTAAGGTCAGTGATGTTGAGCTCCAATTCTTGACCGGCGAAGATTCAGTGGATGACGAAGTAGCCCTTACGCTTTGGCGGCCGAGCTTGAAGCTTCTGTTGGTTACACTTGGTGACAAGGGATGCAAATACTACACCAAGGTGAATGAGTACTAATGCCACAATAAATCTTGCTCATTAATTATTAAATGGGAAATTCTTCAGTTCAATTCAGATCATAGGATTTGCTTATATTAAATTCCTATTGCAACAAATCATTATGAAATTTTAACTGTACAAAAACCTTTAAAATCTCCCTAATAAAATGAGTGAAAATAAGCCTTCACTTTCTAAAACATTTTTTTACATTTATGGTTTGAATTCTGATAATTAATTGCATCTTTCTTACCGATCCTGCAGGATTTCCGAGGGGCTGTAGCAGCATTTAGGGTGAAGCAAGTTGATACTACTGGTGCCGGCGACGCATTCGTTGGCGCCTTACTAAGCAAAATAGTTGAGGATATGTCTGCATTACAGGTGCGCTATCTAACGGCATTTTCTCTTTGGTTTACTGATGAAATTATCCTACTAGCATAAACCAATCTTGCTTGAAATAATTTTTTTGAAATTTTTTTGGCCACAGGATGAGAAGAAATTGAGAGAAATGCTAAGATTTGCAAATGCTTGCGGAGCAATCACCACCACCAAAAAAGGTGCAATACCTGCTCTGCCCAACCTCTCAGAAGCTCTGGCATTCTTTGAAAAGCAATAGAAGATGGATTACCTTCAACAATCTTGGCTAGTTTTTTTTTACATCGTCATTTTATAAAACTATCGCCTTACTGTATATGAACTATTTGGAAATTCATCCTTTCTTTTAAAAAAATCTGTTGCATAGTTTTAATTTTTGTATTTCTAAGTGATAAAATTATTTTATCTTGCACAAATTTTAGTAATTAATGTAATCTCCATACCCATGTACCCGCACAGTTAATGTTATTTGTATGATTTCTTAGAACATCGTATGTCTAATTTCTCTTGCTATTTTACTTCCTCCCACTCTACCACAATGCTTAAAGCGGCAATAATTGAATAATTGTCTTATCAGATAATCAGAAGGAAGGGAAAAATGTACCTTTTTCCGTTATGAAATAAGTTTATTGTTCACAGTCTAGACCATCATTTGAAGTTTGCTTCGCCTGTGGGATAGACTCTGAACATACAAGTTTCCAAATAATTCAAAAGTAGTCATGATTTATAAGAGCACTTGTATGCAGAGATATACAAGAAACCAAATAAAAAAGATCTAAATCAAAGATGCCCAGGAAATCAGAGCAGATCCAAGGCTCCCTCCTTAAATGAAGAAATTATTGTGCGGACGCCAAACGTCGTCGTTCAGAGATCAACTAGAATGCGTCATGTCACCTCCTACTCAGTACCCACCTTGATACTACTCGATACCGCAGTTCGATAGTGCTGACATGACATTTTGATTGACCTCCGAATGACACCAGCACGGAATAATTTCTCCCCAAATGAGGTGATCAATCAAACAGAAAAAAGGGGAGTGGGAGAAATAATTCATAGATTTTCCTCCTTCCAAAGATGGTGTTTTATTTCAAGGTGGTTACCTCAAATCAAGAATTATCCAAATATGACCATTAATTATAAAAAAAAAAATTGAACAACGAGAATTTCAAGAAACTGTAAGTAAAAGCATAAACCTGGTGACTATTTAAACAAATAAGCAGTTTTTATCAATTAATTAAACCACAAATCACCTAAATTTGCCGGATTAATAGATCAACTAATCAAATATCAACCCCTCTTCTCTAAATATTAACCTTCAATCAGGAGAAAAAACAAAAAGGGTAATTGCGTTTCAACTTTTAGAGAAGAAACACAGAACAAATTAGCATCTTAAAGAGTCCTCTCTGAATTCATGATTACCCGATTACATCAAACATTAAGCGCAGTATTCCAAATTTTCCATAAAAAAATGGGTTTCAGCGATATAACACAGCAATTGAAAGTCATCAATTTTTACTTTTTCCAACGATAGATAGGCAGTGCTTTTTGATGTACAGCTCTTACAGTTCATCCTGCAAATGAATTAGGTGGATGTTTCAGTATTAAAAAAATAAAAAGGCCAAACAAAACTGAATAAATGAGCTGAGAAGAACATTAACATTGGAGATTAAGGCTTCGTTTGGGAAGGTTTTTTTATTACTTCTCAAAATAATTTTTTAGTACAAAAATTTTCCTTCTTGTACTAAAAAGCTGCTTTAAAATGCAGCAAAAAACCTATCCCCAACAAAGCCTAAATGAAGCAGCACAACTTACATGATAATCATCAAAATCACGGTCACGCTGCAACAAAGAGATGGAGAAAGAAAACACAATAAACCAAGTAGGAAAAAGAGAAATAAACAAATGGAGTAGACTTGAGACACATCAGACTAGACTGGCATACCCTTCGATATTTCTCACGGTATCTATCCCTCTCTCGATGATGATGACGGTCATATCCCCGCTCCCTTTTTCTTCTCTCACCTTCTTCCCTTGCCCTCTGAGCTTCCTGCACAACAATTATCAAATTTTACATTCATAGCCACCGTAATCAAAACTTGAAATCAGCAATTCAGTTCTCGCCTGTTCTTCTTTAGCCCGTCTTATTTTCTCTGCTTCCTCAAAGGCCTCCTTCTCAGCCTAAATGAATGAACAAAAGGGGCATTCACAAATTTAATTTTAGTAGATTTTAGTATTTTAGTAACTTTTATCCCTACCTCTCTATTTTTCGTCCAAATCTCTTCTACAACTTGTTTTGCATATTCCGGGTCATCACATAAAAGAATATTGTCAAAAACTGAGCCAGCCTTTACCTGCATATTTTTATCACATTTATAGTCATCACACAAAACTATTGATGCTTTCAGAAGAAGAAATCTGAGTAATCTCTCACCTGCCATACTTCAATGGCAACATATTTCACAGGCTTAAGCACATAGAGGTCAGGATCATCTTCAAATTCTGTGAAGTGGGGATAAAATGTAAGCTAAAGTGAACAGGATCCATAAAGATAAAAAAGATGAAGAACTTTAAAATGCAAGAACTAGATAAGCATTGCAGTAACTATGCAAGTATATCAGGAACCTTATGCATGGAGTTTGACAGTGGAAAATGCATCCCTCCATGCAGAACAATATCATATCATCAGTTTTACCATCTAATAGCCACAGAGAGCAAACTATAATAAACTATAGTTAAATGAAATTAAAAAATGTTTTCATGAGAACCAGCCAAACATCCCAAATAAAACACGCGAGAATCTTGTGCCTCATTGCTTGAATTAAAAGGATTGAGCTCCAAGTTTGATTTCCCGCTCTATCTTATGTTCTAGCGCTAAGCCGCTAAGGCAAGTGCCGCACTCATTATTTTCGCAAGTCGAAAATGGTGACCTATCCTAGTCTTTCTCAAGCATGCTCCTACCCTAACTAGGTCACAACCTTGAGCTGCAAACCTTCTCCCTTTATATTTTCCACTCAATCATATATTTCCTCCTACCAATTTAGTAGTCTCACGAGTCACGATATGCCACTTGTAGATCTTCAATGTGCTTATACAGTGGGCTTGCATGTACACCGGTATATTTGCACATTCATATGTCACTTGATGGTACATTAACACGTTTTCAGTACACTTGCACTATACATTTAAGGGACACATTGGCAATATTTCTTTCGGTAATTTGATGCGTCTGACACACTATCAAAATAGTTGCACAACGTGTGAAAATTTTCAATCATAGAGTGCACTATTCTTCCACGGAGCGTACTGTCTATTCACGAGCCTCCTTTTAGGGATTAATGTATGCATCATCAGGGCATTTGTAAACTCGTGGCGCAACAGGTTTGATCATCATGTAAATACAGCTATTTGAGATGTGTAGGTATCTAACATGAAAATTGTTCATGTGAATGTACTGTCATTGAAGTGTACTCAGTATTTTGCATATTAACTTCATTATTGCCTGCATTATGTGTGCTTATGCACGAATATCAGATTCAGTGAGAGTATCATGAGTTGGAATTTATTATTATATATTCAAAATGTGGCGATTTATCTGTATATAACCTTCATTTCACTCAAATGGACTCCATCGAGCATCAGGTTTTCAGCTACAAATAAGAGCCGGTTCAGTTCATTTCCATTCCAATTTTCAATTCACCCAGTGCATTCTTAAGGGCCCCAACTGTTCAGGAGAATTAGATATTTCTGTTATTGCTAGTAGTTGAGTTCTCCAAGCTCATAGCAAGTTTCCTATGAGTACTATTTCAAGTTTAAGTCTTGTCATTATTTATCATTTTAAGTGTTTATACAGTTCACATTGGAAGTTTATATTTGTAATTTTCAAATTTTTTTACAAGCCACTTTTATTTTGTTTTTTTTAGAGTCCCTTTGATGTGAAACCAGGAATTGTTTCTTAGAAATTAATAAAAGTTGGTAAGAATAATGATAATACAATTTTAAGGCTTCTCACAATTGATACTTCAATGAAGATCTAAGAATTTAACAAAGTCTAGACAAGTTGTTACAACTAAATTTGCAAGATCTATAAAATAACAACCTCAATCAAAAAGTAATGACAATGAATAGCCAACTAGAATCCGGCGGTTAACAAAGCGATCGTCTCACCTTGAGGCTTAAGATCACTCTTCTATGTCTAGGGTTGTCGGAGGAAGAAGAACCACACAAGGAACGAGATCACTCCGAGGTAGACGGTGCCGGCGATTCGTAGTGATGGAGAGGGAGGCGTTGGATGTGGAAGTGGCGAGGAATGTTGACCGTCGATGATCCACTCGTAGTCGGCAAATTGTCGGTCGACGACTTGCACAAGAATGGGGAGGATTCGATCCAAGTAACCTCCAACTGTGTCGTCTTCGTGATCAAATCCCGTGTCGAAGAATGTGGATCGTAGGATATTGATATTACCGTAGGCGTCGACCACGAGTCCCCATTCAAATTCGGGATCCGCCATTTTGAAAAAGAACTAAATTTAAAAGAAAATTGTAAAGCAAAACATACTTTTTTGTTTAACGTGATTGATCTGATTTCTTGGCTGACACGTTTGGAGAACATCAGGTCCTTTTGTTTGCCAAATCTTGAAAGCATCTATTTGAGGAAGCTCAGAGTTTTCACATTTATTATTTTTGTCTGAGGATCATGCGGTTAACAAATCTTTTATGTTAATTCAGGTTCAAAGTTTACCCAGAGCTAGAAATTGGAAATGCTATAAGACTTCCGACATCTTGTCCATCAAGGGTATTGTCTAGTTTTTTAAATTTATTATTGTAGATTTTCTTAAAATAATTTAAATTTCATTCATAAAATATATTTAGAATGTCTCAAAAATTCATGTAGCTGAGCCCATGTAGTGGACAAAGATTTGTTGTTATTGTTATTGTTGTTTTGTCATCTTTAAAATAAAAAATTATACTACCAGTCAATGAAATGAGTATAACATCTAAAAATTATATTGAATTATTAGTTGAAAAAGAAGAAACCAAAGTATACCAATTATGATAATTAGATAAATACAAAGGAGGAGTCCTGACAGCAGAGGATAACCTCTGTAGTCCTAATTTATAAAGTCTTTCTTGAACTTTGGTTAACTTTGGATTATTTTATTTTTCTGTTCCTCTTGATGAAATTGAGTTTCACTGGTCTAAGTCTCCCCTTGAAGACAATTTTGCCTTAAGGTTGATTTTCTATGAAGGAGACATTATAATTTTTTTTTATTAGAGAATCCTAAGACTTTCTTCCTCTATTTGGTGTATAGCCATTGAAAATACATTTTATTGTCCTAGAATCATTTTTGGATTGAAGTCTATTAACTATGTGAACAATTGCAACAACAACAACAACATCAAGCCTTTATCCCACTACGTGGGGTCGGCTACATGAATCCTTTTTCTCCATTGTGTCCTATTAAAAGTCAAATTCTCGTTTAAATCTAATATCCCAAAAAAGGTGTGCAAGGTCAGTGTCGTGCAACACTGCGACTAAGGGGTCTTATATCCCAACAACAACAACAACACAACAACAACAACAACAACAACAATATCAAGCATTTATCCCACTATGTGGGGTCGGCCTACATGAATCCTTTTTCTCCATTGTGTCCTATTAAAAGTCAAATTCTCGTTTAAATCTAATAAAGAAAGGTCATTCCTAATATTTTCTAACCATGTATTTTTAGGTCTACCCCTACCTTTCTTAACATAAGTCAAATCTAATACCTCTACTCTCCTAACCGGGTCATCAGAAGGCCGCGTTTTATGTGACCAAACCATCTAAGGAGACTCTCTCTAATCTTATCTTCTACTGGAGCTACTCCAACCTTTCCACGTATATGCTCATTTCGTATCCTATCTCTAAGGGTAAAGCCACTCATCCACCTGAGCATCCTCATCTCTGCCACACTTAACTTAGTATTATGCTTCTCTTTTAATGGCCAACATTCGGCACCATAAAGCATTGCAGGCCTCACTACCATCTTATAGAATTTTCCCTTAAGTTTGAGGGGTACATTTCTATCACATAACAAGCCCGATGCATTCCTCCACTTCAACCATCCAACTTGAATTCTGTTGATAATATCCCCATCTATTTCACCATCACTCTGAACAATAGATCCAAGATATCTAAAACGTGTACTCTTATTAATGACTTGATCGCCCAAAATCACAACCCCATCACTAGGTCTATTACTACTAAAATTACACTCCATATATTCCAACATGCCAAAAAATATATATATGGGTCTTCATGTACCTATTTAAAATTGTAATATTTTACTATCGTATCATGAGTATATATATTTTAATTTGCTCGCCATCTAAAGAAAAACACATACCTTACTTCTTGCATTACAAATATTGCCTACGAGTTTCTCTCACGATGCAAAGAAAAGCATACTCAGGTCATCACATCAAACACATTGCACTCAGGATTTTGAAGATTTATTAAAAGTATACAATCTTACAACTTTGTGCATGAGGCTATGATGAAGAGGAGAGACAAGGCGAATAAGCAAACTATTTTTTTAATCCCTTTTTCTCATTTTTCTTCTCTTCTTTTTTTCTTTTCTACTTCTCTCTTATTCTATAGAGAGAAAGGAGAGAAAGAGAACAGAGTAAAATGGAGATAGAGAATGCGTTAGATGAAGAAAAAGAGAGTTAGAGAGAGAGTTAAAGAGGAGTTAGAGTGAGAAAGAGTGAGAGAGTAAAGGGAAGAGAGGGTTTAGGGGTGTAAATGAGTCGAACTAAGCTTGAGTCACCCATAGCTTGAGCTTGAGCTTGAGCTTAATTAATTAATTGAATTCAAGCTTGAACTCTCAAGCCGGCTCACAAGCAGGCTCATTTATTATGAAAGAAAAAAAATTATAATCCAAGCAATTATCATAATAAAAAGATAAAATGATGAAAAATTAGAACATAAATCATGAATAATTACCTAATATAGGAAAGTAAAATATAATTTTTAGAAATTTTTAACAACTTTGTACTTAAAATCTTGAATACTATATATTTTAAGTCCATTTTATATTAATATGTTTTAAACGAGTCTATTCACAAGCTAACGATTCAAGTCAGGTCTAGCTCAAGCTTGGCTCATTAACTCATTGAACTTAGCTCATGAGTCCTTTAGAGAGTCAAGCTCGAGCCATCTCATGAGTCGACATGACTCACTTAAACCCCTAAGAGGGTTAGAGAGAGAGTGAAATGAGGAGAGAAAAAGAGGGAGAGAAAGAAATATAGAGGTTGACAATGAGAGAAAGTGGTATTGATGGAGAGAAAGAGTGAGAAAGCAAGAAGAAAAAAAGACAGAGGCGACGGGGTCGAACAAAGGGAGGATGAGTGCAGTATGAAAGTGTTGAACAAAGGGAGAGGAGGTGGTGGTGGCAAAGTGGTGCACACGCGGCTAGGGCAAAGAGTGAGTTGAGCATAGAAGTGAGAGGAATTCGTGAGGGACACAATTTTAGGGTCAAGAAAGTGCAAAGGAGAGGGCGAGAGATGTTGAGAGATCAAGAGGTAGAGAGTGCAGCTTGGGAGAAGCAAAGGAGGAAGGCGGTTCATGCACGGTAATGCTGCAATGAGGATGACGACAAGCGCAATGTGGGCTGCAGGCGCATCTATTCCTTTTGTTTTTTCTTCAGTTAAAGACATCTCAAAAGCTAAAAGGGTGAAAATATGATAGATTGCTTTCATCATAGTTTTGAGAAATCATGGTATTCAACACAATTACTAAGATATTCGAATTAAATTAAGGATAAGTTAAAACTTGACCTCCTTCATAGGCTTAGTTTTAGTACCTCAAACAAGATGAACCAACCAGTATTACTCAAACAACCTCTGTGAATTAATGATACTTTGGATGAATGCTGCTTAGTTACACTTCTTACAATTGAAAATTAGGATGGTACAGTAGGCCATCCAGCCTTACTCCTGCTTTGAGGCCATTTCAAGCCCATTTTCAAAATTTCACAGAACGGAACAAACCATGTTGGTTTTCTATCACATGATTACCAGTCAAATTCATACAATTCCCTATAATGAAGTTCTTGGCTCAAAGCACCAACAGAAAAAGAATATAGCATCCAAAAATCTCAACTTACCAGGATTGTCGATCCAGGGAATCCTCCATTTTCCCTTGTAGTTGGGGTTTTTGATCCTCTAAGATTTGCATAATTTGTAATTGGTAAGAAATAGAAGTGAAACAAACCTTAGTTTATGAACCCAGCGCATAACTACTAAAGAATTCATTGTGATTTAACCTTTGGTCTCCATGCCCCCTTGTATGCTGGATTTGGGATCTTTGGTGGCTTCCATAATCCTTCTTCATCTTCATCCCATGTATCGGGCTAAATGAACAGAGGAAAGATTAATTTGAGAACAGAGAACTAATACAAAATTTTAATACCTGTAATGTCCATGGTTATATTACAGATTATTCAGTGAGCAGTGTCTGACAATTGCATTCACTGCAACTAGTTTATGCTGCCCGTTGTATACCTTTTTAGATTTTGGGTTTGGAATTTCGGCTGGAATAGAATCATATCCCTGCATTATATTGACATGTAAGAAACAAGGACACGCATTATTTTCAGAAGATGTATTAATTAAGCAAATGCAACGTGGTAGGCAACCTCCGGTTTAACATCATTAGGATCATCGATGTATTCCCTGTCATCCCAGTCTGCAGGCTACAAGCAAAATATTCACATTATAGGAACACCCATAGAAGCAATTTCCAACAAATGAAAGAGCTGCTGATTAGAGATTAAAAATATACTGGTTTGTAAACATAGAGTGCTGATATACCTTTATGGCATTTACTTCTTTAATCTTACGAGGTGGAAGAATATCCCAGTCAGAATACAGGCTTCCAGATTCTTTTTCTCGATTGTCAACCAAGATACTGTAAGAGGCATCAGGTCTGAGGATAAATGTGTAAAAGTGTGTCAATTTATCTGTCTCACACTGCAGATCCTTCTTGATAGGATAGTTCTGTCCCTGGTATGAGTATATCAGATGAAGCTTCTTTGTCTGGGCACCACATAGATCAGGTCCAAACATTAAACTGCATAGGAGAGCATGATTAATTTAGATGGATTATGTGAAGTAACCCATCGGTTGTTGAATTAAAAAGGTAAATGTGAGAATGCATTAATGTGATGGACCGATTATAGAAGACAAAAGTTGGTTCGAAATGTGCATCTCCAAAATATCATAATACATCGTCATAGTGCTAACCATAACAAATTGATTAAGCATAAAAGTTTAAGAAAAAAACAGTTTCTACTAACAGCAAGAAAAAATTAAAGGACTGGAGTATATTGCTAAATCATCACAAGTAACTATAGTCATAAAACAGAAGACTTTGTTATCTAGATTCCAAACCAAAAACAGTATAAAATGTCTTCAAGCCCCTTCAAGAGTTGTGTGACTAACAGGGTATAGTCAGACACCAATTTTTATTTTTTTATTATTATTATTTTTTTATAGTCAGACACCAATCTTTAATAGCAAGTGAAGTTTAATGTTCAATAAAGGCTATGGAAATTTTAATCATGCACGTCTAATATTAAAGGAAAAAACATACGTTTTGGGGCAGAGGAAGACCTGTATGGTGTATCGCCGCTGAATTTCTTCTGGTTGACATAACCAGAAAGAAGCTTGATGTAACCGCCCCCGCATTCAATGTCTTGCTCAAACTTTATTGAGTACTGTAGCACAAGTGTTCTGTTCTTATTACAGAACTCTGAAATTTTTGCTGATATTGCAAAATGCCTGGCATCTGGGTATGTCTGAATCCCTGGAAGCTTACCAAAAAAAATATGGAAACCACAATTTAACCAATGGAATTAGAAGACTATGCCAGTAACATAGCAGAAGAAATATTTTAAGAAAAGGATATTACAAATGACTTTAGAGCAGCATATAAAAGGGCATGCAATAAAGATTCTTATAGAAACGAAATGCTATTTGATACATGCCTTTATCATCTGGGTCTCCAGCCCAGTTTCCCGAAGTGTGCTTAAAGTATCCAGCCTTGCCTTCACTTTTTTTCCAATCTGATTTCACCCAGCGACTCTCCCAACCATCTTTCCGAATTAAAAAAATTGATGAAGCAGAGATATAAGTATTAGCATGGAGCAGAAACAGTAATACCCAAAGTAATTTTCAGAACTGAAAAAGTAAAACGAAGTGCACGGTTAAGATGGAAGTAAAAATAGAAAAACTTATGTAATATCCAGAGTTAGAAAAGCAAGCAAACTGAATCATTAAAACGGAACACAGAATTGAATATTACTATCATTTGTCAAAATGTGAGAGCTACCTTCATGACTATCATTATCATTAGCCTTATGCTAACTAATTGAGGCCAGCTTTACAAATCATCATTAAGTTTTTATCCTCAATGAATGTTCCATAAGATGTTATCCCTATTTTATGCAAATCTTTTATTACCTTATATTCGAGTTAGCTTTGGCCTATATGTCCTTCCTTGTAAATCTACAAATCACGCTAGTCAATTCTCAACTATCTCATCTTCAGGAGATGCTAATCCAATTATTCATCTAATATGATAATCTCCTAATCTATCATTCCTAGTTTTACCATAGATCTTATCTTATTCTCATTTCTACCATGCATAACGTGTCCAAAAATAGCTTATTTATCGCCCATACAAAATATCATATTTGCTCCAGTAGCAATTTTATAAAAATTATCTTCAAATCTCCATGATATTTTCTTATTGCATAGTCCTCATATACATTTCATCATTTTAACCGCACAGCTTTCATCTAGAAGTTATATTCTCAAATATCTTTATTCATCCATGCAATAAATCATTAATATTTAAATAATTCACCCTTGGATCAATTGATAAATACTCAAAATAGCAACCACTAAATCAAATATCATTTTTTAAGTATTATCCTAACACTTATTTCAACATAATTCTCAACAATTAGACGTGTCATCTACAAAAAACATAAACTAAGGTACCTTACTTTAAATATCCTTTGTAGGTACTCCATGCCCAAAAAAAAAATAAAGAACTTAAAGTTGGTCCTGAATTCAACCTGTCATGATTTCCCATTGGTCACTCCACAATTTTTTATAATACCAAACGTATAGATAATCTTAGCATCCACATCAAAAATATAAAACACAAGCAAATGCATGGATACCACATTCAGCATTAAGTTTATGCTGCTTGAAAGCAAAAGATAGTAATTAAAAAGATTCACAACTTTGCCATCGAAGATGTAAAATCACTGCTACACAAGAAAAAAAAAACTCGGTAATAAAGGCCAAACTGATATTTAAAATTATTTCAAGTTTTAAACAGATTTCCAAGTTCCAATGGCCAAATTTCATAATTGAGCAGAAGAATGACGAGTAATTTGTTTAAATAAATGAGCATACCCAGTTATGTTTGGAATAAATACTTGATCCTTAAAAGATTAGGAATATGCTTGGTATAACTGCTTATTGCCTACTTCTTTGAAGAGTAGAAGCAACTTACAAGAAGAGTAAAAGCAGTTTCAAAATTTATGATTTAAGAATCCGAAGAAAACATTATTGTATAAAATTTAAAAAAACAGCTTCTTTGAACGATACTTATAGTTTCCTGAAAATTACTGTGGGCTCCGAAAATTCCGGCAGCCGCCTTATGGGATAAATTTTCAGAAGGCAGATTGGATTTGTAGATAAGTCATAAAGCTTCAGAGTGCTGCTCCACTTGTTCGCTGTGTCCAGGCTGCTGCTCAGCGCATGTGGAGGATGTTAAGAACCAACGGTTTAAGTCATTCTTGCCACATCAGCTTGTACTTTCTTGTTGCCACGTCAGGCTGTACCTTCTTGCTTAGTATATTACATTGGGTCTATATATAGTTCTAACCTGTAATAATATATGATATCAATGAAATCAACTACTTTCTTCTTTCCCTGTTCATCTTCTTCATTCTCTGTTTTTCACCTGGACATTCTTCCCAGACGCTCAAGAACTTTCACATGGTATCAGAGCTGCTAAGCTCCACCGCCTTGATTCTCGTTCGTCTTCCCCTCGCCTTCCAAATCTGCAGCCGCTAACTCGATGGCGGACGAAGATACAGCCGGATCACGCCGGTCTGGAGCGGAAGGCCGAACTATGTCTACTACCTCCAATCAAGATTCCGATCTCCTCATTCCCCCTCAGCTAAAATTTCTGATCTCAAATGTCAAGAACATGGTTCCAAATCCTCTTACATCCGAAAACTACTCCATATGGCGTCTTCAATTATCTCAACACTTCGCTGCAAACGGATATGAAGAGCATCTCACCAGTCAAGCCGTTAGACCTCCGGACTCGACTCCTCAAGAACAAAATCGATGGAAGCTAGTCGATCGAAATCTTGTCTCAGCTCTCCTTGCAACTATCTCTCCTCCAATTCTACCGTATGTGATCAATCTTGGCTCCGCACATGAAGTCTGGACTGCTCTAGAACGACGTCTTCAACCCACCAACAGATCGCGCGTCATTCAGCTCAAAAATGAGCTGCATCAAATTCAGATGCGCGACCGCACAATGCAACAATATCTTGATCAAATCAAGACAATCGTTGACAACATCGCGGCCGCCGGTTCCACCGTTGATACAGAAGATATCGTACTCTACATCCTCAATGGGCTGCCCGCCGTCTATAACTCATTCAAGACTGCAATCAGAACCTCTATGCAACCCATTCATCTGGATGATCTCTATTCACTCCTCAGCAGTGAAGAAATCATTCTTCAACAACAGGGGCTCAAAGATCAAATGCAACAATCCGAGTCTACAGCCCTATTCTCCAATCGCAATTACAAAGGGAGAAAGCCGAGAGGCAGGGGTTCTTTTTCAAGACAACAGACGAATGAAAGACAGACGCAGCCCATAGAAGCATCATCGTCCGCGCGTCCTCCCTCCCAGCGCCCGACATGTCAGATTTGCGGCAAGATTGGTCATGCAGCTCTCAACTGCTGGCATAGATGTAACCTTAATTACCCACCGCCGACAAATACCAGAGCGCTCACAGCACAACAACAACAAGCCAATACGCACGACTGGATTTTAGACTCCGGTGCCTCATCTCACCTCACTGCGGACGCTACACATATTCAACATGCGGTTCCATATGCAGGTTATGACTCGGTGTCCATTGCCAACGGGAGCAATCTTTCCATTCAGAACTCGGGCCAAGGCATTCTGCCTCTACTCGAGCACACTCGTAAGCTCTATCTACGAAAAATTCTTCATGTTCCGCACCTAAAACATAATCTTCTCTCAGTCTCTAGTCTTACTTCCGATAACAACGTATCAATCTCTTTTACTGCTAACGAATTTGTGATAAAGAGTCTTCAGGACAATCAGGTGCTTCTCCGGGGACCCAAACGCAATGGGTTGTACCACATCAAACTCCCTACCAAGCATAACGAAGAAGCTCTTGCATCAAATCTGCAATCCAAGGATCCATGGAACGAACGGCTTGGACATCCTCACAACCGCAAGATCAGTATTCTTGCGAAAACCATACCAGACGTTGCAAACTTTTCTAATAATTTCATTTGCATTTCCTGTAATACATCCAAAATGCATAAACAGCCCTTTTCCATTAGCAATACAATTTGTAATAAGCCCTTCCAACTTGTCCATTCGGACATTTGGGGGCCTGCTCCGTGTTCTTCTAAACATGGTTACCGCTATTATGTTACTTTCATTGACGACTGCACTAGATTCACGTGGTTATATCTGCTTAACTCTAAAGATGAGGTGTTTAGTAAGTTTCAATTGTTCTACAATCTAATCAATAATAAATTCAAAACACAGATTCAAACTCTCCGCTCCGATGGGGGAGGAGAGTATACAAGTGGCATATTCCGGAACTACCTGGTGGCGAATGGGATAACGCATCAAATGAGCTGCCCTCATACCCTGGAGCAGAATGGCATTGCCGAGAGGAAACATCGGCACATAATAGAAATGACGCGGACACTTCTTCACAATGCCAATCTTCCTATTTCATTCTGGGCCGAAGCCACTACAACAGCAGTATATCTTATAAACAGATTGCCGTCGTCAGTCATACAAAATCACACTCCCTATCACAAATTGCACGGAAGCCACGCATCCTACTCTCACCTTCGAATTTTCAGATGTCTATGCTTTCCCTGGACTAAGCCGTATGCCCCGAACAAGCTGTCGCCTAGATCTCAAGAATGTGTGTTCATCGGTTACTCTACGGAACACAAAGGTTATCGGTGCTATAACGTTCAACAAGATCGTGTATACATTTCCCGAAATGTCTTATTTTTTGAAAATCAATTTCCATACAAGAATTCACAGTCAGCAGAGGATACGCGTACCTCTCATCATCAGGACTACTCATCCCCCCTTCTGCTGGTTCCGCCGTCTGCAGTGCAACCCACGCGGTATATCTCCCCGCAACAGACGTTAATTCCACCTCAAACTGCTGGCGGGGTCTCTCCAACTCAACCTCCAGATATAACATCTGTCAGCCAACCCAGCTCAACTGAACCCATTCGGCATCATATGCAGACTCGGTTGCGGTCAGGCATATCCAAACCAAGAAAGATTATAGATCTCTCAGCCACCACCATCCAGACTTCCGCACCCACTTCATATGCTGAAGCCTCAAAGCATGCGGAATGGCGTTCGGCCATGTCCTCCGAATATCTGGCTTTGATCAGGCAAGGCACTTGGTCCTTAGTCCCACCACCCGCAGACAAACCAATACTGGGTAGCAAATGGACATTCAAAACAAAACTCCTTCCGAATGGTCAAGTCGAAAGATACAAAGCTCGTCTCGTAGCTCAAGGATGTGCTCAAGAATTCGGCGTCAACTTCACTGAGACGTTTAGTCCGGTGGCCAAGATGGTTACAATCCGAATGTTAATCACCGTGGCTCTCAATCGCAACTGGAAAATAACTCAGCTGGATGTGTCAAACGCTTTCTTACACGGCGACCTTGAAGAAGAAGTGTACATGAAACAACCTCGCGGGTTTGAGGATGCTCAAAATCCAACACACGTCTGCAAACTTCGAAAATCCATCTACGGGTTAAGACAATCTCCCCGCCAATGGTTCCAAAAGCTAACGCATTTTCTTTTTCAATTAGGCTTCACTCTCAGCAAAGCCGATCCATCCCTTCTTCAACTAAAGCGCAATGACACCACGATCTTCATTTTGATCTACGTCGATGACATACTTGTTACCGGGAATGACCAAGAGCAAATTCAATTAATCCTTCAGCGGCTACACTCTGCTTTCAGCCTCAGCTTGTACTTTCACAGAGGATGCTTTTATGCATGATCAAACAAGCCAGCCAACAAAAAAAAAAGTAAGATATACATTGGCAATCAAATAAAACACTATACGTCACGAGTAAACGATTAAAATCCAAAGAAGAGAAAACATTATCAGCTAGCCTGGGAATCAATAAAAAGAAATATTGCAACAGACAGTAAACATAAATCCCGTGCTGAACTTAGATAATGGGATGAAAAATCATATAACAGAGGAGCAGGTTAATCAAACTGAATCAAAGTAGCAGAAGACAGCAAAAAAAGCTTCTTTTTGAAAATGAAAAATGCACGATAGTTTGCTCCAGCAGGTGAAAAAGTAGATATTAATCTAGGAAGTTGTAAAAGGGAGAAGCAATTTGAAATCACCTTCAAATCGCTCTTCAAAGATTATCTCGCAAGCAGAAGGAGAGAGGAGTAGCGCGAAGGAGAGGAGGGTCAGCAGCATTGAGTTTAGCTTGGGCTCTTAATAGCAAAGGAGCTAGGGCACCTCCCACCCTTTCGACCGGCCACCTCGACTGTGAAACGACTGCTCTATTTATAGCAACAAAATTTTATGTGAAAATAATATTTATTATATTTATTATATATGATATTTTACATAAAGAAATATTAAAATTATATAATTTTTTTCTCATAAAATCCGCGCAGCCACTGTCACTTATTTTAGTGCAAGGAATGCGCGAGAACGATTTCAGTGGAAAGAAAAACGAGAGCTCATCTAATTATTTGGAGGTGAATCAGAAGATGTTACATTATTTAATATATAGTGGATATATAGTCGCGATACACATTAAAAGTGTGACGTGGTGCGCTCTTATTCTCCTTCGGATAACGTCTAGTATATGTACAGAATAATTTTTTACAAGAAAGGCGCTGCACCGTTCTCTTCCTCAACCCTCACGCCTGTGTTTGAATGTCGTTGCCCAAGTTCAAGAGCTACTCGTGATGATGAAGAATCTGATCTCATGGAAGGGAATTCCCCATCTAGGAACAAATACAAGCTTAAATCTCCAAAAGAGATTAATATTCATCAATGTCTTTTCCTACTGTAATAGTAAAATTTATAAGATAGAAAGAACATTCTAGAATGCATATAATAAATATATAACAAATCATGATAAGCTAATCCTAAGTAAGCTTTCGTAAAGATGTTATGCATCAACCGACCGTCAAGGCTATATGTACGTAATCTATTTGGTTGTCATTACAAAGCATGCTTAATAAAAACCTAACGAAAAAAAAGAAAAAGAAATGAATTCTTCGTAATGCCCAATGAATTTATAATTTATACATTAACAAAAAATCTTTTGAATAGATATGCTAGTTTTAGAACTTAAAATGATAAATTAATAATTGAGCTGTTACTGGTTGCTGAAAAGTGCAGAGTTCATCTAGCAATATATTTTATTAATGTATATTAAAATTTTAAATTTTCATAAAATTATAATTATTAATGCAGACTCAAAATTTTTTATCAATTTAAAATATTTTTACTTTACTCTCAAAATGTAATGATTTTATTTTTCATACATATATTTAATTAAAAATAAACAAATAGACGATGATAATGATGATGATATAAATATGTACAATGCTATGAATGGGTGTTTGTTTGTTCAGCACATTTAATTACTAAATTATTATAACATATAAAGTATTTAACACAAGTCTCATCAAAGTATTTCGAGATTTTTTTGGTGAACGAGAAAAATATCTTAAAATTTAAAAATAATCATGATCAATAATTGGCCGACACATGTCCGTTCATAGAAATCAATGCATTATTTGACGGACGACTTTTCATCTGTAGTAATCTAGTAATCCATGGACATTAGCGTTTCATCTACAGCAATCCTATATTTTGTAGATAATAACATTCTATTTTGTTGTGTAACTACTTATTTATTCTATAATTAAATAATGAGTTTTTGTATTTATTTCTTTTCCAATCAATTATATCTCCATATATTTAAAATTAATCATGAAATTTCTCATTTTTACTCCCCTCTTATATTCTCACTCTAATTTTCATGAATAACACACAATTTCTACATAATATATTATAAAATATAAGAATTATCTTAGATATTTTGAGAAGAGAAAGATTCCATTGAAACAAAGTTTCAAGAAAATTTGCTTTGAGGAACACTTAACTTTCTCTCAACTCTTTCCCAATTTGATAAAATAGTTCAGTATTTTTTTTCAAATTCAACTCCTAATAACTCTAAAAAATATATTAAATAAAAAATACAATTGATTGTAAAATTAGTCATTACATATTATCCAAGCAAATATCATGCACCCATTATGTATCTTACAAGAAGACAAAATTTATTGAACTTTTCTATCACTTTTACTTTTGATATATATTAAAACAAATATTTTTCTTTGCTTTATTTGTAAAACACAATATAGTTAATACCCACTCATACTCTACTAAGTTATTTAATTTAATAATTCAATTCGGGCTTGTAATGTTACCCCAATTATGGGGATTGATTTTGTATGCTTGATCAATTTACAACTTTTAACAACCTTATGTTGGGAGATGTTCTTATTAGTTTGTGATGGGGAGCTCTAGCAAAAATAGCATAGCTTTTTTATGGTAGGCCTTGATGTGTAGTAGAGCTTGTACTCATTAAGCTTAAAATATCGCTTGTCATCCCTCTTAAACGCTTTTGGGCTTGCATAATATTGACTTTACAGTTTATTGTAAACTACTATGATTATTTAATGTATATGAAAATAATGTTTAAGCCCCCTAATTGCAAGAACTAATGATAATGATAACTTTTTAGTCATTTAGTAGTTTTCCATACTCATCAATAGAATCTTATGTAATAAATTAGTACATTCTAGTTGAATCTAAACCCTCCCTCGATGTGTTAGAGAATATAGAATCTTGGACTTACGTTCTGTCTAGATAAACATATTAGTCAATTCATATGGTCAAATTTTATTATGCAAGACGAGATATGTATATCCTATACGAAGAAGGGCTTATGTATATGCTAATCCTATATCTAGGTTGTATATCCTAGGTTGACGATTCTAGACTGACACACTAGGCGTTAGCAAATGCTACAAGTTGGTGGAATAAGATGTCTAAGTCACATATTCCATGACCAATGTGATGAGCTCAATATACTCAATCACTGCTCCTTATAGAATAATAGACCAGACATATCATATATTACATGCTAACATAGCTTATAAGTGAGTGATATGTACTCACCTCTATAGACAATAATGTTGAAAGAGGCTTCGAGGGTTCAAAAGTGTTTGTCATTTGAAATTTATACTATTATTATAATTTCCAAATCGACTATTGCCTATAAATTGAATCAAATCACACTTGATTGAGTTAGCCAACCACCATCCAATTTGATTACAGTGTGATTGTTTGTCACAACGAATTTTACAATCATGATGATATGATACACGTGATCAAAGGCCTTGATTGTAGCAATACTATAAGATCAAATTGCGCTATCAACTAACAAGTTCACAATTTTAAATAAAATTGTTCACGATCTTCAAATAAAATATTTTTTTTAAATAAAATAAAATAAAAAACAAAAAAGTCAAAAGTGTGAGTCTGAAAAATAATATATTTTAAAATAAAATTAGAATTTGCAAAAAATAGAACAAATTTTTTTTATATAATAAAAAAAACAAAAGCCAAAATTAATGACAAACAGCCCCTAAACTTTTTGTGTCCTCGAAGCTTTGTCTGGTTGTAGACCTGGGGTCTACCCTTTGTTCGCAGCTTTCGAAGGTGAGGTCAGATGAAAGTGACTTCGTGATTTTAGGGTTAAGAATGCGGCGACGTAGATCTTCTCGCTCTCCTCCTAGATTCTCAACTGAGTTCGTGATTTGCTATAGTGTTTTAGGTTAAAGTTTGGTTCTTTGAATTGCTTGAAGAAAGTCCTTTTTTTTTCTCGTTGATCTAATTCCTGTTGTTCTGTGTCAAATTTCCGCCTTTTTTAATGCCATGCGTTATATATTCTTGAGATTATTTGGAAAATTTGCTGATTAACTTGTTTTGTTCCTTGTTTCTTACCAGATAAACTGTAGGTTTTGAGTATTGGCGAGTTGGACGATGAATGAGATCGAATGGAAAAGTTTAGGTATCACAAATAAGCGATGATTTTGATTTTTTTTTCTCAGCATTTTTCTATCTTGAATGTCGGATGAAGATTTGGTGGAAATAATGAATGTAACCAATGTCTTAGCCTGCTGAAAGCCGCAGGGATAATAACGTATGAAAGAAATGGTCCTGATCAGATAATTAATGCTTTATTTTTTTGTGTCAAAAAGAAATATATTACATGAAGCTTGTACACCGCTATCTTTAAATGAATTTAATTGTAGATTTTCATACCCAAAAGTGAAAATTGCCAAGAAATTCCCTCATAAATTTTACTTGCTTTTATAATTTTATCTAAATTGGAATAATATAATTAGCTATGTTACCTTTGCTGCGTGGCTCTTTTTGAATTTTTTTCCTTTTTAAGATCATTGAACATATTATTTTTTTTTCTACTTTGATTGCATTGATTGTTCAGATCAATGAATTAGTTAATCTGTTGGCTAGAAAAAATTTCAAACTTGAAGTAAATTCAAATCCAATCTGCTGAAGATATAATTATGTAATCTAATTTATCTTGGTGTTGGAATTGACATGAAATTGGTGAATTTTCATACCAGGAAATGCTGAACAGGGAGCTTCAAATGGTGATTATGGCATTGGCCTCAAATCAATGGTTGCTTTTCTTGGATATGATATATTTCTAATTGAGATACATGACCACCTTCTTTAGAAGACACTGAAAAAAAAGTGTTGAAAATACTTAGTCTGTAAGAGTTAATCAGACAGAGTCAGCTTCCATCTTTTAAATTTCATTAATTATATTGTACCTCTTAAAAATGGTGATGGAATTGAAAGCTAATGGCCATGGGAGCTTCTTAAATGGTTCAAGTGATATGTACTTTCCAGTAGATAATGTGGATCCAATGTATAAAGTGTTTTTGGAACACTTGAGGAAGGATGGGAAATCATATATTCTAGAAATGGAGGATGGTGATAATGGTTTACCTGTATTTGTGAAATATGAAAACAATGATGGATTATCAGATTTCCTTCAATTAGATGCTGCCATAAGCTCAGGACATTGTAGCTTTGTCAGAAAAGGAAAAATTGAAACTAAAAGAAGGCGCATCTATAGGAAAACAGAGGCACAATCTAATGAGATTGTTGACTTCTCTGGCTTTCTGTCCAAAGAAGTTGAAAATACACTAGTGGTTGGTAGTAACAAAGAATTCCAGAACATCAGGAATATGAGTGTTGATTTTTCTGACTCTTTCAAGAACCTAGTTGAAAACAATCTGGCTGATGACAGTTATGAAGAATTTCTAAGTTACTTGAAAATCCAAGATGGTTTAATGGTTTTTGAATATAATTCAATTACAGTCATTTATGAGGGCAATGGAACATCAGCGGCAGCTGAAGGAACTTGTTTAGATGATCAAGGTACTATGCCATTGCCTTCTTTTGAGAGCATCCAACCCTCTCCAAGGCCAGCAAATGAAGGTGCTACTTGTTATGACAATCAGGAACTGGTGTTGTATGAAAGTAATCTTACTCCTGATGTAGTTGTAAGTTCAAATGCTTTGTTTGCAAGCACTTTATGTAACCTGTTAGCATAGCATTTTTTTCAAAAATAAAAATTTCCTTAAATTTTTTTTTTTTTAATTTTAGAACTACTGACATGTTTTCTTTTTACGAACATAAATTTCAGATTTGTGAAGCTGATGAGATGTCCATGGTACCTCTTGACTCCTACATTGTATCTCCGTTTGATTTGAAGCTTATGGCTGTTCTTAGTAAGCCTTATGACCAGCAAGAACATGAAATGCTTTGGAAGCACGCAAACTTTCGCAAACCAGTACTTCGGCACAAGGATCTCCGTAATCAGAGTAAATCGTTCAGTACAAGACAAATGGGATTTTCATATCTTGATCATTTTCCAGGTGACAATAATTAAGAACTTCAATGGTAACATTTTGATGCAATACATTTTTAGTGTACAGATGTCATTAAGCTTAAGTTTGCAGATAGTCTTTATGCTAAATTATTTATTTAGTGCATGCGTAAGCTTTATATAAAATGTTTGTATAGTACTGTTGATTGGCCACTTGGATTGATGGACCAGTTAAAGTTGATTGAACATTTAAACTTTATTATTCTGTTTTGAAGGTTGTTGTTACTCATGAAGTAGACAGATTAGGAAGAGTTATATTGGATGGTGTAGTGGTAATTATTGAATTAATATATACGCACACACACAGAGGGATGGAAGGAGATTACTATTTCTGTTCTAGTTCAAAGGAGAAAAGATGTCAACAAATCAATGCTTTAAATTAAGCCTCAAATATCAAAACTCCAAACCTCATTGTATGAATCCATGTTTAAGCGATGAATGCAAGCTTCTGGTCAGTAGAAAATAAATAACTATGCTTGACTTTGCAGATCTTGCAAAAAAATTGGAGCATTCTGATCCTCAGCAAGCGCTGAACCTTCTGCGTGGATTATTTTTCTGGTTAAAGGTATTTTTTATATCTAATCTTATTCATTTCATTCGATCAAATTTTAAATTTCCTTACATAAAAATTTCAAAAATAAGCATTATCCGTATGTCAGAGTTCTATCATCATGCTTATGATGTGAAATTCCTATCGATTATACTTGCTATGTGATAAACAAAGAGCACCAACTCAGGCTGGAATTTATTAATCTTTTTTAAAAATATTGAGTGAGTGTTCATTGATCATATACAAATATCTAGTTTGATTTTCAAGCATTTCTTTATCAGGTGTTTTAGGTGGTTGTTAATGATGGCAATTGCTTTGCAGAATTTGTGCCATGAAGGTGCTTATAAGCCATGGATATCTGCAAGCTCCAAAATAGTTGATGTCTCAGATCACGAAATGACAAGAGGACAAAATATAGAATCTCAAACTTCTCCTTGTTCATTGTAAAAGGTATATTAGGCTGTTCCATGCTTATCTGCATGGTTTTTTAATTTTGTAAATGCTAATCAGTCAACGAGGGAAACTTCATACGTAGAATCTGTGCTGCCAAGCTTGTAACGGTTGATTTTTATCAATGTATCTCTACTCATTTCCTTTTCTTTTCCTCTCAATAAGTGAGTTTCTAGGATGAGAAGCTTTGCATATTTATGTTCCTTAATTTCTTCTCCGAAGAACTTTTGTGCCTGATTATAGGTTGTCATACATACTTGACCGTGCTAATTGACTTAGGCATCGTTTGGGATGGTTTTCTTGCTGCTTCTTAAAGCCGCTTTCTAATGCAACATTTATAATTTTTTTACTAAAAAACAAAGCTGTTTTAAAAAATAATAAAAAAATCGTCTCAAATGAAGCCTTAGTGAAGCTGATGACTACTCATTCAGCTCGCTTGGGCGAGTCCTCACACCACAACTTTGTCGAGTAATGCTAACCTGCTTGTGGGCTAATCATTTTTTCCTTATGGCGAGTGTTCCTCTTTGAGAAATGCGTTCAGTTAGACGAGTCACTAAGTGAAAACCAGATAAGTATCTATGAAGCTACCTGCATAAGCATGTATGAGTATGAAATATAATAGTTGTGATAAAATTGAATAAAAATTAACATAAATTTTGTTTTTGAATATTTTAAATTTATTGTTTTTGACAAATCTTATTTTAGCTTTGTAATTGATTAAATTCAAGATTTATTAAAATCCATCATTTATTTTGATTTGATCGATTTGCATATTTATTCTATCTTAGAAATCTTAAAGTTTAAAAAATATAGCCAACTGATTTATCAAAAATTTAACCGCTGTCATGCTAATCAGTTGTAAGGTTATAGTGCTCTAAATATTACCTAAATCTCAATTAACATTTTTTACTAATATTCTTTCTGTTTCTTTCTTAAGGGGCTGTTTGGTAACAAGTGGGATTAACTTTAATGGAATTTAGTAAATCTTAAGGGTGTTAATAAATCCTAAGAGTGTTAAATCCTGAAAACTGTTTGGTATGATAAATATTAAATTCTGTTAAATTCTGATAGACTGTTTGGTAATATATTATTAGATTTATGACTGTTTAGAAATTTAAATGTGAATAAGATAATTATAAAATATAAATTAAATTTATTATTAAAAATAAAATTTAATATGTTATGAATTAATAATATATAAGTAGATGTGAATGAGCTCGCTGGCTGTGAAGGTAACTTTCTCCCTTTCGCGCGCTTCTTCGGCCAAATCCCATAAATCCGCCGAACCGAGGGATTTAGTAAATCCGGGATTTAAGCCGTAAATCCTTAAATCCGGGATGTACCCATCGCCGGGATTTAACGCGCGCAAAAAAACCGTTTCTGGATTTAGCGTAAATCCCACTTAAATCCCGCTGTAAATCCGATACCAAACAGCCCCTAAATCATACAGGTAGACGAACAGCCGCTTAGGGTCCGGCTGCCCCAACTCTTCCCGTCTTGATTCCTACGCCATGGCCTACTACAACGGCGATCTCTACCGGGAAAACTGGTTGCGCGATGAGGTTCTATACCTTCATGGCCTCTGGCATCGGGGATCTCATCCATCATCCATCGTAAACTCGAACATTAACCATAAACATACTCTCACTCATCTTCGTCCCAGATTCTCTAGCAGGCTCAGAAAAGATAAAAAAAACCAACGTCAAAAGAAGAAAGCGGTTGTCTCCGAGAAGGAATGGCCGTGTGATCATGTTCCGGATCCGAATCACGCTGTAGACACAAGCTGGCCTGAGCCACAGCCAAAGCTTGCCCCTCGCCCTCCCTCCGCCGAGTATCTCGCATCGGATCTGGCTGCTCGCGCACAGAAGAATGGCGTGGTTGCATGTGGGAGATTCTTTTCTAACAAGGATGGTGATGATGATTCCGATGAAGGTGATTCGGTTGGCGAATTAGAGGAAGAGGATGTTGAGGAGGAGGAAGAAGTGGAGGAGAGGGCTTTCAAGTTTTTCTTGGATATCTTTACGACGGACAACGAGTTGAGGAGGTACTACGAGGAAAATCATGAGAAAGGTGAGTTCTTGTGTTTGGTGTGTGAGGGTAGTGGGGCGAAGAAAGGGAGAATGTACGGTGATTGTGTTGGGCTTGTTCAGCATTGTAGTAACGTGTCGAAGACAGGGCGGAGAGCTGCTCATCGTGGTCTTGCAAAGGCTTTGTGCAGGGTGGTTGGGTGGAATTTTGACAGGCTCCCAATGCTAGTTTTGGATCTTGAAGAGACTCTGGGTCAGACATTGGCGAGAGATGTTTCTCCAAAGCAGGTGATGATATCGTGATCTTTTATTTGTTAACATTTCAAAGATGTTATGAGGTCACATTTGTCCGCATGCTATCTTTGATAGCATCTTTTGATCGATTTAGATCTTCACGCATATGCAACATCTCTTAACTAGATTGGAATACTTTTTTTTTTCTATCATTTACTTTATTTATTAGCTAAGCTTTTAATCTATTAATTATTATCATGAAATAGTATGACCATGCTCTCTCCATATATTTAGCATTTGGTTGCTTTATAGCTTGACTGGATTAGTAATCCTTGAGATGGTCTAACAGATGTGTGTGATGGTGTGGTCTGACAGATGTGTGTGATGGGTTAGCAAAACTTGATTCTCATGACTTTAATTCAATGTAATCCTTAGCGGGAGACTTGGATTGAAGTAATCTTGAGTAGGTTGGGTCTACTATAGAAGCTATACATTTATTGAGAGGTTTGATGGAGAAGTATAGAGAGAATTAGGAGGATCTACATATGGATTTTATTGATTTAGAGAAAGCATATGATAAAGTTCTAAGAGAAGTGTTATGGAGAGTTCTACGTAAGAAAGATGTTAATAATGCTTATGTTCAAGTCATTTAGGATATGTATGCGCGAGTTGTTACTTGTGTTCAAACATAGATGGTTAGACCAAATATTTTCCTATTTCAGTTGGAACATCAAGGATCAGCCTTAAGCCCACATCTTTTTGCTTAGTCATGGATGTTCTCACTAGACATTTGAAAGAGGTTGTACCATTATGTATGCTTTTTGCTGATGATATTCTTCTTGTTGATAAGACTAGAGAGGGAGTTGAAGGTAAACTTGAATTATGGAGGTAAATTTGAATTATGGATGTCAACCTTAGAGTTTAAAGGCTTTTATTTGAGTAGATCTAAAACTGAATATATGGAGTGTAATTTTAGTAGGAATAGATCTAGTGGGGGGATTGTGACTTTGGGTGATCAAGTCATTAATACAAGCACACATTTTAGATATCTTGAGTCTATTGTTCATAGTGATGGTGACATAAATGGGGAGATTATTAGTAGAGAATTCAAATTGGATGGTTGAAGTGGAGGAATGCATTGGGCTTATTATGTGATAGAAAAGTCCCTCTCAAACTTAAGGGAAAATTCTATAAGATGGTAGTGAGACCTACAATGCTTTATGGTACAGAATGTGGGATATTAAAAGAGAAGCATAATATTAAGTTAAGTGTTGCAGAGATGAGGATTCTTAGGTGGATGAGTGGCTTTACTCTTAAAGGCATGATACAAAATGAGCATATACGTGAAAATGTTGGTGTAGCTTCAGTGGAAGATAAGATTAGAGAGAGTCGTCTTAGATGGTTTGGTCGCATAAAACGGCGACCTTTTAATGACCCGGTTATGAAACTAGATGTGTTAGATTTAACTTATGTTAAGAAAGGTAGAGGTAGACCTAAAATGACTTGGTTAAAAAATATTAGAAATAACTTTTCTTTATTAGATTTAGATGAGATTTGACCCTTAACAGGACACAATGGAGCAAAAGGATTCATGTAGCCGACTCCACATAATGGGATAAAGGCTTGTTGTTGTTGTTGTTATTGTAGAATTTCGGAGCATTATTCAAATATGGAATTTCTATTTTTTAAAATATCAAATAAAATTATATTAATGCAAAAAAATTGCTTGCTTATATATTTCTGTATGTAGGATGACAATGTGCAATTAGTGATGCACAAAATATTGCGAATCATAGAGTAGTTAAATTAATGTGTCATACTTTAAAACTATGGGAGAGAGTTATGGAATATAGGTTGCGACGTTACACTAATGTTTCTCAAAATCAATTTGGATTCATGCCAAGTAGGTCTACTATAAAAGCTATACATTTATTTAGAGGTTTGATGGAGAATTATAGAGAGAATAAGGAGGATTTACAAATGATTTTTATTGATTTAGAGAAAGCATATGATAAAGTTCTAAGATAAGTGCTATGGAAAGTTCTACATAAGAAATATGTTAATAATGCTTATATTCAAGTCATTTAGGATATGTATGCAGGAGCTATTACTTGTTTTCAAACACAATGTGGTTTGATCAAATATTTTCTTATTTCAGTTGGATTACATCAAGGATCAGCTTTAAGCCCATATCTTTTTGCTTTAATCATGGATGTTCTCACTAGACATTTGCAAGAGGTTGTACCCTTATGTATGCTTTTTGTTGATGATATTCTTCTTGTTGATAAGACTAGAGAGGGAGTTGAAGGTATACTTGAATTATGGAGGTCAACCTTAGAGTCTTAAGACTTTCATTTGAGTAGATCTAAAACTGAATATATCGAGTGTAATTTTAGTAATAATAGATCTAGTGGGGGAATTGTGACTTTGGGCGATCAAGTCATTAATAAGAGCACATGTTTTATATATCTTGGGTCTATTGTTCAAAGTGATGGTGAAATAGATGGGAATATTATTAGTAAATTCAAGTTGGATGGTTGAAGTGGAGGAATGCATCGGGCTTGTTGTGTGATAGAAGAGTCCCTCTCAAACTTAAGGGAATATTCTATAAGATGGTAGTGAGACCTGCAATGCTTTATGGTGTAGAATATTGGCCATTAAAAGAGAAGCATAATATTAAGTTAAGTGTTGCAGAGATGAGGATGCTCAAGTGGATGGGTAGCTTTACTCTTAAAGACATGATGCGAAATGAGCTTATACGTGGAAACCGGAAAGGTTTGAGTAGCTCTAGTGGAAGATAAGATTAGAGAGAGTCATCTTAGATGGTTTGGTCACATAAAACGGCGGCCTTCTGATAACCCGGTTAGGAAAGTAGGACACAATGAGAAAAAGGATCTATGTAGCCGACCTCATATAGTGGGATAAAGGCTTGTTGCTGTAGAATTTTAGGGCATTATTCAAATATGGAATTTCTATATTTTTTTAATATTAAATAAAAAGAAATTAATGCTAAAAAATTGCTTGCTTGTATGTTTCAATATGTAGGATGGCAATGTGCAAATATCAAATAAAATCATTTTGTGCTGATGTATTGATTCATGCAGACAACATGCCTATGAATGATTTAATACCTACTTTTTACATGTGAAACAATTTGGAGCTGAAGAGAACCATCCAATAAGTAAATTAAAATATAAAAAAAATTCATGCTCAACTAAATTCTGAATATTGCATCTTTGTGCCAATATCGATCCATCAAAAGATATTATCTTGAAATTGTTGTCTTGGTGTGGATCGAATAGAGGTGGACCTAAAATATTTAGTTAGAAAGTGTTAAAAGTGATCATTTTTATTAGATGTAAATGAGTATTTGACTCTTAACAGGATATAATTGAGAAAAATGATTCATGTAATCAACCTCATGCAGTGAGATAAAGGCTTTTTTGTTGTTGGTGGTGGTGATAGTGTGGATTGAATCTCCCACTTAGTTATCAACAACTTGAGCGAAGGTGGAGGCATTTACTATCAGATGAGAAGATATCATTTTTTTTTTTAATTTTTTTAGTTATCATTTAAATAGGATAATATATCTCTTTCATTGCTCATCATGGATCTTTCTCTCTCTTTTGAAATCACTAACATTAGTGGTAGTTGAACACCTTATCGCACAAACTGTGTTATCACCTGATCTAAAGCTCCTTGATTCTTATAACGGTTATGCTGGCTCTGTCAGACTAGCTTTGTGATTAGCGCTTTGTACATACAAAATTAACGTTAGGTGGGGAAGGAGTTAATGTGAAAGGAACAGGAGTTATAAGGTAGATGATATATTGAAGGTAATATTGTTAAACGTTGCACCAAAAAGACAAGTAAATTAGAGCTGACACCACTTATGGGACTTGATAGGAATGAATGCAGAGATTTGATCCCATTGTAGAACTTGATGCTTCGCAATCAGAAATCATATTCACTCTGAACTAAGGTGATCATGTTAAGTATCAATCTCTGATCTTCTACCGTGAATCTTCAATTCAATAAAGTAAAATCTCCTCTGCATAAAAGGTGATTTAATAATGCACTTTCCTTCACTTTCTGAGCTTGAAAGTATAAGCCTTTTTCACCATAATTCCTCATCACATACAACCATAAGATGATGCCCTCTAATTCCACCAAAGTAGTTAGCAATTTTTCGCTTTGTGATGCTTTTTTGACTTTCTTCTTATGCTTCCCTGATTATAATGCGTTTTGTTGCAGGAAAATTTCCAAGCAACTGAACCAATCGAGAATAAAGATGTTGAATAGACTGATCAGACATGCAGGATTTATATGGAAGCAGTTGTAGGTTTATGGGATTTGAGTAGCTGAATATATCTTAGGAAGTAGATATTATATAAATCTCATACTTGGGTGTTCATGTGAATCTTTGTGATCTATAATTACTCTTCTGCTAGTATTTATTTGTTTTTGCTTCTAACATTTCAAAAAATGTAAGCAGTAAACGAGAATTTATTTAGAAGAAGTGAGGCAGAGGCACTTAATGGCGTAAAGAGGTGTCTCCAGTCCATTATTTCAAAGGGAAGATTCTTATCTACATAAGCATAATTATGTAGATGGGCTAATGTTAAAGGAGGAAGATATAAAAGAAACAATAAAGGTGCTTTCAGAGGAAAGAAAGTTGATAATGGTTGTTTGCCTCCATTAATGATATAAAAGTAACATATTGAGATATAAACCTCATTCGAATATAGTTTAATCCTTTAAGGTTTTCTTTTGGATGGATTTTCTACTGCTGCTTATAACAGTTTTATAGTATAAAAATTAAAAATTTTGTATTAAAAAAATTACTATAAGAGAAACATGAAGAAAAGTCTTCACAAATAAAGCTCAAATCTCATTTGAACATTATTCATGAGGTTTGAACCTTCTTCAATGACCACTCAACTCATGAGGTTTAGGCATTATTTTTTAAAGCATTTTTTTAATAAATAAATTAAATTGTTTACATTAAAAGGCTATTTTCATAAGCAGGAAGAAAATAATCTCAAATGAAGACTTAGGTTTTGTTTGAGATAGTTTTTTTGCTGCTTCCTGAAGCGGCTTTTTAGTAAGAAAGAAAAATTTTTAACTAAAAAATTGCTTCTAGAGGTAATAAGAAAACCGTCCTAAATGAAGCCTTAATTCTTTTTGAGGGAAACTAAATTTGATACAGGCATCTGAGCTGCGTCATTGAATATGATGATCAAAATTTGTTCAGTTTAAATATATATTTTAAAATAAATAAGTAACGGAGATGGTAAAAAAAAAAATATAGTTTATCTAATTAAAAAAAGACCCAATTAATTTTTAATATTTTTCTCCAGTATGATATTACTGTTTATTTGGTGCAAGTTTCAGAAAGCGCAATTTGGTTGAACCGTTGTAGGGCTGGTGGGCCCCCGATAACATAGAGTTAATTGTGATTAGATGGCCTCTCTATTATGATATTATCAGCCATTCAAATTGCACCAACCTTTTCCATATCTATATATATATGATTTTTACGTACATAACATTTAAAATTATGTTATTTACTTATGATACACCTAAAAAGAACATGGTCTTCAGAGAATTGCTCAGAATAAGAAGATGCCGATCCAGAGCTCTCGGTCTTCGATGATTTCCTTCTCCAAAAAGTAGGGTATGGGCGTTCAAATGGTTATGGCACATGAAAATGAGATATTGAACATCAAATAGAAGAAGAACAACAAATCTAGATAGAAAACTTGGGGAAGAACAGCAAACCTATGTGATCTATCGAGGAGGGGATGCTGAAGGCAAATCCGAGCTACATGAGGTTGACGAACAGGAAAACAATATTAGAAAATGGAGAAAACATACCTAGACGAACAAAACAACTGACCGAGTGAGGAAGAGGCGATGTTAGCGAAGAAGAAGTTTCGGACAACGAACTTTTGGCGTTTGGATTTGACGGAGTGTTATTTTTGATGAGGGTGAGGGGTTTTAGATGGTAGAAGAGTAAATAGTAAAGTTTAGGTGTTAGATGAGTAAATAATATAGTTTTAAATGTTATGTATATAGGTAAAAACTCCATATATATTAGGAATATTTTTCGAATTTTCAATCAAATGCATAAAATTAAAACACAGGACATTTTTTCTCTATAAATCATACTAACTTTTATTTCTTTTTATCATATCAAGTTCCAATATATCATCAAGATATATTATATAATAAAGTTTTTTCTTTCCATATAAATGTTGATAAAAATATTTTATTTGAGAATATGACTGTCTGATTCATGATTAATGAAATTACACACAAGCATATTTGTAAAGAAAATAGGTTTGAATTAATTAATTTCAATTTTAACTGATTTGTTGCAGTTTGGTACTTTACGACGCAGGGATATTGATAAGATCCAACATTATTTGAAAGAAGGGGAGTTCAAAAATTATCAAATTAGCGCTCTTTGGAAACTTCTCGAGGCGATTTCTAGGCGATTCTAGGGTTTGCTCTGCGAGCTCCTCTGGTGGCGCTTCTCGCGGGGATCTCGCTGGTTTCTTCTCAGATTTACTGGTGATATTCTTCCGTGCTCCCTTCTTGGCTTTCTGATTTTCGTTCATGGTTTTTTTCTTCGTGGCTTTCTTCTGTTCCGGTGGTTTTTTTTTTGTGCTGTGCTCCTCTTGTGTGTGGTTGCGAGGTTTCTGGTCTGATTGGCCTTCTGTTCTTTTAGCTTGGGGGGATGACAACTCCGTCGTCATCTAACCCGTCGATGGCTTCTGTCTTAAAGGGGAAACCCCGATCCTTTAAAGAGGCGCTTGCTGGTGATGTTTCTTCGGCTTCCAATCTGAAATTTGTTCAATCCTCTTTCAAAGGATGTCCTGCTCTTTTGATTGAGGATTCTGTGGTTGCTCAACTGGCTAAACCGTTTGCTCTTACCCTTGTGGGGAAATTTGTGCTTAAAAGGCCCAATATTGATATTATTCGAAATTTTTTTTTACAATCTTAAGCTTTCCGGCTCTTTCCATGTTGGTTTACTAGATCCCAGGCATGTTGCTATTCAATTGACGAATGATCTGGATTATAGCAGGATCTTTTCTAGGCGTTCCTATTACATTCAATCCTGCCAGATGCGGCTTCTCAAATGGACTCCCGACTTTGATGTTCGTCATGAATCTCCTATTGTTCCTGTATGGGTATTGTTTACTAACCTTAGACTGCTTTTTTTTAATTCTCAAGTTTTGTTTGGTTTGGCTTCCATTCTTGGTCGGCCATTGCAAACTGATCAGGCGACGGCTTCGGTTTCCCATCTGTCTGTGGCCAGGATTTTGGTTGAGGTGGATATTTCAAAAAAATTTCCTAATGAGATATGGCTTGGGTCAGAACTGAATGGTTATTTTCAAAAGGTGGAATTTGAAAATTTTCCTATTTTTTTGTACGCATTGTAAAATGCATGGGCATAACATGAACTACTGTTTTAAATTACATCCAAACCTTAAGAAACCAAAGGAACAAATTAAACCTTCTTTGCTTCAAGAAGTGAATACCATTAAGGGTTGTAATCAGGACATGTTGGAAGGATTTGGTAAGGAGGTGGAGGAACTGCCCACCGTGCAAGGTGGCAACATTTCATCGGATTTTATATCTCATGTTATTGGGGAGGTGGGGGAAGGTATTGTGAATGAGGTGGGGAAAGGTAATGATATTCAAGAGGTTGGCAACAATATGATTCCTAATTTATCTTTACAATCTGCTTTTGGTTCTAATCGAACGGTTACTCATGCTATTGTGGAAGAAGTGAATAATATTGTGAATACCAATATTAATGTTATTGTTGAGTCTAATCAGGTGGAAGAAGATGGGTTGCATGCTTTGGTTAACGATCCGACTAGTTCTTTGGTTACTATTCCTAATATTGTCGCTACCGAGGTTGAGGAGGAGGATCTTCCTCAGCCTATTGCCGAATCTGTGGATCTTCATCAGCCTATTGCCGAACCCGGGATTGGTTCTGTTTTGACTGGGGATGATAAAGGGGAGCCTCCGGGTATTATCATGCCGCAATCATCCGTGGACACTCATCCACGTCGGCGAGCACTGGCCGCCGTTGGATCACCCGCTGTCCAAATCGGACGGTGGTGATCGAGTCGGATGGGAGCCCGTCCGTCAGAACCAAGCACATGGATCGGATCGCCCGCGGTATGGCGCGATCCGAACCGTTGATCACAGGATCAACGGTTCAGATATCTCGCAAGCCATGCAACGCCCGATCCGAAACCCTAGGGCTATTCTTGCTTCGTTCTCCCAAACGGCTGTACCAAATCTCATGAAATTTTAGATCTTCTATGCGTGAAGAGCAACAGTGGGGAAGTTTTATTTTGAATTAATACATGCTAACGACGACGCTAATTAACCCTAAGTGTTCTAACTAGGGTTAGAGATATACCTCAATCCACACGGTGGATTCGGGAGATCTTGAGCTCGTTGGACTCGTAGACTCCTCACGAACAATCTTCCTCTTGAGATCGAGCTCCAAAAAGGCCTTGATCGGATGGAAGAAGCTCTGGACGTCCCTTGGCCTCGGTTCGCCGGAGTTGACGTCGCCAGCGGCTTGGGGTCGTCGGGATTTGGTCGGGAAATCAAGTGGAAGGTAAGAGGAGCTCTCTCTTCAAAAATCTCGGGCTAAGGAGACTTGGAGAGGGAGAAATTAACCAAAAGTCCTCTTTTTGACCTAATTTTCACTATTTAAATCCCCTAACCTATCTTGAACGGCCTAGATCTAATCACCAGCTATTTGGGAGGGAAATTAGAGGGAAATAGCCGTGGGTTTCAATTTCAAATCAATAGGGATTAATTAGAGCATTGAATGGGCACCAATTTGGCTCTAAATAGGTGATAATGACCTATTAATGACTAGATTTGACCACGTCAACATTTGACCTGGTCAAATCAGTCAATTAGGTCAATGAGATCAAAGGATTGAGTCATGAAAGTGATTGGGTTTGATTTAGACTCTAAAAGGGCTTAATGGGTCAATTTTGACCCATTTAGGCTTGGGTTGACCAAGTCAAAGGTTGACTTGGTCAACTCAGTCTACTATGCTCATGTTTAGGCAAAATCGAGGTCAATAGCTGGGCGTTGGAAGGGGGGTTTTTGGTTGTGCTGGTGGGTATGCCCTGGATTGCTGTTTCAGGTTTTTGGTTATTCTGGATGGGGGTTGGTTTGGTTCGAGGCCCGGCTCTTCTGGATTGAGGTTTCTGGGTTTTTATTTAATGTTTAACTATTCTGATTTTGGTTTGCCTGTTTTCTTAGTGGTTTGCAGGCTGCTGGTTCTGTCGGAGGTGTGTATATTTGATCTGCCTTTTTTGGATCGGGACGCTGGTGTTGCCATGTGGTTCAAGGGTATTTTTGTTTTCATGTTCTTTCGTTTCCCGTCTCGTTCTATTCTATCTTTTTTGCAGGTTTGCTTCCACCTTGAGGAAGTTTTTGACAAAGGAGCTTGGGCTGATGGGATTTCCTTAGTTCTCCTTATTTTTTGGGCACTCCTTCCGTGCCGGCTTAGAATGTATCTAGACAATTTTGTATTTAATATAGATGGGGACAATCGGCCCTTAGGTTTTTTTATCTTTTTTATTGATTGTAGCTCTTTGAGCGGTAGCGGGTTGATGGTCCCCTTAAGGACTTGTAATTTTCCCATTAATTAACGCGTAGGCCCCGTTGTGAGTTTTAACCAAAAAAAAAGAAGGGGAGTTCAAGCTGGGCATTGAGAGGATATAATAGTGTGTGAAGGAGATGAGTCCTGGGGCCATTTGAAGGAGAAGGGGAGTTTATGATGGCATCAATGAGATCCGATGATATGTGAAAGAGAAGAGAAGTTCATGGATTTATAGAGACAAACCTCGACAATATTAGCAGCATGTGAAGGAAAAGAGAATTTAATGAAGAATCTCACAAGCAAATTAGTTTCTCATGTGCTTCAATTTCTAAAAGCAATCCACATGCATATACAAGTGATTATACTTTTCTCCTAAATGAAATTTTAGATATGCTATTTTTTCAGAAAAATAAACAACAGCAAGGTTTGACCAATTAAGTACATTATAATACTTATAAAAAAAATTTCCATCTTATTTAGAAGCCTAGTCATATGCTTTTTAAATTAAAAATAGGCCCTTTACTTCATTTCAGAGATGGAAAACAAAAAAAGGTTGGATGGCTAGGGTTTCTCTCCTCTTTCACGCGGGGACCACTCGCTTCCTCGTCTCTTCTTAACTGTTAACCGGTTGAATGACCCTGAGCTCTTAGATGGCAAGTAAAAAGGGCTATCCTTTAAGGAAGCTCTATATGGGGCTTCGTCCTCGCCGGTTTTTCCTGAACTAAAAATCTCCACTTGCCATGGTTTACCGTCTCTTTGGATTTTTGATGTCGAAATGCTGGCTCTGGCAACTCTGTTTGAGTTTGCTTTGGTGGGGAAATTTATCGGTTGCAGTCCACCTCTTGCATGGTTCTATATGAAAATTTTTCTTTCAACTAAAGCTTATAAGCAACTTTTCCATCACTTTGCTCAATTCTAAGAATGTTTTGATTAAGTTGTTGAATGACCTAGATTACTTTAGGATTTTTTCTCATTATTCTTATTTCATTTGTAATTATTATTATAGGAAGTTATTTAAATGGACTCCTCATTTTGACATTACTATATATTAAATCTCATGCAATCCCTATTTGGGTTTCCTTTCTCAATCTCTGGCTACATTTATTCTCTCGAGTTTGCTTTGGTGGGGAAATTTATCGATTGCAGTCCACCTCTTGGTTCTATATGAAATTGTTTCTTTCAACTAAAGCTTATAAGCAACTTTTCTATCACTTTGCTCAATTCTAAGAATGTTTTGATTAAGTTGTTGAATGACCTAGATTACTTTAGGATTTTTTCTCATTATTCTTATTTCATTTGTAATTATTATTATAGGAAGTTATTTAAATGGACTCCTCATTTTGACATTACTATATATTAAATCTCATGCAATCCCTATTTGGGTTTCCTTTCTCAATCTCTGGCTACATTTATTCTCTCCCAATATTCTTTTTGGGCTTGGATCATTATTTGGCTCTCCGTTGTGATCGGACAATGCTACTTATAATGGTACAAGGCTCTTGGTTGCTCGCATTCTTTGTGGAGTTAAATGTTACCAAGTGATACCCTAACCAAGTTTGGCTTGGTTTGGAAACTATGGGTTATATTCAGATGGTGGAAATGGAAGAATTGCCCTCTTATTGAGCTCATTATAAAATATTGGATCATTCGAAATCTGAATGTCATATTTTGCATCCTCATTTAGCTGATTTTTCTGCCCCTATTACCAATGTGGGAAGTTTGGTTGAGCTTCCTGAGCATGAAACAACTGTTAATGTGGAACCTGTTCTTGCGAGTGAGAAAATAACTATTGAGAATGAAAATACTACCTCTATTGGGGATGGGGTGTTGTTGGCATGGGCGGATCCCCCATGTAGTGAGGGAGGGAAAATGTCCACCATAAAAAAAAAAAATTAAATTTTAGTGGGAATATTTTTTAGAATAGTTTGAATTTTTTTGGGCATTTTGCTCCCACTAAAAAAAAAAAAAATTACCCTAATTTTATTAATCTTAAGCGTCTTTGCCCATCCCCCACAAAAAAAAAATGTCCACTCTGAAAAAAGAAGTTGGATCCGCCCCTGATTGTTGGCTGGCATGTGTTCCCATGTTCAAACGTGGTTGTTCCTGATCAGTGGATTTGGATTGCTTAGATGCTATGAGTAGGTGTGTTAATGATTTGATTTAATCACCTATGGTTGTGATAGCTCATCTGATTGCTAAATATTTGACGGAGGTGGATAGGGGAATTTTGATGTTAATAAGGATAACATCACAAAAAATGAATTTAAATGTTATTTTGTAGTACTTTTCATAGTTCTCATCACTATTTTGATAGGCACTGGTAACATAAATTTATATAATTATTTCCTAATCTTAATTTCAATGTAATGTTATTTTATGATGATAAAATTATGTGAGAGTGAGACGCTTCCGATATATGATTCTAAAAAAAAAAAAAGATATGTTTTATATAGCAATAGAGGAGAAAAGTAAACAGATAATCAAAATTAGAAGAGGATATATAGCTTCTTCCAAGTAAATAATATTTAAAGAAAATAGAAATAAAGAAAGCGGGAATGGTGCTGTGAGGTGGCACCGCTGATGGAACCAACCACGTCGTTCAACCTGGCAACGTTTTACTGCTCACAAATCCTTCTTTTTTTACATCTCTCCCCCTCTTCAAACTCTTCTGATATATATATATATATTTTCCCAGCTCCTGTTTTCAAACGGCGCCGTCGAGGCTTTAGGCGCGCGCAGCCGCTCATGGCGCCAATACCGTCCTTACGCCTGGCGACTCTTTGCTGGGCTCGAACTCCTCCCTTCCAACTCAATCTCGTCCTCTTAACTTCTCTCGCCCTCCTCTCTCGCTAAATATCCACATTGCCCTCCCTTTACTGTAATTAAAGCTTCCAGTTTCATCAGTAGCTCATGGTTTTGTTTGACTTATTAATTGCGTCAGAGGACGTTATTATTGTTTTTTTTTTTTGGGAGGAGAATTGATCAGAGGTTCTTTGCCTTGTTCGGAGTATAAAAACACGATTTTTCTTTATTCTTTTCTTTCTTCTTCTTCTCCATCGTCGTCTTCTTCTTGTTCTTCAAACAAAAGCTCTAAATCCCTTCAGCATTTTTTCTAAAATGTAATTAATCTTTCAAATTTTCATAACGTCAGTCTCATATTCAATTATTTTATACAATAATGACCTGTTTTGTTTTGTTATATATATATAGTGGTTTTAGGGTTGCGGTGGACGTTGTCCAATTAGCACGGCGAGGAGGATGGGAGGTTCTGTGGAAGGAGAGAGGGAATTAGATGGAGAAGCTTCCAGCTACAACGATAACAAGGTGGTGTTCGCCGGAGAAGAAGAGAATCAAACGCCGCCGCCATCTCCTATGCCGGATATGTTGATTGATTTGGATGAAACAGCTGAAAATTTGTTCTTTTCCGACGAAAATGACGCCTTTCCTTCACTTGCTGACTTCCCGTGTCTCTCCTCTCCCTCTGCGTCGCCTTCTCTCTCATCGGCTATTTCCACTCATCACAATACTGTTCCCTACTTCTCCATCAAATCATCATCAACTACCTCCTCTGAAACGGGTCCCATGCAGCCTCCGCCGCCGACGATGCAGGCGTCAGCTGCCACAAGTGAAGACCCGCTTATTCCCATCGACGCCGGTTTTGATATTGTTGAGGATGAAACAGATATATGGGAGAACTGCACCGAAGAGCGTACTGAGTCCATATGGGAACCATCCTCCTCCTTCTCGGGAGAAACGGCGACCGAAGAAAAGACGGGATTTTTATGCGGCGGAGATGATTGCTCGTCGGAGGATTTAGCTAACGTTTTCTTGGACTGGTTGAAGAGAAACAAGGACTCGATCTCGCCGGAAGATCTTAGAAGCATTAAGCTGAAGCGCTCAACAATAGAGTGCGCTGCTCGACGTCTCGGAGGTGGAAAACAGGGCCGTGTTCAGCTTCTCAAACTTATTCTTGCTTGGGTTCAAAATCACCATCTTCAGAAGAGAAGACGTCGAAGTCGCGGATCAGAAACTATAGGAAGAAGAGATCAAGAATTCTATAACTATCCTCCTCCTCCTCCTCCTATTAGCTCCAGCCTTCCCTTTCCACAGGGAGCAGCGAATTCTAATCCAAATAATATTGACTTGTACCACGAAGCTGTGCCTTGCAACTCTTGGATGCCTTATACAGGAGAGCCTTCTTTCCAGCCGACGATGCCCGGTTACACAAGTGAAGCTGTGCCACCTAACTATTACTACAACGACCAGGCTAATTTCTCAGCTGAGCCATGGCAGCAAGGTTTGTCACCGGCGGCCGTTCATTACTCGCCGTTTGGACAGACTCCACGGCCGCCGCCGGTGGCAGCACATTTCTTCCCAGTATATTACCCGGGGTTGATGGCATCGGCAACCAAAGAGGCTCGCAAGAAGAGGATGGCTCGGCACAGAAGGTCGTCGTCCTCTCTTCACCAACATAGAAGCCAACAACAAGAACAACAGAACCAGCAGCAGCATAGTTCGGATACAATGGTTGTAGGAGAGGAAATAACCTCTTCTGCTCACTCCAATGTTAATAAAGACAATTCTAGCAACTGGCCTTTCTTGTCTTCTTTGCCGGCGCCTGATATTCCATCTCTATCGCCGGGAGTGCCTACTCCATCTTCTGCAACAATGGCGCAGACGCAACAAGAAAATCATCTACATAGGCATGCATCATCAGCTGGAGATAGACGTTTGGTGATTAACTAGTTTTCCTTTTGTTTTATTTTTATTTTTATTTTGAAATTTAAAGTTTGATTAAATCTGCATGGAAAGATGATTTTGATAATCAGATGTGACACAGGAAGGAATGAAGGCGGAAAAGAACTACAAATTTTTGCTGCAGAAGGTGTTGAAGCAGAGCGATGTGGGCAATCTTGGAAGAATTGTTCTTCCCAAAGTGAGCCACATATCTTCACTACTTCCATTAAGTACTGCTTTCTATCTTCTGCAATTTAGGGGGAAAAAATTAGTTTGAGGAGTTGCAATGCCTTTTGAAATTGATAAATATTTTCATATTTCATAATCTTATTAAATTTTATTATTTTATTTTAACACTATTATAAATATCTTTTGTTATAATAATTATTATTACTAGCTTAAAAAAACTTACGGTCATAATTGATTATAAGAGAATATTTTTTAATTAAAAAAAATCTAGAATGTCATTTAATGACCTTTGTGGTAGAAAATAGAAGATTTATCTTAAGGCTTAATTATAATCATTACATTGAAATATGTTGGCATAATCTTAATAGAAATACACTAGTACTATAAATAGTAATGATAGCTGAATTTTATCAAACAAAGTGAGAAATAAAAAAAATCTTTCTCTTTAACCTTGCGCAAGTTCTAAAAGCTTTCTCCTTCCAATAAATTCTTGAAATAAAAAGGAGGAAGACTTGAGTCGTTGGAGAGAGATTAAGAATTAAAAAATAATAATAATAATGATAGATTCTTATATATATAAATGTCATGATTATATTTGAGCCACATGTGCTATGGATACATAAATGATTAAACACCATCTTAAGTGTGATTTTATTTTTAAATTCTAACTTTTTTTAATAGTTTAACAAGTAAATAGCTACAATTATATGTATAATCTTTATACCTAATTAGTTGTTTATATTTTTCTATGCCTTTTACTACATAAAATATGAAACACATTTTTCAATCATATTTCTTAAAATATAAAAAAGGAAACTTTTAATTAATAAATTAATAAAAGTTGGATGAAATATACAACATAAGATTTGTGATTAACATTTTGTTCAAACCTCGGATATTTATAAAAATAATTAGCTAAATTTTAGGTAAGATGAGAATTGATAATTTTTTTAGATGTGTATATCACGTCTTATTTACCGCACCAGCTTAATATTATACTAAAATTGTGTTTCTTCCTGTAATTTTAAAAGAAAGAAGCAGAGATTAATCTCCCAGAGCTTGATGCTAGGGATGGAATCTCAATTGAAATGGAGGACATTGGAACCTCAAGGGTATGGAATATGCGTTACAGGTACTGCTAAATCTTTTCTAGCTAGTTTACATTTGAAGTCTTCATGCTCTATACTATTTATTGTTCGTTTTCATATGTTGATCGACTAGTAATTAGTAGCTCAACTTTATTTGTAGGTTTTGGCCTAACAACAAGAGTAGAATGTACCTCTTGGAGAACACAGGTATAGATATACACAATAGTGTAAATTTTCACTCTCTCTCTCTCTTGATAGTTTATGATTTTATATTTGAACTTGTTAGGGGATTTTGTGAGATCAAATGGACTTCAAGAAGGAGATTTCATAGTAATATACTCTGACATCAAGTGTGGAAAATATGTACTACTTCTCTTCTTTTTGTATATATCTATGTATAGCTATAAATTTAGCACTACTATTTTTTAATGCATGTTTTGACTATGTTGAGGTTGATTTTGCTTAATAAATAGATGATAAGAGGAGTGAAGGTTAGACAACCAGTGGAAATGATAAAAGGAACAAGCAATCATAACTCAAGAAAAGCTACTCATCAGAAGAAGGAAAAGAACAATTCAACCATGGCCGTGGATGACAAAGGCAAATCTCCTTATGCCTTGGGGAATTAATTCAATAAGTTATGGGGATCATGAAATCTTGCTCATGATTGCCATGATTGATCATGCAAAGGATATGTAAACTTATAAGAAACAATACTTTATATGAGTGTGGAGGAGCTAAATTAAGATGTATAATTGTATTTTGTTGGCACGTAGGGTTCCCTTTCATTTGGCTTATTTCTATATTTGCATGCTTCTTTGTATTATAAATTCCACATATATGAAAGTATAGTATGGAAAAACATGTGTACTATTAGTTTAATACTACTCTCCTTGTGAGTGAAGGATATATACTAGATGGTAATAAATATATTTGTTGTGGTTGTAAAAACATTTCTTGCATTTGCATGCATTAGCTATTGTTATCATTAGAAAGGTAGTTAATTCATCAAAATAAGAATGCGCATAACTTCATAATGATTGATCACAATAAAGATAATGATTGTGTTATCATGTATATTCATAAATGTTCGCTTCTTTAGGTGTGATAACTTGTATTTATCAGCTTTCTCTTATGGATGGAAGACATGACTATGATGTTTGGCTGGTTGAGAGCATGGTGGCCAAAGGGGTTCATAGTAATTCACATGGGGATGGTGTTGTGAATGTTATGTACTTCCTATGATCAACACTCAAGATTTTCTTGAAATGGCCTCTGCGGTGGAAGAAATTGGTCGTCAACCTTCTCTTGTTCTCCATAAATAATAAAATGGGGCTTTAATTTGTGCTATTTTCTTGGTTCTTTCTCTTCTTGATATAATATATGTGCTATTGGCATTCAAATTTGATTCTATCTCCCAACTCTTTCTTCTTTGATAAATTTGACTATTTTCTAAAGCAATTTGTCTATTGACCTAAGAGAATTTTATCCAATTAAGAATTCCAAATTCCCAAGAGGCAAACTTAAGATAGAAGGTAAGGTGACTTAATTTTTGGCTTAAGATCTATTCCCATTAGCAATTTATTAACTTCAAAGAAGATTGCAAGCATTATTTCTTGCTTGTTTGAGGAATATTTATAAAATATAAGTATTTTGATAATAGGCCAAGAATATATTAGTTTATAATTTATTGTTTATGAGCATTTTATGTTTCAATTTTGCTTGATATATTAATATTATCTACATGCTTCATTTGACTAGTACTTTCCCTATCCTATTAGGGTTAGTTGAATTTATTTGACATTGGATTTGAATTGAATAAATCAAATCAAGTTGTAACCAAATTAATTTTTTTTTTATCAAACAATCTTTTGTGGTATATCCTCCAAATTTATATATTGGGATATCTATATCTCAAGAAATTATTCTGTGAGGACACAGGATCGTCCGAAGGTGAATTAAAATGCACCATGTCACTAGGTATACAGTCGTAATACACAGCAAGCAGGTCATGACATGATGTATTCTACTTCACCTCTGGCCGGACGGCGTCCGTATCCGCATAAAATAATTTCACATATATTTCATAGTATATATCCAATTCCAAATAGAAAACAAACGTACATCTCTCTATCAAGAACTATTAATGCTGCAATGAATGTGTCTTATTCCGTATGGAGTACGGATGGTAAAAACCATTCGGATATGAGTGTACACTGAGTATAATTTTGAATTTAGTTTGATTTTTTTATACACAGTATGTACAAATACTGTGTACACTCACATCCGGACGGTTCTTTGCTGTCCGTGTTCCGCATAGAATAATTTCTCCTCATAACTACAATAAAAACTGACATTGGATGTAACATAATATTACAAATTAAAAAAAAAAGGAATTTGATTCTTATTTTTGCTCCACTGATAACATAACATAAATTTATATTAACATATATGATTTAATATCACTATTTAGGGTATATGAGATTCTCGAAAAGAAAATAAAAATGATAAAACTATATCATATGAATATAAAGGGATAATCAAAATTAGAAGAGGATAAGCACTTCTTCCATCTAAATAATATTTTTAAAGAAAATAGAAATAAGCAGGCGGGAAATTAGACGCTGTTAGGTGTGGACGCAGCCGACGAAGAGAGAGATAGAGAGAGAGAAGAGTGGCAACTGCGGCACCGCTCATGGAACCAATCACGTCGCTCCACCTGTCATCGTTTAACTGTGCTCAAACTCTTCCCATCCTTTTGCATCTCCCCCCCTCCAACATTACTAAATATCAGCACTACCCTCTTCTTCCTCCTCGTATATATCTATCTCACTGAACTGAAGCCGTATCGTCTGCACTGAAGACCGAGAGAAGAAGAGAAGAAATTTGCAATATGAGAGGTGCATGAGGGAGGGGTGTTTCTGCAATAATATATTTGTTGTTTCCTGCCAGGGGAAGTAGAAAGTACTGGATGGAAGTCGTTTTCCATGTTTCCTCGTACTGGATGGACGATTTTGCTAATTTCCTTCTTTCCTTCCTTCCTTCTTAAGCTCTAATTCCGCACATTCTGCAATTATTATAAAATTGCAATTAAGCCAACCATTATTTTCTCCATCCTTTGGCCTCGTCGTTTGTCGCTTAGCACCCCAATTATTTTATAATATCAAAAAGGTGGTTATCTTTACTTTTTATTTTATTTTATTTCTTGGCTTTTGTTACTTAGCGGTTTCAGCCTTTTTAGGGTTCCGATGTGGTTCAATTCGAAGAGGTAGAGGGAAATGGGTGATTTTGAGGCTGGAGAGATGGAATTTGATGGAGGAGAGGCTTCCAGCGTGAACGATAAGAAGGTGGAGGAGTTAGCCGGAGAAGAAGAGAAGTCTATGACACCGTCGCAGGTGGAGGATATGCTGATTGATATGGAAGAATCAGCTCAAAAGTTGATTTTTTCGGACGAAGAAGACGCCTTTCCTTCACTTGCTGATTTCGGATGCCTTTCTTCTCCATCGGCGTCGGCCTCTTATTCATCGGCGGCTTCCACTCTTCCCAAACAATCGACTTCCTCCTCTTCTTCTTCCTCCTCTTTCTCATCTTCATCACCGTGGTCGTTCCTCTTCACCCCCACTGAGACTGATGGTGGCATGCACCCAGCGGCGGCGAGTGAAGACCCTCTGGCTCCCATCACCGACGCCGGATTTGATATTCTTGGTGATGATATAGATCTATGGGAGACCTGCACGGACGAGCCTATCGAGTCCACGTGGGATTCATCGCGGTCCTTCTTCCCGGACGAAAGAAACTGGGCCGGTGGCAGCGGCGGTGACCAGCAACCCGGGAATGAAGAAAAGTTGGGATTTTTGTCCGGCGGGGATGATTGCTCGTCGGAGGATTTAGCTAACGTTTTCTTAGAATGGCTGAAGGAAAACAAAGATTTGATTTCGCCGGAAGATTTGAGGAGCATTAAGCTCAAGCGCTCGACAATTGAGTGCGCGGCTCGCCGTCTCGGCGGGGGAAAACAGGGGCGAGTTCAGCTTCTCAAGCTCATTCTTGATTGGGTTCAAAATCACCATCTCAAGAAGAGAAGACGACGCAACCGCGGATCAACAAGAGATCAGGAATTGCCAACTTACGCTCCACCGCCTCTCCTTCCTCCTCCAACGATTCCTCTTCCACCTACTCATATCGCAACTACTTCTAATCCTAATATTGACTTCTACCAGGAAACTGTGCCCTGCAACTCTTGGATGCCTTATGCAGGGGAGTCCTCTTGCCCTCCGGTGATGCCCGGTTATAGAGGCGAGGCTCCTGCTGTAGCTGTGCCGTCTTACCATTACTACAATGACCAGGCTTTCTCAGCTCATCCATGGCAGCAGTTATTGTCACCGGCCTCGACATCATCAGTGATTCATTACGCGCCATTTGGGCAGCAGTCGCCTTCACCAAGCCTGCAAAACTTTCCAGTGCCGGTGCAGGTGCCGGTTCCGGTGCCTGTGCAGGTGCCGGTGCCGGTGCCTGTGCCAGTGCAGGCACCGCCGCAGTATTTGCCAATGTATTATCCGGGCCAGACGGCATCGGCTACTAAAGAGGCTAGGAAGAAGAGAATGGCTCGGCATAGAAAATCTTCCTCTCTTCACCCCCACAGAAGCCAACAGCAGCAGAACCAACAGCTACAGAGTTCGGATAATATAATTGTAACAGAGGAAACTTCTTCTTCTCACTCTAGTGTTAATAAAGACAATGCAAGCAACTTTCCATCTCTACCCGCCGACATTCCGTCTTCGCCGGCAGCAACGTTGGCTGCTGTGGCGCCGTCTCCTCCCACCATAACGCCGATGCATGAGGAGAATTATCTACACAAGCGTACCACTTCACCTGGAGAGAGACGTCGGGTGACTATTTTTTCTCCATTTCATAAGTTTGAACCAGAAAAGAAAGTGAATTTTGATAATCAGATATTGATGTAATGAAATAATTTGATAAGAAATGATGTGCAGGACGGAATCAAGTCGGAAAATAACTATAAATTTTTGCTTCGGAAAGTGCTGAAGCAGAGCGATGTGGGGAGCCTTGGAAGGATTGTTCTTCCCAAAGTAAGTCATACCACCCCTATTGATCATCATTCAGAGTAATTACTACATTCTATCCTCTTATAAGTTATAACACGTAATATACTAATATATATAATTCTAGAAAAAAAAATCTTTGAGAATTTCATATTTTCGCTATGAGTCTCTACAGCTTTATGAAATCTCTTCAATGATTTTTCATTTTTCAAAATTATTATGAACTTTGATTTTTTTTTTTTTGTATTTTATGCTAAAATAATTTGAATAAAAAACTTGTAGATTTCTTTGATTTTTTAAATCTAGAACCCTAATTGTCTCTTTGCTTGGAGATTTCTTTTGTGTTTGATTGTTTAGGTGGCTGCTTCAGTTCCTTTATATATCCAAAGCTCTAGGGATTTTTTTCTCTTTTTTTCAGGGTTCTTGCCTACCCCAATCTACATTCAAAATACAAACTATGCTCTAAACAGGGGCGGAACAAGCCCTAATTTTCAGGGGGGGCAAACTTATAAGGCATATCTGTCGGGGGTCCAAGGGGGCAGCGCCCCCTGGCGAGGTTCGACCTGCCTGGTCAAGTCGCAGGTCAAGGGGCAGCGCCCCTGCTGGGTTTTTCAGGGGCAGCGCCCCCAGAACAAATTTTGGTTTAAATGATATTTTTGGAATTCAATGATGAATTCTCTTTGCTATTTGTTGGGGCAATTACTTAAAAACCATAGTATTTTAAAATTTTTAGGGGGACAATTGCCTAAAAACCTTTGTAATAAAGATTAAAAAATGAACTAAAAGGGATAAATTACCTTAAAAATCATATAAATAATTTTATTATAAATTTTTTGAAGGGGGAAATTGCTCCCCCTGACCCCAATGGGGTTTTGCCCATGGCTCTAAATATGCAATTGTATAGCCATGGTGGGCAAATTTTAATTTGGAAGTCATAATTTGGATATAATATGTCATTTCTTTGTGATTGGGGGGTGTCCCAAAACCTAATGGAAGAATTAAATCTTGAAATTAATTTACTCAACTATAATATAGAATAAATCAGAGTAAACTGAATAATCCAAAATAATTTTATGAATCATATACAAATAATTATGTCCAAAATTATTCTATAAATCAAAATATAATAATTGGGTTTCAAAGCACCTTAATACTAAGCTCCTGACAATTATATCCTTATCATTCTTTATTTTGTTGGACCCTTTCCTTTTCTTGAAATTTCATTAACAATTGGGTGAGTGATCACATGCTTAGTAGATTATCCTAATTTCTATTATAAATATCAATACTCATATTTGTAATATATACTAAAAAGATTTAAATATTAATTATAAGAACATTACCTTTATTTTTTAGAAAACATGGATAAAAGATTACTTATATCACTATTATTAGAAGAACACAGTAATATGTTTAAAACTTGAACATAAATTATAATTAACATTCTACAATTTGTCACTTGAATTATAATGGCATGCACTTTCATATAGGTGCCAAAGTATACTTGTTAATAGATCAACAATTATACTTTCACATAAATATCGAAGAGTACTTATAAATAAAATATTATTTATATTTGAACTTATTTTATTTAACAAAATATGCAACATAAGAATTATGATATGATCAACCTCGATTATAAAATAATAGCTAAAATAATAAGACCTTTCCCTTGACCTGAAATCAGTTAACCATATATAATGAGCTCAAGTGTCCAACAAATAATCAAATTCTATAACTAACACAAAGTACGACAAAAGAGTAATATACATGTCTACGGTCAAATCATAGCAGCAATATTTATATTATCAAGAATTAATATAGAAACAATAAAACTCAAATACAATAGTAATAAATCTATAAATGATAAAAATAATATGGTACAAAAGCTAGTAAAATAATAGTGGAGAAACCAATAAATTAGTACGGGTGTCGAATTAATAAAGCAGTCATCATATTAGTAATATCAATCAATAAATAATTGTACAGAGTGCTAAATTCAAAGCATAAATAAGAATGGTTAGAATAATATTAATATAGTAAAATCATATAAACGTATGCACATGTATCATATCATTATATGAATAACATACTTAGTATATAACGGGCTCAGTATTAATAATCAGTATAATGAATCAATAATAATGAAAGTAATAGTAAATCAGTAGTAGTAATAATAATAATATTAGTAATAATAATAATATTGATGTGTCAAACCCGGCTTTTTCGGGTCGGGTTTTCGTGTCGGATTTTCGTGTCGTGTTAAATATTGACACCCCTAGTTACTGGGTTGACCTGACCCAACCCACGAACACGAAATGGGCACAGTCGACTGCGATTTCTCCTTGCTAAAGACCAGAGGTAGATCTGATGGCTACTGGCCTACTGCAGGATACGATGTGATTGGCAGTAGAATATCAGGAGCGCTGTGACTGGAGTCGGTGTATCTGATGGCTCATTCAGGAGGCAGCATTATGAGGTGGTTGGGCTGGTTGGATCTGCAGGAGGCGGAATCGGTTGCGCCATTATGGATCGAGATTCGGCCGATTCGATGGCGGTGTGACTGCATGCGACTGAAGCTCCATCCATTTGGATGGGAGTTAAGGCCTGGAGGGTGCTGGAGTTGCGATTATACATAAGACTTGCTAGGAGTTGAGGGATGGAGGGAGAGCCGGAGATGTGAGGCTTGTGTGAGTCGTGATATGGGAGGTAATTTTTCTAAACGGGTCAATTCGATTCATTTTTGGGTTTTCGGGTCAGCCCAAACCCTACCCGATTTTTGAAACGTGTTGTCTTACAGAACATAAAACTGACCCGTATGTCAAACGGGTTGACCTGAACCCGAAATTTTCCAACTCGGTTCCTGGTCGGGTTTCAAGTTGTGTCAAATATTAACATCCTACGAAATAGAGGGCTCAATATAGCATCGCTTGTTCCCTAATAGAATTTTTCTGTTTGTATTTGACATTTTTCTACTCCATTCTAGACTTTCTAGTTTTAAATTTAATAACATACCTAAATAAAGGGAAGAGCCTTACTAGATTCTGTAGCTGCAGGTATTACAATAATGTCCACATGCTTAATTTGTCCTTTAATCACAATCTTATGCTTATTACTCTATAACATGAAGATGATTATACGAATATCTTTTTTAGGCCAGGGAGTATATCATGTTAATGTATTTCTAATTAATGAGGCTTTCAAATGATTTCAAACATTTGACCTGAATGAAGATCAGTTCTTTTTGTATTTCACATTTTTCTACTCCATTCTCGGCTTTCACATTTTTTTTTTCTATAATTGTATTTTGTGAAAAAGATGGTGCAAACTTGCTTCATACTCTTAGACTTATATAACTACTCTTATATTATTTTGTGATTTACATATGATTTGATCCCTACGGGGTACATATATAGTTGGATATAGTCTTCATTGCCTAAACTATGGAAGGTTCGATTCATATTAGTTTAATATTAAAGTGGCTTTTTTTCCTTAAAAAAATAATAGGATGTAAAATAATATTTTGTATATGAATAATGTTCCACTCCTTAATTAAATCCACACATAAACAATACTGATTATTATATCTAACATGTCATGCGTATATAGAGCCCATTTTTTTATTGGACCTCATGCGTAGTGTTCTTTTTGCATTTTTTTTATCAGGTTTAGCTCGATAATTAGTTCAAGTTCAGTTTGATTTTTTAAATCATGTTTATTTGAGGAGTAAACATGAACTTGTTGGATCAGTTTTTGCGATATATATATATATATATATATATATATATATATATATTATGAATAGCATATGTTAGGCTCTATAATTGAACAACCTGAACAAATATAAATTTTTTGACTTATTTGCTTAACAAGCCAAGAAAACACTATTTGAGCTCACTCAGATTTGACTTATTTTTACCCCTACGCATGAGTTGTGCATGGATATACAAAATAATTAAAACCTAAAAACACTTTTAATTTCCTATCATATTTTTAATAGAAAAAGTTATTTTTTTTATGAAACTTGATTAATACATATAAAATAAGGAATGCATATGATATCTTGTCAAACTTCAAATGTTTATAAAAATAATTAGCTAAATTATAAGAAATAGTTAGTAGTTCTCACACTTACATCACATTTTATTTACTTAAATAATATCATTTCTTCCTTAAATCTCTTACAGAAAGAAGCAGAGATTCATCTCCCAATGCTTGATTCAAGGGACGGAATACCAATTGAAATGGAGGATATAGGAGCCTCAAGGGTATGGAACATGCGTTATAGGTACTGTTACATACATACATATATTTATATTTCTACTTTAAATATAATTTTCCTATCATTTATTTTTATTGACTGAATGATAAATGGCAGTTCAACATTTCTGCAGGTTTTGGCCGAACAACAAGAGTAGAATGTACCTCTTGGAGAACACAGGTATTTGTGTAATAATGTAATTAGTTTATCACATGATTACTGAATGAGGAAAAAAAAAATTGGATAAAGATACATTGATCAAAATATGAACTATTTTGAATTTATTTTGAGATGGTAGCAATAGATAATTAATAAATTCATTTATGCCATCAATTAATCTCAAAATAAATTCAATAATTAAATTTTGATGAAAATATAATGATTTAAATATTCTTCATGAATTAAGGAACCCTAACTCTCTCTCTATGGTGCATTATTTTATGTTGAATTTGTTAGGGGATTTTGTCAAATCAAATGGACTTCAAGAAGGAGATTTCATAGTAATATACTCCGATGCCAAGTCTGGAAAATATGTAATGTTTCTCTTATTAGCCTGTTTATCTAAAAATCTATATATATAGATATTTATTAAGCATTAATTTTTTATATAAGTATGCATTTGACTGTGATGAGTTTGATTTTGAAACAAATATAGATGATAAGAGGAGTGAAGGTCAGACAGGCAGTGGATATGATCAAAGGCACAAGCAATAGGAACCCAGCTGGAAAGGCTCATCAGAAGAAGGAAAAGAGCAGCTCAACCATGGCTGCTGTGAGCCAATTGCTGGCCGATGACAAAGGCAAATCTCTTTGTACTGATCATCAGGAATAATAAAGATTGAATATTTTGGCAAATCTCTCATGCATGCCAAGGATGCAAAGAACTCTTAAGAAACAGCATTAAGAATGTATAATTTTGCCCGTTGGCAATGCCCCCATTCATTTGGATTATTCTGTTTATATATTTATATCATAGAATATTTCCACAAATATCAAAGTACGTATAATATGCTCACGAATAATATTTTCTTCTGCAGGAGGTAGTTATTTAGCATGAGAAATTAAGGTAAATATGATTCATCAAATCATATATGCCTGCATGCTTAATTTCAACTTCTATTTTCCTATTGCATGTCACTATTGAGCTCTCACATCTTCATCTTCTTGCCTAGGAAAAGGATGAAATAAAGAAGTTTCAAGTTCTGTCTGATTTCATCTGAATGCCTTAAATATTATGAATGAGATAAAATTATTCTTTATTAAAATTAAATGAGCTATATATTGATCAGATATTGCACGTACTCAAATGGTTTATCAAAATACATGTTGTATATCATGTAGCCCACATTATTGATATATTGGTTGTTAATTGAGAGCTTAATTACTCTATCAACTAAATTAATGATCTTGTATGTGTTCGAAGCTTGTATATATGATGTGTGTGAGTTTATATTTAATTCACACAAAAGTTCCCGAAAAGAAAATATATGCAGCTTAATTATGACACATATACAAGGCACAATACAATCCTGAAATATTTATAATTATGACTTCGTTTGGGGTGGCTTTCTTAATGCTTCTTAAAAAAGTTTTTAAATATAAAAATTAATTTTTTTGTACTATAAAGCTGCTTTAAATAGTACTAAAACCGTCCCAAACGAAACCTATATCATATCCTCCTCACTGTATTCGTATCGAAGTGTTACAACATATGTGCATAAATGCCAGCATCTGAGCTTTCTGTCGTGGTAGTATATATATAAGCAAATATATCGGACTAATTACAGGCCTGTGAAGCTATTGCTCCGATCCATCTATTTAAAGGAATGGGTGTGAACAAGTGATTAGTGGAATTGCTTATAACCATTTCTATCATTTGTTTACATTTCAGAATCATCACTCTTCATTCTTATTACTTATATATTTATAGATGCTTAAGTTTATTTGGTGCTATCTCCAACCAAATACATAAAAAAATTTAAGCATATACTCTTTCGATCTCTTCATGACTAAGTAATTAGCTATGATGCACAGCTTTCAAAAAAAAAAAAAACCGTGTCCCATATCTGTGTCATTTCGTGTCCGTATCGCTGTGTCCGTGCGTGGTGCATCATAGGTTATTTGTCATCTTCCATCACAGATAGAGAATGAAGTGGATCTTCAATCTTTTCAGGTGTGAATAAGTGATATCATATATTAATCTTAAATCTTTTATATTCTAAATATTTTCTATATCATTCTAACATTTCACCTATTTCAACAAATCTCGTCTAGTATAATTACAATGATGCATACATATAAAGATCTTCCAGACAATCAAATTTCTTCTTATTCCATATCACTAAAAATTGCAAACACATAGGCATAAAGGCTTTCAATAACCATTACTGCCTCTAAAAAAAGAATCATTATCTGATAATCATGCCTTTCAATAATCATATTGATCCATACATGAGTGAATGTTATGTTTTATTTGATTTAATAAACATTAACTTTTATAATTTAAAATAATTTTATCATAAAAAATAGGACGCATGTCCTAGCCGTGTCGGGTTAAATTTAAACATTATTTTAATCGGCACGTGTCTTCCGTGTCCGACATGTGTCCCAGCTGTATTGGGCAGGAGTCCGTGTCCGACACGTGTTCGTCTCCGACATGTATTCGATACTATATTCTCTCTTCAAGAGGTGTGCATATAGCAAATAACACTATGCTCATGAATGCTATTTATGATCTTAGAGTCTACAGAGAGTTCAATAACTGTAGACACCAGCTAGTCGATAATTATTATTATATGCAAATTTATCAGGTGCCAATCGTGTCCAAATAAACCATAGGTTGACACATTAATACTTCTTTCATGCATCCATCTACGTGATTTGCTAATATTCGACATGTAATTAATAACTTGTTGGAGGTCTTTCTTCTATTCTATGCATTATGTGAAGACCAATACCGAGATTTCTCGATATTTCTCGGTATTGCTCGGTATTGGTCTTTACATAGCAATATTTTTCATTATTATCAAGGAATACATAGTAAATACCGATCAATACGCAAATATAGCAATCCCGGGTCAAGTCGTTGGGCCGCCCGGTATTGAGTAAGACCACGTGGCGACATGTTATTGACGTCCGAATGTAGAGCTACGTCAGGTCACCTGACCTAATAATTGTTCTCTATATATCACTATCACGCTCTCCGTCAATGAAAATTCTCTTCCCAAAACCGATCCCATCAATGCCTTTGCTAACACAGTTCCTATTACTGACTTTCATTCACACATCTTTAGCCTAATTTATACCTTTGACAACAAACTCCTATGACGAGATGAGATCCCTTCATAACTTCCACATATCCACTCATATTGAAGCAATTTTGATCCTCCACAAAATATTCTCAAGTATGCAATTTTTTGGTTTAAAATCAGAGCCTAGTTTTCTTAATCATTCCTCTGAACCATATTAAAAGTGAATTTATAACATTGCTTCAATATATAAGAAGATATTGATTAACTGTGACAGCTAAGTATCATATAGGAAGAGAATTCAACTAAGAAGAATATATCAAATTGCCAATAAATGCAAATTAAGGAAAAAAAAAAAAAATCTAACGAGGCATACGTAGTAAATGTGTTGCAGAACCTAAAAGCTTATCCTGCTTAAAGAGATTTTGATCCACTTGTGTTTCCCATAACTTGAACTGCACAGAAGATCCCGCTTTGCAGTTCTTCTTGATCCAAATTAAATGTCTTTGATCGTACTGAAAACTGATCGATCACAATATCTAAGCTGTGGAAATTGTGAGGATGGAAACAGGCAGAAGAAAATACTCATCAATCTACATTTGCCAAGCATAATTTGTTTGATTAGAAGAGTGTAACATAGAACAGGGGAAATTCTAGCTTAGCTTAACATCCAAATAGAGAAAACTGAATACCACTCAACTCTAACGAGAGGAAAGGTCAAATTAGAAAGGGAAAATAAAAGGATAAAAACAACCAGAACAGGCCAAAGCCTGATAGATTCTTCTTCCTCAAATTTCAGGTCCAGAAGCTCAACACTTTCCTGAAAGTTCCACACATAAGGCAAAGATAATCTCACAAATAAGAGACATAATCTATAAGGGAAATCATTATATGCCCTCTGATTGTCAAAACTAAGTTGAAGTTATAGTTTCCAATATCTTACAACATGAATTGTAATAACTATGCCACCAAACCTAAGCCTATATGCTACAAGGACGAAAGAAAAAAGAAAATTTCACCACATGGAGCATTATTATGGAAAATTACAATTACCAGGTCAAAACAACATCGATCCATCACTACGCAGGACATCATCCAGGGAGCCAAGCCATCGACAAAATGCATCTGCGGAAACCAAATCATGGATGATTACTTCCAACTGAAAGCTCTGCACAAAACGTAGTTCCAGCTTTAGCATAGTCCATTATATTATCACTCATGCTTAGATGCTCTCCTCCTGCGAACAGGTGAAATAGACCTTGATCTGCGGTTCCTGCACAAAAAAAAAAGAAAAGATAAAGGATTAAGAATCAAAAGTATACAGAATAGGCCAAGCAAAGGAGAAACCAGGTTATATCACCTTTTTTAAGCTTTAGTTATGATGTCTAAGCCTAACAGTAGGAAGAAGAGTGTGGCAGAGTTCTTACCTTCTGGCCGAAGAGTAGGGGGAATGCCTGGAATGAGAATGCTTGCTATGGGGAGACCGCGAGACTTGTCTAGAAATGGAGAAAAAAAACATCATACTGGTTTGTAAGTAAACGAAGACGTGGAGTTTTGATCCCCAGTTGCATTACTACACAACTTTCCTGCATGCTCGAAAACACTATTTTTGGACTTGTATACAAGTAAGAAAATGCTGTAAATGTGTGACAAGGCCAAAGCTGCAAATGGTTAATCTGCCACGTAAGAAGAGAAAGAGCTAGACAAAAATGCACAAGTCAATATTTCCACTCTTCAACCTTCGCTAGTATTTAATCTAACATTAGGGCTCACTGTACAAAGCCTTTTGAGTATCTTGCAGAGATAGGCCTCTCATTTTCTCCAAAATATATCATTTTTTCCTGTTGTTTCAATTTCAGCTATAATTAAATCCCTTAGTTTATCCAAATAAACAACAAAATCCCAGATAAAGCTTTTAGTATATTATAAATTTCACAAGCTGAAATCGCCTCCATAACAGCTCTTGCTGCATAAAACTACAATAAATTGCTCGATGAATACAGCAGTCCTGAATCTCTCTTTAGTTCATAAATGCTAAAAAATACTTCTCTAATAATTTAACATTCTTTTAATCTTCAAAATTTCATTCTAAAAATTTGTTACCAAATTACTTGACTCTATATTATAACTCATGACTTTCCAAAATCCCTATAATTCTCTCATCTTAAACCAAAGCTTTACTTTTATGTATTTTCTTCGAAGCTAACTTCACACACTTCACATTATTGGATCAATCTATAATATAATTTGTTATAAAACAACCTAGCCACATAAAATAGTATGTCTGACATTTCATTAGACACACTGATTCATGCAACTAAATTTCTTTAATACTGCATCTCGAGAAGCCCAGTGAAGCTGTGTGTATAATCAGGCAGGTAGTGACACCACTGCAGACTACTGGAGGGGATAGCAAAGTGAATGCAGGAAAAACTTGTACGTTATGGTCTGAATCAACATGGTATTATAACATGAGGCATTATCACATCCAGCAATGCAGAGCTTTGTAAACGACTTTAAAAAGTAGGAAATGAAAAATGGTGGACAAGGAAAAAATTATTCATATATGGCAATATCGAAATAAAGAAGAGAACTTCTAGTGAGCATTAAACGTATCAGAAATTGTACTAGCAATTAAAGCTATATGAACAGAATTCAAAATAAAACTTCCAATATTTGCAATTTAGATAATTATTAAACTAGTATAATGTACATTTCTTTCTCAATCAGTTAAAAAGAAAACTGATTACTCAACTGCCAAGTGCCAATACAGAATAAAAACTTGTGATAATGCATGTAGACATGTTGTAACAACAAACTAAAGGACACAATGAAAACAATAAGATTTCATTTATTACTTCGAATAAAACAATAGATTAACTCGTTCTTCTCCCACTCAAACCCTTTCCCTGCTTAAAGGAGAAGGAATCCTGCAGTAGAAAAAGAGAGAGGCACACGGAACACTAGAAGACAAAATGGAAAATACAAATTAGTACAATAGAGAGAAATGATAAGTGGAAAAAGAGAGTGGTAATAATAGAATATCACCAGCACCAAAATGTTGCAGTTAGCCTGATGAAAAAGTTTTAGCGCCTCATTAGAAAAATGAATAGTGGAAGAAGAGAAAACTAATAAAGGAACATCACCAGGATCAATCTGTTGCAGTTAGCTTTTATAAAAACCTAAAGCCACCTAGTTATTGTCAATTTTTTTTCTCAAGTGACTTATAGTTCAGCTAGCTTTTTTCAAAAGAATGCTTTCTAATCAGAGTTTGGGTCCTGCCTACCATTTTGTCCTTTAGCTCTTTACTTATCCTTTTGCCCTCCCATTCTTGGGCATAATCATGGACAAAGAAGAAAGGACGGACTCTGAATATAAGAGAGAAGGTAGTAGGATAACGCATTAAGGCAAGGTAACCCGTGCAGAAATGGAAAAGGATGAGTTAAAAATACAATAGGAAAATAGATTGAAAACAAGTAGAAAATAGTAAAGAAAATTAGAGAGAGAGAGAGAGACATTAAATACGCAGTTCTTTTTAATCACTTCTCACTAACTCCACCAGTCCTGAGGGGGTATCCCATGCTACCAAGCATCCTATATTATTGGATCATGCACAAGTACAGAAGTTACAGAGTTGATTGCAATTAAAGAAAATGTCAGTGCTGCGGGAAGACATCATTAACACTAACCGATAAAGGAGGGAGGCACTTAAGAATGTTTAAACAAGAACCCAAATGATAGAAATATTACTACACTTAACTACAAAAATAGTTACTTCAACCAGCTGGATGAAGTAGGGAGTCAGGTAGATGGAGGTTGGGAAGATTAGCTGGAATTCTTGTTTTGTAAAGGATGTATAATGAGCTATATGAATCATAGCTCCAAATGGGCTTATAAATACCCTGTAATGAATGAGTAATTAGGAGGATTTACTGTGAAAACCCGAAAAATGCTGTTTTAGACCTTGCACGCTTTTCAAAGCGTCGCGACAAGTTTTAAGTGAAAAATTCAATGTTGTCGGATTTCGACGGGATTAATTTTATAAAATTCTACGCAAAATTCTAAGAAATTTGGTATATAAAACTTATATTTGATTTTGCTTAATTTATGAAATAAAAATTAGAGAAGTCTCTTAATACCCAAAGTACCCCTAATGTTTATTCAAGTATGGGTTACTTAAGTGAGGACAAATAGGTAATTAGGCCTTTCCCTTAACTCCTAAGCCTTAAGGGGACCGACTCTATTCGGTCCCCTCATTCATTTCGTTTGGCCGAAAGCACGAAGAGAGGGAGAAGGCAGACGGGTAGGCGGACGGGAGAGGAGAACGGGTGGCTTCGGCGGCGGATTTCGGCGGCCAACCTTGGGGGAAATCGTAGGGGAGACTAAGGGAAGACTAAGGTATGTGTTTTGCTTGAGTTTTCTCCTTCTTCCCTTGAGTTTTCTCTAAGTCTCCTCATTTGCTCCCTGCCATTCTTACGCTCCCCCTCGTTCTCTCTAATCATGCCCAAGACATTTCACTCTCTCCCTCTTTCCAAGCTCTCTCCGCTCTCAATAATCCCAAAAACTCTCAACAACAAAGAAAAAAGGATGTTGCAGGAGCTTGCATCAGAGAAGGCATCGACAAATGTAACCATGTGTGAAGAAGCCAAGGAAGTTATGTATAGCTTTTCACAAGAACGGGAAAGCCAGGAACAAGGCCAACATTGATATGGCCTCCATTTACAACACCGTAGATTGCCATCTCAGAGAGTTTAGTAACAACATTTCCTTCTCTTGCTTCGATCTTTCCCCGAGCCCTACCGGGGATTCTATTTCTTAATAAAAAAATAAATGGAAGATTTTTTTGTGTGTAATTTGCACTGCAACATTTCTCTACTATTAATACTAGGTCTTGGGGGTGTGGGGAAGACAACTCTCTTGCAGCATGCCTGAGAAGATGAAGTGACAAAGGAATTTGATCTCAAAATGTGGGTTTGTGTTTCAAACAACATTGATGTGAAAAAACATCTAATTCATAGTATTGCCACTATTTGCACAACAACATTTCTCTGCTATCTATATCTATACTGGGTCTTAGAGGTGTGAGGAAGACAACTCTCTTGAAACATGCATGTGAAGATGTAGTGACAAAGGAATTTGATCGTAAAATGTGGGTTTGTATTTCCAACAACTTTGATGTAAAAAGAGTCGATACAGATATGTTGGGATCTCTTAAAAATGAGGCAGTTTGATTTGGATTCACTTAATGCATGTCAAAGAAGCCTTGCGATTGTGGTGGAGGCATGGGAAAAAAGTGAACGGGAGAATGTGCTCACCTCGTCCCATCGTTGTCATCGTATTGCGAAAAGTGCAACAACTATCAAAATCTTGAATGTGATGCGTTCAGCTAGACAACCATAACCCATGTGTACTTTTCTTAGAATGATAGGGGAAACTCATAGACTATGATGCACCGACACTTCTCCTCAAAGAGGCGTGCAGTGTCCGACACCGTATCCGACACGACACTCGTCCGACACTCCTCCGACACATGTCGGACACGCCGAAAACGTGTCCGATTAAAAAATATTAAATACAAATTGAACACGCATGTCCGACACGCGTATCTTAAATATTTTATGAATTTTTTAAATATAATATCTTGTATTTGGCGGGATTTAAACTAAATTTTTTATTTTCTATCCACAACACCAAATCAACGTCCACACTTAATACCCAATCATTAAATATTCTCATTTTCATTTCTTTTTGACAATGAAGGTATTTTCATCTCCTCTCTCGGTGACAGATAAACGACATCGATGTCAGACTCTCGACATCCTAATACTAATCATTTTAAGCACAAATTCTAGTTAAATGACTTATTATTTTCAAATTATTTTTAAAATTATACTTATTTAATTTTTATACACTATTTTTTAAATATAAAAACTATAATATCGTGTCCAACCCGTGTCCGTGTCCTATATTTTCAATAACTGATGTGTCCCGTGTTCGTGTCGCCGTGTCTGTGCATCATAGCTCATAGACGATGCACCAGATAATAGATACTTGTGAGCATCTTTCTTGATGTGGCAGGAAAACATTACAAATTCCAAACAGGTAAACACACATTTCTTTGCATGGTGGGATAAGAGAACCCTGGACGCAAGGTCTTATGACACCAATAGTACATGTTTTTCTTAACATGGTAGGAAGGCTTAGCATCCCCAATGATGCCCATTATGCAGGGAAGATGCAGGTAAACTGTCGAAAATTCATACTAACAAGGGACTTGAATATATCCATGCTTTAGCAGGGGTCAGGCAGAACCATTGTTGCCTGATGGGAACTTCCACCATATTACTATCAATGTCTTCATGTCACATGACCTCATTAAAATAGCAACAATGAGTACAACATTAAACTTAACTAAACTTTAACAAACTTGAAAAGCTCGCTTACAAGCACAACCTCCCTATCACTTCTAAGAACACTAGGCAATCCTCGAGAACTCGATGAACTGGACATAGAATAAAAATGAACCTTAGTGAGCTCTTATTTATAGATGAGAGAATGAGCCCTGTGAGGCCCATATAATTAAAATCCAACCATATAAAGAAGAAGAAATGCGCAAATGTGCCAATGGGCATGCAAGCACAATATGTAAGCTCAACGAATACCGTGCAAGTGTATCGCGTATGTGCACCATGAAATTGATAGAAAACACTTGAAGTTATCAAGAATCCCTATCAATCCTTGATAAAACAGTAAAAACTTTCCTCAAAACTCTAACGCAAAATAGATAAAATAGTAATTTTATTGCTAGAATCAAATAGAACAGAAGAAAATAACAAGATACAGTTGATCCTCAATTCGAGAGGAGGATCTCTATCTCTCCCAAATCTCTAGACGCAGCTAGAGCCCAAAAAAACCTAAGAGATCTAAAATTTTAGCTAAATTCAAGATGCCCTACCCTAGGAAAACAAACTATTTAATGCATACAATCCAAAAGGAAATCTCTAAACAGTCCCTACATTCAAATTTCTCTCCTAACTCCCTCAAAAAACCTTCCTAAACATCTCTTTTGGTCCCAGCAGTTCGATCGGCACGTATAGGAGGCAAAGTATTTTCTCCTCTATTGCCTGTAAGTCGATCCCATATGGATCGGCTGGACCGGTCTAACAATACTCCGCTCCCAAAGACCCACCTTGTCCGCAAGATCGAAATATGACACCCTCCTCCATTTCCTCGTCATCATAAACGGTAAGAACCTGAAGAGTTCAATCCTTATGCTTATGCCTTGGAACATACCTCTCGTCACACCTGAAGAAGAGACTTTTCATCCTCTTCTCTTGTAATTCCGTTTTTGTGAAATTCTTGAGGTTGTCACCAGGTCTTTCTTTTGTAGTCTTTTACTTTGAAATCCCATGAAGAGTATCCGGTGTTACCTCCTTGGATTTCGATAAGGTGGTGGTCATCCTGTACGAGCCTACTGAGCAGCTGCCTCCCATTTTTATCTCCAGATGCCTCTGATCCTCCACCAACTGAGCTAACTCCATAGCCTCTCCCAAGTCATGAGGCCTCATCACTCCTACTGCCGCCCGGATCTCTAGTTTCAATCCATTCATGAAGTTCCTCTCTAGCACTGTCTCAGAAAGGTGGTTCAATCGGCTAGCAAGGCACTCAACCCTCTCCCGGTACTCTATCACTGAATCATCTTATGTCACGGCGAAGAATTGCTCGTAGAAGTCTCCTCCTCTGCAGATTCGGAATAGTTCTAACAGACAATCCTTGAACTCCCACCAACTCCGTATGGGTCGTCGCATGTCCCTCCACTGGTACCAAGCCAAAGGTTTCCCTTCTAAACATAGGCCAGCTGCCATCAGACTCTCTTCTTCTGTCAACCTATTAACAGTAAAATACATTTCCATCATGTAGTTCCACTCATATGCATCCTCTTCCTCTAAAATAAGCATCTTTA